CTGTTTTTTGGGGGGGGGGGGGGGGAGAGGAAGGGGGGTTAAGAGGTCATTGACTAGCAAGGGACAAAAAAGAAGAACAGGAATCTTGTGATATAGATGGGGTTTGTGATAGATTCTGTACGTCCATTGAGGATTTCATGACCTTTTTTTCCTTTCGCTTTTCCGTTCAGGGGCAGAAAGGGGTAGAGGTTTGAGGTTTGAGAGGGCGGGATATTTGGTATCTGGTATTTGGCATATGCATGCTGATAAGAGGATGTGATGGGTAGTGTGAAGGTGAGTAAAAGGGGGGGGGGGGGGAAAGAAGGCAAAGCTTACACTGGCAATCGACACAATATGCCCCTTGCGCTGGGCCATCATTCGCGGCAATAGCAGGCGGATCAGCGTAAAGTGACTGAGCAGATTCACGCGGAAGATCTTCTCGAGCCACGCCTCGTCCGTGTCGAGGATCGTGTGCGCCCGTGCGATGCCCGCGTTGTTGATGAGCACCGTCGGCGTGGTTCCCCGGGAGCAAATGAGTTCCACGGCCTCGGTGATGGAGGACGGAGAGGTCAGGTCGGCCTGGTAGTAGGACAGCCGGGGAGCTATATCACGAAAGGGGTTGTCGAGGGTCAGTAGGGGGCCAGAGACGGGGGGGATACTGTGACGTGTAGAGATAGGGGTTTTTTTATAGCTCTGCTCTGCCTGCTCCAGAGCTAGAATACCTTGAGAAGGGTGGGTGGGTTGGTGGGTTGGTATACTTACTGTCCTTCAAGTCGTCCGGCAAGTCCTGCACATCCAGCACGACTATGTTGGCCTGTGTCTGCGCGGCGAACATCTTGACCATCTCCCTCCCGAAACCGGAACACCCGCCCGTGATTAGGATGGTCTCTTTGCCCGGCGCCTGAAAATTCCACGCGTCACCCTGCTTACGAAGGTGCCAGTAATTCAGAGCCAAGCGGCTGAGGAACCGGTTCGCGTGCACGGCCAGCCCGAGCGCGAAGAGGAATTTCAGTGACCGGAGCGGCGGCGTCGCCCGGAGTTGGACACTGTTGGGGAGTCCCCAAGGGAGTTGGAAGGGGAGAAGTGTCACGGACATGGTCGGTGGCGGCCAGGGCAGATTCTGGACAAGTGATGGGTTGCGCTCGAGGTAGAAGAGTAGTGCCCCCGTGAGAAGGGGGTTTAAGAGGGTTTCGACCATGACGGTCCGGGGTGAAGGAATCGTGGAGAGAGTCGATTGGACTGCCATCCTCTCCTTTTGCTCGTTCCTCCCTTTCCTCTTTTTTCTGTTAGGGGGTTTGGATGAGCCGTGGTGATTCAGGCTCCGTCACTCTGTGGCGACCTGGAAATTCTCCCTTCTGGTTGGTATCTGGTCTGGTCGGGTCGGGTCGGCTTCTGAAAACCCTTCTGACAATCCTGGTTTTCCGGTCTGTTCTAGCGAGAATGCGTGCGCGGCAGGGTCATCGGTGGCTGTTCATGATGTTCTGGCCATGTTTTGCTTGGGTCGTGGATGTGCCCTGGTCATAGAGATTGGATGGATGAGCACGGAATGAGGCGGCAGTTCCAAGTGGTTCGCTTAAGCTTTGGCTGGCAAGGCTGCCTGCTTGCTAGATACTTGGTTTCCAGCGCCCGAATTCTGACTCGTTAGATGCGAGTCCCTGAGGGGCGCTTGAGGGGGAAGGAGCTAAAGTACGAGGAGGCTCTTGGAGGCTCTTGGAGGCTCTAGTTCGCGAATCACTCGTACTAAGTGCCTCGTTCTCAGGTAAGAAATCGTAGATCACCTTGATCGGGCAAGTGTGACGAGAGAGCTAGCCACTAATTACCGACAACAGAAGACCGTGTTGCCGTCTAGTCATCCACGCTAGTCCTGATTAGTAGGGATACGTCGGGGAATGGACGACCGGGCGCCTATGCACACATGGTTACCCAGGTTAGACAGACGTCTTGGTCTACCCCCCCCTCGTTCCTTTTGGCGTGTGGCGTTGTTCCAATGATCTGCAGGCCAAAAGTCGTTGTGAGGGACCGAAAGTCACCAGGTGGTCGGCTCTGTGGCTTGGGCAGCACTCAAGATGTTACCTGGAACGAGTGATGCTTAATCAAAAGTTGTCCTGCAAGCTTGACTCGAGTCCGAAAATGGCAATTCGAGAGCTGTGCCAGGTGAGGCTCGACCTTAGACGTAGAAGAATATAAGTAGTCCGATAGCACCCTTCCCCTCGTAAGAAGGCAGGACAATTGTCTCTCTCAGAGGTATTCCATCTCGCTGTCTTGCGGGCACGTATCTTCTGAAACCACTCCACCAATCGCTCGCAAATATGGATCCAAGTCCATCCTTCTCAACAGATGTTAGCGTCTTCCACACCAACGAACCAGAGTTGCCACTCCACAAGCCGTCTGGGAAGAGCCAGAAACGTCGACCAAGCTCCTCATGCCCAGAGGAAGGTCCAACAGGTGTGAAGAGGCCAAAGCTATCACACACCGGCTGCACAGAACCTGCCGAAAGGGCTGTTCCATCGTCAAGGGCAAGCACAACAGTCCACACTGGACGCGTCACACATGATTCCACGAAAGACCCTCTACTCGATAGTGAGCACGTGGATATCCCTCGTCAAAGGAGGTCCGGAAATGATACTGTCGATTACGTGACAGAAGATACTTCCCTGATGGCCGAAGAAGAGGTGGATCATCAACATATGCTTCCCCAGAATACGGGCTCAGCAGCGGGCACCGAGGATCTCAACCAAGATTGGGATCTTGCCCAGATTGGAACCTTTGTGGACGAGGAGGCGTATGCTTGCAGTTGATCCGCGCCTTTCTGGCAGATTCCGCTAACTATACGTTGCAGGATCACCGAAGCTCTTCTCACAGCTCCAGAGGAAGTCCTGGATGATGTGGCATCCAGGTTGGAGGGGATATTGAGGGCTGCTGATGCGGTTCTCTCAGATCTTAGACCAGCCCTCGACACCGGCGGACGTGGTGATATATGACTCGGGTTCGCACCAATCCTTGAGGTGTCATGCTGCTTCAGGCCGCGGTCATTTCCAGGAAATCTCGTGTTGTCCGTCGTTTCGGTGTTGTGAACTGTGGCGCTGGGGGTTTCAGAGGCCAACACATCGACAAGGACCGATGGTCCGAGAGGTCAACACAGATACTAGACCTAATCCCAGTGGATTTTTTTTGGTGACACAGCGTATCATGCTTCTGAATTCTCAGTGACAGTTTAGCGTACGACGCTGCCGTGCTTAGATCATGGATCAGAACCATCGACGCTCAATGTTATAGGGCCAACACGGCACTGCTGTGTTCTGGTCTGTCAGTGCGCACCAAACACCAGCATAATGAACACAGAGATCCGGAAATGAAGCGTGGGCCGACACTCGAGAATTTTGTCCTTCTTGCAGGCGGCAGGAATTCATAATCATTCAGCAAAATGTGGTATCTAGTGTCCTAAAGAAATGAAAGACGCCTCCCTGGAGAAGGTCAGCGTGCAAGAAAAAGACATATTACCTGTCGCAGGTATCCGCATACTCCTTCTCGACATGTATAACTTCCTCCATGATATGCGCCCGCGTAGATCATGTCACCTCATGCTTGCTTGCTCGTCATCTCATTGTCGCATATACTCATCTGAAGGGTCGCTCATATGTTCCATCATCGTTGCCAACTGCGCTGGCGGGTGGGCTGCGGAAATGGCTCATGTCTCCGCTCCCGGTTCTCCGGAGGGCTTGTCGCATTGTTTCAACGTTGATTTCGTTTCCAGCGGCCAGTGGTGAGCTCTGTCCTGGGAGCGGGCTCCCAGCACCCCTCGGGGCTCGGTTGGGAGATGTCTCAAGGCCCTTTACGGAGGCGGTCACACTTGTGGGTGGAGATGTTCCAAATGCCGCCGAGGACGTGGGCGATCGAATAGGGGATGGGGAGCGAGCTGGAGCGAGGGACGGGTGTCCCGATAGATGAGTCGAGTCTCGGCGCGGATCTCCCAGCTCCTGCTCGCCGTGAACAACATCAGCGAAGGAGATGAAACTCAGGCGCCGCACATCGGTGGAATCCAAGGAGCCATAATTCGACCCAGTATCCGTGTCTTGACGATGCGCCGCAGACGGAGGAAACTCGTCCTGTACCGAAGAAGCAAGAGAATGATCGGCTCCAAGACCGGAGATCGTCACGGCAGCAGGTTGATGTGTTACATGAGTAACGATCTCCACCGTGTCGGGGTCCAGCTTTTCGTTGGTGATAGCCTCTGCAGATGCGTCCAGAGCGGGCGCAATGTGATTTTCCATGAGCACATGGGAAGGCAAGTGTGGGGACGTCTCAGGAAGAGCGATTTCCTCCTGGACATTTCGCTCAAAGATCATGGAAGATGCAGGAGAGTGCGGTCTCGGAGACGAGTTGCTCACTCCGTACCCCGGCGAGCCCGGGATACCATATGGATGAGCCACAGAGCCTCTGTGCGGCGATACCGAACCACTGGTCGAGTCCACAGACCTAATGGGCGACGTCGGATTCAATCCAGCGGAGGCGCTGGCAGTGGAGGAAGAGGGTTTTGTAACAACGGCAGCTTTCCCCTTTCCATGATGTTTGTCTTCTTCCGGCTTCTTTCCCAACTTCCAGAAATCCCTCTTCCGCGGTTTAGTCGCAGTTTCCTCAACTGTCGGCGCAGGATTCTGCGCTCCGGAGGGTAGAGCAGAGGAATCTCTCAACAAAGGAGCGGCCGAATCCCTTGACTCGGTACTGGCACTGACTTTGTCGTTGACGGATGGTTCTTTGGACGACATGATGACCGATCGTTATGTTGTGGTTAAGTGATGCGAATATTTAGTGGTCCAAATTGGGGACTGTCCCAGACTGCCAGGTCAAGATAAAGAGAATAGGCCGTCAACAGATGTGACATGCGTTTAGACAGAGCGCCGGAGGCACAACATATTGTAAACAAGGAACCAGAGAGTAACTCTTAAATATAGTATTCAAATGTGAGCTGAGTCCGGGGAGTCGTAAACCACTTGCGCCAGGTCACGCAGTTGCGGCACGGAGACTTATGAGTGAAGGATGGGAGTGTAACCGGCGCTGGAGAGAGAGGATATACAGAGTGGGATGCAGATTGACCTGATGTACTGAAAGTGGTTTTCCGGACAACAGGCAGGAAGAGTTTCGGAGTATTACAAAGGGTGCCCTGTGCAACGAAAGTATGTGTGGTGGTGGTGCGGGTGGGAGAGGAGGTGAGGGTGAGGATGGCAGTCGATTTGCTTTTGTTATTGAGAATAGGAAACCTGGGAGGAGACCGGCAAGTACGTAGTTGGTATGCACTACTCCCAGGGTTGGGATGCAAGTGTTCCTTGGATAAAAAGGTTAGCACAATTGGTCCATGTCTCGGAGGATGGGGAGGGCACATCACTGGCACATCTGGAAAGCTCATGATGATTTGTGTCCAATTGGGCTCGAAAGCCTCGAACATCACCGGCGTGCTTCGCCTAGAGCAACCCAGAAAAGCCCAATAAAGCCCTGTGGGAGCCACCCAAGTGCCCACCAGACAGGCCCCCTCAGGCATTTAGGCTCCCGCTTTTGGCACCAGCTGTAGTTTCAGGGACACCGGCACCAGCCAGGGGACGCAGGACTCGCATCACCAGCACTGCCCAGTGTCTTGTGACAAGTGGAACAACCCGATGAGCTAATACGAGTCTGCCAAGCCACCATTGGTGGCTGCACTGGCTCGACTTTGACTGCGCGCGAGCTGCTGATCTTTGACGCCTTGTTTCGTCCCGACGCACAGCACAATCAATTGTGCTGTCATCTCGACTAGCCAGGAGGGTTTCGAGGTCTGGGGACGTGCAGCGCAATATCCCTACAGTGCCCGAAGAACAATTGCGCTGTTTAGGGTGTGCTTGAGCGACGGTAGTCCCGAGTTGTCAACCAAAATTCTCATCAACACCATCGAGACCAGGCTTTGGGGACATCAGCTAGAAGGCTGTGAATGTCTTATCTGTTCAGACGTCTGCAAACGCACAGAGCAACTCCCCTGGTCAATATGCGCTCGATGACCCTTTCTCCAATGCCATCGAACGCATCTTCGCGATTCTACAAGCTCTGCGCCCAGATCCTCCGACCCTCTTTCCGCCGACATCAATCTTCCTACAGACGAACAAGATCCAGGCTCAATATCAAGCCAGATCCGGACTTCCTACCCTCCAAGACAGAGCTGCACGACCACATCATCTACAACCCTCCCCCAAGCATGCCAAATGTCTACCATACGCCCAACATCTTCCTGCCCAAGAATGACCGCAGAAAAGTGCTTCCAGATCCTGAAACCCAGCAAATACATTTACAATCAGCTCAGCAGCTGCCAGCCATCCCGGGGCAAACGGAGAAACGATACCACCTCTCGGAGAAGGACCTGGAAGAGATGAGGGAATTGAGGCGGACAGATCCCACGCAATGGAGCGTCAGTCGGCTATCTAAAAAGTTTGATTGTTCACCGGTCTTCACACACCTGGTCGTCGAAGGGTTAGCTCCAGAAAAGGGCAAAGAGCAGAAAATGGTGACGGATATTGTCAAGTCGAACTGGGGCAAGAAAAGAAGAGAGGCACGCGAGGATCGACAGATCAGAAAGGAACGCTGGTATAGAGATGCCTAAAGCAATGTATAGATATGAAGGAATAGCAGGACCTGCGTGCAGAGGTTTTTGCTTTCTCTACCTGTGAATTAATAGTTACGGCTGTTAAGGGGTCCCAGTCTTGTACAGTTTTCAGCCAGTTTTGCAATGCGGAGATCTCCAAAACCTATCAATCACACTCTAAACTACGTGACTGTATCCCGCGCAGGCAAAAGGGCCTTCAGCCTGTCAACACATGCTCCACACGATTTGCGCAGGTCGTCCCTCTTCGACACATCTCCAGAGATTTTTCAAGACTGCATCTTTGCTGGGCACCGCCGCTCGACCTCGCTACCCGCTTAAACGTGCACTGAGACTTCCATCCCATACTCGAGATTACTACGGCCACATATCTGACGACAAGATGGCACCACAGCTAGAGCCTTATTTCAAGAAGTAGGGCGCAAGACCTAGACATTTGACAACGTGCTAACAAGTTTCAGGGTGGATGAGCTTGCCGATTCCTTCATCGATCGTGGGGACCCTTTGTTAACCTCAGTGACGACCGCGGGGTACTGACCATCACTTTCAACAGGACTGCGAAAAGCCGTGGCAATCCCTTCCGTGTCGGCAGACGAGGAGAGAAGAAAGGATGTCGTCCGAGTAGGTGATCACAGGAAGCAGCACTGCTGGAATGTGGCTGAAAGAGCAATAGATGGGTCAATTCCTGGCCTCCGAACTGGAATCCCTAGGTGCAGAGGTTCAACAACGCCCGCTCGGAAAACAACCCGGCAAGGAACATCTCGACCTTCCTCCAGTCATCATTGCCCGCTATGGGAATGACAAGAACAAGCGGACCATCTTGGTCTACGGACACTATGATGTACAACCCGCCCTTATCGAAGACGGATGGGCTACAAAGCCCTTCGAGTTGACCATCGACGACAAGGGACGCATGTACGGGCGGGGCAGCACTGACGACAAGGGACCCGTGTTGGGCTGGTTGAACGCTATCGAAGCCCACCAGAAGGCCGGCGTCGACTTCCCCGTCAATCTGCTGTGCTGTTTCGAGGGAATGGAAGAGTACGGCTCAGAAGGTCTGGACGACTTCATCAACGCCGAAGCCAAGAAGTTCTTCAAAGATGCCGACGCCGTCTGTATCTCTGACAACTACTGGCTCGGAACGGAGAAGCCCTGTCTCACCTACGGTTTGCGCGGATGCAACTACTATTCCATCTCCATCTCCGGTCCAGGACAGGACCTCCACTCAGGAGTGTTCGGAGGCACTGCTCAGGAGCCAATGACTGATTTGACGCTCATTCTCAGCAAACTCGTCGATAACCGCGGAAAGATCCTCATTCCTGGCATCAACGAAATGGTCGCCCCACTCACCGAGGAAGAGAAAGCTCTCTACGGACCTATCGCCTACACCATGGACAACCTATACGAATCTCTAGGTTCCGAAACGGCCATCTTCTCCGATAAGGAAAACACCCTGATGGCCCGCTGGCGATACCCTTCACTCTCCATCCACGGCGTCGAAGGTGCCTTCTCGGCTCCTGGAGCGAAGACGGTGATCCCGGCAAAGGTCATTGGCAAGTTCTCCATCCGCACCGTGCCAGACATGGAGTCCTCCAAGGTCAACGAACTCGTCTTCAAGTACATCCGCGACGAATTCGCCAAACTCAACTCGAAAAACACTCTGGATGTGTACTGCCAACACGACGGGAAATGGTGGGTCGCCTCTCCCAAGCACTGGAACTTCACCGCCGCCGCCAAAGCCGTCAAAGAAGTCTTTGGCGTGGAGCCCGACATGACGAGGGAAGGAGGGTCGATTCCCGTGACCATCACGTTCGAGCAGGCCACGGGGAAGAACGTCCTGTTGTTGCCGATGGGCAGTTCCACGGACGCGGCGCACAGTATCAACGAGAAGCTAGATCGGAGGAACTACATCGAGGGGACGAAGCTTCTTGGGGCATATCTGCACTATGTGGCGGAGGAGCCCATGGTAGAGGCCAAGTAATGCGGGTTTCTTTGAGACGGACGAGACATCTGAGGGTGCCGAGGCGGAAATACAAGAGTGTGCTCGGTTCATACTTCTAAGTCGTCATCAAGCCTATCATAGGTACTTGAAAAGGCCGAGAATACCTGCCTAGGTATGTAGGTAGTGAACAGACATAGGAGAAAGCGGACGGATTTGACCTGTCAATTTCCTATTGATAAGACCCGAGCCAGCCCTGATTGATCAGATTGTGGCACAGGATTGAATCGTGCTCAGAAGCATTAAGCCACCCTACCATCATCCCATCATCCCACCATCCCACCTTGGGCATCCCGCTACGTGTACCGAGCCAACGCCAATCTCACTCGTGTTTTTTCGCTTCGATATACAAAAGGCCCTCACGGTCCGAAGCTTCGGTTCGTGTGTGTAGCAAACACATCGTCCGTCTGCGATGGGCCTCATTTTCGTCGTGATAGAATACGTAGGTCTGGAGACGAAACCTACCTCCTCCGCCGCCACAGGTTATGCCACCAGTCGAGCAGGTTCTGTGGTTGTCAAGCCGTCGGCGCATCCGTCAGGGGCACGTATCGGACACCCATGTCCTTTTTCTTTGTGACGTTGCCGTCCTTGTCCTTGTCCACGACCCAGATCCACTGGGAACCCCAGCCGTCGACGTCCTCGACGGGGATGAACATCCGCCCGGGCGTGTTCAGCTGGTCGATCAGGGACTGGTGCAGTTCGCTCGCGGCGGCGCCGACGTGGATGGCGTCGTAGGGCCCGCCCTCGGGGTGTCCCTTGCGGCCGTCGCCCGTGACGAGCTCGACGCGGCCGGACTCGAGCAGGGCGCGGCCCTCCTGGCTCCGCCGCATGTTCTCCCGCGACATGTCCACCAGGCCCTTGATGTGGTCGATGCCCACGACCTTGCCGTCCCCCTTGCCGTCGGCCCCGCACACGAGGTTCGCCAGCACGTGCGTCAGGTACCCGCTCCCCGAGCCGATGTCCAGCACCTTGGCGCCCCGGTTCTCCGGCATGAAGGGTAGGAGCGATTCGCAGGCCGCGGCGTGCATGTGCGGCGCCGAGATGGTCGCCGAGTACCCGATCGGCTGCGGCGAGTCCTCGTACGCGGCCTGCGGAGACGACGGGCAGTAGTGTGCGCGGTCGACCGACTTCATGGCGTCGCGCACCCGCGGCGCCGTGATGATGCCCGCGTTGAAGAGGTTCTGGATGAGCTCGGCGTTGGTGCGCCCGGAGCAGCGCCACGCCATCTTGGCCGCTCGAGGAGGACGATGTGAGATGAAGAGGAACGAGGTTCGCCGGAGAGAGATGCTAGAAAAGTCCGGGATTCGGACCAGGACTGCGAGAATCAGGATCGCGGTGCCTGCACAGAGGAAGAGAGTAGAGCCAAGGCGCATGCAGGTATACCGGAGACACAAAAAACCCAGAAGCCGATGAACCAACCCAGTCAAGGTGGTCGAAGTTGGGTTGATTTTTGGGAAGAGAAAAGGGTACCACAGATTACAAAAGTCGTCGTCACTTCAAACTTGCCTGCAAGGAAATGAAGTTTGCTTGGGGAATTAAATGGATTGCAAAAAGACTTGTGTCGAGAGGCAAAACAAAACAAACGTAAAGATGATGGTGGTGGTGGTGGTAGTGGTGATGGGCTTGGGGGAAATCGCCTGACCAAAGCCGTGAAATCGTATGACGTTGATCTGTCCGCGGGGCGGCACCTCGACCGAATTCTGGAGTGTGGGGCGCACGCAGCACAGCGCAGCCTTGCCTTTGGGCAGCTAGTCAGCCAGACTCTGGGTATCACCCCAGGGAAATACGAGTAGTAACTTGTGTAGCTCCTAGGAGAGTGGCATGAACGCTTTCACTTGGACTGGCCACATTATATCTACCTGGGACTCGTTCCTCTTGGTCCCTCCCAAAAGAGCCGGATGGCTGAGTTGAACAGCCATGGCCCGATATTCTCCTTGATCTACATACACCCCTTGCTCGCAAACGTCCTCCTATCTATACCTTCACGTCCTCTGCGGCTTTCAATGCCCGTTCTACCTTGCCCTCGAGTTCTGCGGGCGATTCCAACCCGACACTCAACCGAACAAGATCCGCCTCCACTCCCCACTGTGCTGTCCAGTCCAGTTCCGTATAGTGCGCCAGGATCGTATAGGGACATGCAAGGGTGAAGTTTGTGCCCAAGCTCGGACCCTTCTGAACTTCGAGAGCGTCAAAGAACGCGACCGCTTGCTTGGGGTCTTTGAAGGTCACAGAGAGCAAGCCGCCGTAGCCACCATTCGGCGTACGACAGGCCTCGTAGTTGGGCCGGCTGGGGCTGCATTTCGGATAGTAGACTTGCTTGACCAAGGGGCTATTCTGCAGGATTGTCGTGATCGCCTCGGCATTCGCGTTCATGCGCTCGCTTCTGGAGATGAAGTCCCGCGAGTTGCGTTCCATGAAGACGGCGTCTTCGGCCCAATAATTGTCCTCGTACTCGCGGGACATGGTTTGTTTGAGTTCAGCATACAACTTGCTCTGGGGATTCAGCACGGCACTGCCGCCCATGACATTACTGTCACCGCTAAACAGCTTCGTCAGGCTGCTAACCACGACGTCTGCTCGGCTGAGGACATCAATGTTGGTGAAATTGCCCACGGTCTCGTCGACCACCACCGCGAAATCATACGTGTCCGCCAACGCGCGAATGCGTTGGAGATCGGGCGAGTTGAGGAGCGGATTGCTCGGGAATTCGGTGAACAGGGCCAGGAACCGCTCACCGGATTTGAGACGCCGCTCCAGGTCGTCCAGACAGGCTGAACTTCCAAGGCCATAGAAGAGGCACCCCGGTCCCCACTTCTCTAGAATTTTGAGGGTGTCAATGTAAGGGAATCCAAAGCAAATACTTTTCTTGGGTGGTTGCCCCTTTGCCTCTGCGTGGGCCAGAAGAATTCGGTGCGTGTTGAATATCGATGACATCCCACAAGGGTAGAGGTAGACGTCGTCTTGTGAGAGCCCAACTTGTCTGCTGTTACAGTCGTTAGGAGATCCGGCCAACGCTTGATCCAGCTCTCCGTCGTCTATCAGACACCCACTGATCCTGCGACGAATCGCTAGTTTAGCTTGCTGGGCGAGTTTGACGCTGAGATTGCGACCGAATCGCTCCTCTACGAATTGAGGAAAGTCCTTGTCTTCGCTGTCGTTTGCTACCCCATTCACGACTGGCTCGATAGGGCTGGTGCTGTCATTCGTCACTCCATTTCGAGATGCGGGTCTTTGGTATCGCCGAGGACCTTTGGTAAACAGTACGTCGTCTGTTTTCGACTTTGTTCGTGCAGTCTCGGGTTGGAGTAGACCTTCCTTTAAGGCTTTCAGACAGAACTCCCCGCGGCGGCTGGATATCCCGTCTCCAGAGTGTTGCCACACCTGCTTCGCCACGCTAAAGTAGTCACTGGGAAAGAAAATACATGCGAGTCCAGAGAAGACGGTCTCGTGGCTTCTGTGTTTGTCAACGACCGGTTCCAATTGTAAGATTCGAACGGAACCCGTATCCAGGCCCTCGACCTTGTCGTAGAAGAACTTCTGGCATCTTTTCGCGGTGGCGAGAGTCGGGAAGAGCATGACACTCTCCCCAGGTCTGCCATAAAGCTTCAAGATCTCTCGTTGGAGCTCTTGGATAGTCAGATGAATGAAGAACCTGGGATAGCCCGTCTCCATTTTCGACACCACCCAATCCTGTCCTTCTTCGTAACCCACTGTGGCCGCCCATGACGGCAGAGAGACACTGACGGCATGGGCAGTGTTGGGCACTGGCTGCCCGACCGCTGCGAGCATGACGGAGTTTGAAACGCTGTTTTCGTTTGTAAAGGCTTTTGTATCCAAGCCGGGGTGGAGGCAATTGGATTAGGAGTCACTCGGGGGTTACAGAGATTTTTCTTTCCGACCTCGGAGGTCTTATAATTAGTTTCCTTTTCGAGCGATTGGCGACAAGAGAGGTCGAAGCAAGCCGTATGTAGGGTGATGCACAGATCTGATGCTTCTGGTGGGCACAGTGAATGTCACAGGTCTTATAAAATCTATTCCCAGAAGAATATGTTTATTTCCAAGGTTGAGATGCCGGTAGAATGTTTCGCAATGTAGAAAACACTGACAGGCCGAAAGCACTCTAAAAGAAAGCGGCAACAAAACTTAATCCAGAATAAACATTTGGGGTCTTGGCACTTCAAACAATATGCTTATGTTTTACTGCACGCTTAGTGGGCAAGTTGTCGACTTCTAGGGTCCCCCATAACCTTCAAGGACTAGTTTTTAAGCATCTACGGGCCTCTGGACCAGTTCTTGCCCTTCCCTCGACCGCTCAGCCTGGACAACGTCCTTGTCAGTCACGTGCGAACGCTCCTCGGCATCGCTCAGGCTGGAAGAAGCAACAGCTCACGGTTGGAAACGGAAATGGATTCTGGTGAGGCCAAGATTCGCTGCTGAGTATATTGGTATGTAGCGGCTACAGACCTCTCTCCTCTGCGATCTACTCATCCCTTGGTAATTCACATATTCGTCATGCAAGATTAGGCGCCTCAGAAGGTAGAAGGCCAGTCGCCAAAGAGCCTGTGTGCTCATATATACACCAGCAGCACTTGCTACTGTACAGCGCAAGCCCGGAATCTGGCGGTCTGTCCATGTTACAGACCCTTTGTGACTCGAGCCCGTGCCACATTGAATCCTCCTCATGCTCTCTCACTTGGGGCCGATGATTTCTTTGAGGCTGGCACATCATCACCCCAGAACTTTTTCCAGCTTGGCCAACAATTCGGTATATCATAGGATGGTCCGTACGGGAGAAAGGCTGAGGAGTCGACACTTGGAGAATCCTCGTACGCACGTAATCCATGGATGTTTCGATTTTTGAACAGCCATTTTCCCTCGTGATAAATATACACATCTTCGTAGACCAGCTGCATGGTGATCCACCGTGAATTCGGGTCCACTGAATGAGTACAGATGCAATATACCGTGCCGGTCGCTTGGTCGCCGTCAAGATTGATGATATGTTGGCCAACAAAATGGAAACTTGGGCCAAAGGTCTTCAATGCTTTGGTGAACAATTCTCGCAGCGAGGTTATGTTCTTGTTTTTCGACTTGTCTTCTGCATCCAATATAGGAAGATTGACAGGCTCGTTGCTCTCCAAAAACATACCCACGAGCGCATCAATGTTGCGGCTGTCGACGGCCAAGGCATATCGTGCTCCGAGGCTCCGGATTTCCTCGTGGTCTGTACTCTGATTTCGCATTGTTGCTGCTTAACGAGTCCAGGATGAGCAGAGAACATACACTGTGTTTTCTAGAATATTCGTCTGACTGAAGGACTGGGGTGAGTTTGAAATTGACATGGCGCGAGGCTATATGAGATCTTGCATGAGCCCCGTTAGAACCACGTCGTATAAAACGACATATCGACTTTCGCCATTTATACGTCTAGACTTTTACGAGGGACATTTTGACAATTGGGTAGTCTCACGACTCGTGATCTGATTTAATGTGTAATTTTTGTACCTACCCATCGCTTCAGATAGGGAGGTTTCTGCGAACCCATAGGTCCATCATCCAATTTACAAAGCGCCGCCCTCCCAGCTTAATTTTTCATCAGAAGATAACAATGGTGTTTGGGGGACTACCTACTCCACCACGGATATGCAATGGAGCACTCGTAAAGAAAAAGCTCCATCGCTGTTGCCGTTTACATTCCTCTGCCAGCTTTTCCAGGTCAAAAAACTCGCCTGCGTGATATTAGCATCATGACTCGTTCTCGAACATGGTGATGGACGTTCAATCTTACCGATGGGCATCCCCCATCCTCCCAGCATGATTTCATGAAGGATATGTCCCTCCAAGCCTTGCTTGGGCGCTGTGTTGGGCGGACATTTCTCCCACCCCGCCGCGTCACCGGCACACGCAGTGATCCCGCTGCTCCATAACCATTGTGCCATCTCCCTCGAAGTCTCGACACCAACCCAGACGCTGGGATGTTCGTCGACCCAAGCTTTCTGTTCGGCCTCGCTCAGCGCCTTGTAGCCGACCCAAAGACCGGACCGAACCAGCAAGATGTCACCTTGGCGCAGTTCTGTGCCTTGAGCGGCCGCACATGCTTTGAGCTCGGCCACGGAAATCGAATAGTTTGCCTTCTGACCGATGAGCTCGTAGTTGTTGCCTTGGGAACGTGCGTATGAGTAGTAATCTAGGAGAACTCCTCGCCCGGCAATTGATCCGTTCTGGACCCATGCTAGAAGATAGCATCAGTCGAGGCAGGCCTGACATATCCCCGCGGATGTTCAGTCGTTATGGCAGACTTACAGTGTATCCCGATCAGTGACGGGTCCGGATTCGCACCGGAGATGGCATCAAAATCGGCATTGTTATAGAACTTCCGCTGTTTCATGTACCCTACGTGTCGGAATCCATCCCACTGTGCACCGACCTGTTATAGTCCCGAGGGTAAGCTTCCCTGTGCATCTCATCTCTTGTCAAACCATTGGTGTGATGCTTCCATACGCCCAAATATCGAAATGAGCAAGAAATGTACATACCTGAGTGTTGAACTCAACGACATCATCGTGTATCGGACCCTCTGGTCGAATGATCAATGTCTGCTTCAGGCCTTTGCGTCCTGCTCCAGGCTTTGCAAGCACGTCGAGAGGTGGATCCAACGACAGGCGGATGCCAGTCTTGACCTCCGACTGAATGGCTGCCAAGGTGTTTTCTGGGGTCAACATGTTCAGAGCACCAATTTGATCATCTTCTCCATATAGACCCCAAGCAGAGTACGCGGGATCTCCAGATCGATGAGGCAGTGACTCAAATGGTGGTCTTGACGGCATGTTAACTGGCTCTGCAAAGTTTGAAAATTGATAAACAAATTCTGTCACACCTGGTACGCTTGCACTATATATGCAGAATCCGATCCGACGATTCTTGCAACGACCCGACTCACCAATGTTATTAGGCAACTGTGCCAGCATTTTTTATATACCCTGGGAAAGTCGCATATGCACTGGATCCTCGAGGGTGTCGTGGCCCACGAGTCGACTGTTCCCCAGATGTGAAGCGGGGATGTTCTAAGCCATAGAGCATGTCTGGGGTGTGGACCCGCAATGAACCCGCAAACAGGGATCCAGTACATATACCGAGCTACTTGCTATAAGCGCGTTGTATTGCATTTGTTGCTGGTTCATACTATACCCAACTCTCTGTGTCCCTTGAGCCTTCAAACCAAGTTGGTGAACCGCTTAGTACACGATGTTGATGCAATCTTCCTTTTCGGGGGCATACAGCCTTACGAGTATCGCCATTTCGGCAGTGATATTTGCAGCTGCTTTGTACCTACTGAGCATGCTTTCTGCACACGCATCAATTGATCATCTGCCAGTCCTCGGCGAGAAAGGACAGACCACGTTCTACAAAACTCTCGAGAATGCCTATTTCAATGTATGGGAACCTCACCCATGTTGCAGAGCTCACATCCGATACTGATTGTCTGGCCAGATCAAAAACCTGCACCGTCTCCCGTTTCGACGGCACGACATTGTCTGGATCCCTCCCCGATTCATTAGTGAAGTGAGCTCGCTACCTGAGTCAAAGGTCAGCGTTGCTCGGGACTCGATGACCCGGTTCCACGGAAAATACACGGGGTTGGGTATTATGGACTTTCATTTTGTCGATGTCATCCGTATTCATGTCACCCGGAATCTGGCCAAGTATATCGGAGCCATGGAAATCGCAGTTGCCGAGTGCTTCGACTCGGTTTTTGGTCACTGTAAAGGTGATTGCATGACCCCCCCCCCCCCCCCCCACCAAAAGTAAATGACGAGATACGAGACCGATAGGACTCTCCAGACTGGGAAGAAGTTACTCTCCATGCACGGCTCCTGCAAGTCGTGGGGCGGCTCACAGCAAGAATGTTTGTGCCAGAACAGCTGTCCAAGAATCCGGTTTGGGTGTGTCGTTGATCTTTGGCCTCTTGTATAGGACACACTTGAACTGACAATATACTAGGTGAATCTGATGATTGACTACACTATGATCTCAATGCAAGCAGTCGAAGAGCTCCATGGTTGGCCGATCTGGACCCATCCGGTGGTTTCCAGGTGTCTGCCCAAATGCCGGCAGATTGTCGACATGAGAGCTCAGGCCCGCGATCTCCTCCGACCCGTGCTAGAAGATCGTCGTCGACTCATGGAGAGTGATCCGACTGATACCATGCCAGCTGACACTCTGACCTGGACAATCAAGGAGAAAGGCCCTGGTGGCTGGGACCCAGACTATCAAGCCCGTATCCAGATTCTGATTGCTGTGGGCTCCATACATACAACCACCAATGCACTGGTCAACACAATACTGGACATCATCAATAACCCCGGTGTGGCCGACGAGCTGCGTACTGAATACACCGACGTCCTGGCCGCCAATGATGGCAAGATGAACAAGATTGCTCTCAACAATTTGATCAAATTCGACTCGGTCATGAGAGAGTCACAGCGCTTGAATCCATCCCATGCCATCGCCATCGGCCGGGTCGCGACGTTAGATCTCAAGCTCTCAGGCGGCCAGGTCGTGCCGAGTGGTGTTCATTTCCTCTTCTCGTCCGCAGCAGCAAACAGAGACCCGGCATACTACAGTGATCCCAATCAATTTGACCCTTGGCGATTTGTGAAATTAAGGCAAGCCGAGAAGGATAGGTCGAATGAAGGGAAATGGCAGTTTGTGGCCACAAGTCCCAATTCCCTCGGCTTTGGTCACGGAACCCATGCTTGTCCCGGACGTTTTTTTGCATCAAATGAAATGCGTCTGATTCTGGGAAATCTGCTGTTGCGCTACGACTTCAAGTTCCCACCTGGGAAAACCCGTCCTGAGAGCTTGTATGGGGAGACGACCATTTCGCCCAATCCCAGCACGAAGGTGTTGATCAAGGCGCGCGTATAGCCCGACGGACATGGTCCTTACGGCTTGAGATGGAAGTATGTGTGGAAGAAGTCCATCCAACCGACCATCCATAACCGTAGCACTTTTCTCGATCCAACTACGACGCTATCTTATTCAAAGGCTTTGGTTTTTGAAGCGACACCACCCAGTGGAGCTTGCCTAGGCAGATGTTTTCTTGGGATAATTCATGCAATCGAAAGATTGTTCCGGCTATGTCATTGTCGGTGTGGTTACCGTGTCTTTGACTCTTACGACATACTTCCTCGCGCTAATCTTACCGTCTTGGAGTTTCTTTAGTGCATCTTGAATGCCCGCGAGCCCACCCTGGACCATCTCGAATGGATGGGGCACAAGCCACCCTTCTCGTAGACCTCTTGATGCCAGCTGGAACCAGACCTCTCCAAAGTCTTGGTCAGAGTTGAACACCACGCCGACGGAGGTGAAACTGACGTTGAAGATTGACCGAGTCTTTTCGTTGGCCGATTCGGTTGGTATCACAGTTGTCAGATTCCCGCCAGACGCCATCACTGCAAGAATATTGTCACGTGTTGACTTGGATTGGTCGGCCACTGCATCCAAAGCAAACTTGAGCTCTTTACCCGCCAACGCGGTTTTGAGATCCCTGATCAGATCTGGCGTGGATTGGCGGTAGTCGATCGCGACGTCGCCCTTGTCCGACTGTAGAAATTTTTCTACCAGAGGCAGGCCATTCCCAGCGACCGTAATGATGGGGTGGATGCCGGCGTAGCGTGCGAGTTGAATTGCATACGCACCGACCGCACTCGCGCCACCATAGATCAGTATTCCTCCTTCCGGGAGCTTGTCGGGATGAGCTCGAGCAACCCAAGGCTCGGGAAGGCCAAGCCGAACAAACAAAGCCACCGCCGCCGTCATGTATGACAGGGGAATCGTTGCGGCACGCTCAAAGTCGAGAACTGCGGGGATGTGAAATGTCGCATGTTCTGGAGCTATGGCATAGTCTGCATACGCACCGCCCCCAGGTCGGCGCATATCGTGGTAGGCTGCAACACGATCTCCAGGCTTGAACTTGATGACGGCCGATCCGACTTTTCGAACGACGCCCGCGATATCGTCGCCTTGGTTGGTTCCGTCGAACGATGGGAAGAATTGCGGCACTTTCCAGTCTTTGGGGTTCATCCCAGCTGCAAAGACCTCGATCAAAACCTCGTTACCGTCCGGCTGCGGGAGGTCAGTTCGATGGATTGAGACCTTTCCCGTGCTGTGGACGAGAGCCTCCAACATCGTCTCGGGTACGTTCTTGGACATTATGGCCAAAAGCGATGAAGATCCAACTTGGGCACGGTGATTGAGTCTGTGAGCTTTGTTCCGGTTTCTTCACTCTTCACACCAGGCCGGGTTACTGCCTCTAACTAGGTGAGGCGACGGGCGCCGTCCGAGGATCGTTCGGTACATGGAATTGGCTATATCGGTATTCGAGGGAATGTAATACTCCTCGACTATTCATCGGGGCGGGTTAAGCCGGCTTGTTGGCCCGTATAGTGCAGACGCACAGCCGAAGGTGGGAATCGAGTCGTTATCCTCGACCAGGCGATCAGGTCGAACCAAGGGCTTCCCCGTACCCACCACTACATATATTGCCTATAGCAAACTATTCTCCGCCCGGCTCTCTTCTCAAAGCATTGAAGTCGAAGCTCTGATTCATTCACATGGCTCTTCCAACCAGTTTCCCACCTGGCGAGATTGACATCATCGCGACGGTCCATCCTGAATCGTCCAAATCAGACGAGGTAAGAAGAGCGGAGGAGTTTTACTCGGGCTCGCATTCACAGAGACCGATCAACTGATGACCTGACACTCCGCAGCTGATCGCAGCCATTGACGAGCTCGTCAAGGCAGTCAAGACCCAGGAACCCAATGTCCTGGTGTATTATGCAGTCAAGTCACAGTCGACAGATGGACTCGTGGAAATAACCTTTGTTGAAAAGTGACACCCCCCCCCACCCCCCACCCCCTTTGGACTGTCCTCGCCTTCGCAACCAAGCTGACTGAATTACTCAGATATCTGAACGAGGAAACTCTCAAGGCACATATGCTCAGCGACCACTATCAAAAGTTTTCTCGCATTTCGGCTGGCCTACTAGCGAAGGATAAACCTCATAGAGTCATTATCGGGACCAGTGTTGGACACGTGGCTCCAGGGGGGGAATCTCGTTGACTGCGCGAAGATTGTTCTGAAACGCAATCTCCTGGTGTCGAGAGAAGTGACAAGCAATACTTGGTCTTATGAGGCTCTGATGCATAGCTTTGGCTCTTTCTAGGCCTGAAAACCATGGCGAATTCCATCGCTTAAAAATACATGTGACATCCGTGCATTTGAAAATAGCATCATGTGTACATACTGATCACGCAAGGATAATGAACCGTGGCCCTCAACTTATCTGAGGGTCACTCTCCTTGGGACACTCGTTCTCAATGACGACTGCTTTTACCTCCTCCAGATGATCCGAGGAAGAGGCAATCTCTTCCTGTTTCAGGTGCTGCGGTGTCTTGCCGGTCAAGTGAGCCGAGAGCTAGTCAAAATCGTTAGCACGTCTGAACATTGTTCACAAGATACAAAGGAACTTACGTCTCGGATGAAAAGAGACATGAGAAATGCTGACACGGAGAAGGCGATTCCAGAGTACCAGATATATTTGAAGGCTGCGAGGTAGGCGTCACGCAAGGCCGCTGATGCAATCTGGACAATCTCAGTGGTGACGCCAGATATGTCCGTTATCTCGACACCTGGTGTGGCCCCCGTGAGGACACCCATAAATTCGGCCAGGGATGTCTCTGGAAGGCCGGCCTGTAGTGCAGCTGGAACAACTCGAGCAGGGATCAGAGTGGCGGCTTTACTGGACAAAATGGACGAGAAGACCGAGATCCCCGCTGCTCCGCCAATACTGCGCATGAACCCAACGGTGCCGATGGCAAGGCCGATGAGCTCGTCTGGTGCCGTCAGAGTGATCAAAGGAAGTGTATACGCATCAACGATACCCGTCCCTGCCGCCGATGCTTGTTCAGTATTGGGACATCAACGAAAGATCGGGCTGAGAAGAGCTTACCGAAACCTGCAAAACACGTGAATCCATACACCATGCGCTTTGAAGAGCCATCCACGAGAGCCAGGAGGGGCACAAACAGGGCAGTGGCAAATGCTCCAGAGGCCAAGATGGGTGTAGTGCCAATGCGACGAGCAACAGGCTTGAGCAGGAAAAGACTAGACACTCCACCGACCCACGTTCCTGCTCCGAGAGGAATTCCATCGATCCCAGTCTGCCGGGCATCGTTTCCAAAGACCAGAACCAAGAATTGTGGAAAGAGTGCCTGGAAGCCGTAGAAGAAGAGGCCACCACTCAAAAAGGTCACGATACAGATCAGGCTGAAGGTGCGGAATCGTGCGAACAGGAATGGATGGAGAAGGGGATTCTTGGTTCCGTAAGCTTCCCAGACTCCGAGGGCAATGCAGACCACCACGCCCGCGATGAAAGGACCTAGGAATCGACCACTGGAAGGAGAGTATTGCGAGACATTGATGATCCCCACGAGCATCAAAGTGGGACCAGCCTGTGAGGAATATGAGTATTTTACCGCCAAGGGACTTTGAGAAGACTGGACCGTAGGGAACTCACAATGATTCCAAGGGCGCCGACATAATCAAACGTGCGGATAATGTTGCGTCTGGACTGGTGCGCAGCTAGCAGGGGCTTGGCTGGATAGTAGGAGAAAAAGACGGCGACCAAGCCGACGATATTTGTCGCCAGTTGCAGCCAGTAAATGCTCCTCCAGCCGGGACCGGTATGTGTGGCAAACTCGTGTCCGAAGAGAGAGCCGCATATGGACCAGACCCCGACCGTGAGGTTGGCAAACCCGATAGCGATTCCGCGAGCCCTGGTTGGGACCAGTTCAGCGATTCCAGCAAAGCCAGTGAGAGCTCCAGCCTGATTCAAACCGAGCATGACATTGGCGGCGATGACTGATGGGCACGGTTAGCTGGTTCGAGCTAATGAACACCCTCACTTTGGGTGGAAAACGTGGCTTACCTTGCCCAATGGTTTGTGCGGTGATTCCCAGTATGGCGGATATGATGGCCAGGACGGTCGTGCTGACGGCAACCCATCTCCGGCCGACCAGATCCGAGACGGTGCTAACCAGCAAAAGTCCGACAGCAGCTGCGACGGTCCACCCAGAAGCTATCCATGCAAATCCGGGATCGGGTCCGAGGTCTTGATTGATGATGGTAATGATGGGTGCCAGCATCATATACGGACCCAACGACACGCAGTACACATAGCAGAGTGCCCCAATGGCAATGTAGCGTCGGGTCCAGCTCTTCGCTGCAAACCCATCTTCTCCTTCGACTTCTTCATGCTCGTGCAGCTGTTGTTCTTTACTGTTGTCGTGGACGATCGTGGACTGCTCGGTGATGCCCATGATTACCGGTGGGAAGGCGCATAGAAGGGGACACGGGAAAGATCGTCGTGGTTTAATAATTACTTGAACCTTTCGGCTGGGTCGTAATGGACGAATGTTTTGCTCAGTAGACCGAGCATTGCTTTCTGGGGCATGGAGTTGCGAATGAATAAACAACCCCGCAACTGGGGCTGAAGCGAAAGCATGAGAGTAATTCCGGGGAAACAGATAAATCAAGGAAGGGACTTGTTCCGGGGAAACGGTGGGGAAACGGATATATCAAGGAAGAGACTTGACACCAAAGCTCTGCTAGTGTTCTCGATCGAGACCCTCGAGCACACCCTGGCTGGCCACATGGCTGGTGGCGGCTTGGGAGCCTCAAAGAATATAAACGAGTCGCAGCCAACGACCAGGGACTCGAGTCCTAGATATCTAGCCAATAATAAGTCACGGGCCTATGCTCCACCTGAATTGCTCAGTAAGGTAACCGAATGCGGATGAAAAGGGCCTGGAATCATGTACACCACATCCGGAGTATACCACTGAACATGCTTTTCAATGAGTCTGGCAGTAAAGAGCTGCAACAGCAGACCACGCTGCACGTATGAGTCGCCCGTAGCAAATAGATACTACCGTTTACTTTCTAAAAGCTCCAATGTGGAATGATCCGCGACAGCGGCAAAATGGCGCAGACTGACCGCCCTCACTCTCTCTCGTGTCTGCATTTCCGGTGGAGTAAAAGCCCAGAGAAAACCGTGTAGTTGATGACATCTATAATCATCCCAGACATCGTCAATGGTGAGACATGGTCCGCCTGCAGAATGAAGAGCCTTGAGATAGCTTGCAAGAAGTCGACGTTCAGACTGGCGTCTCTCTTCAATGTCGAGTGACCCGGTGAGAAAATAAGCAACATCGTGCATCGAGGCGCCCATTTGCACGTTCTGGAAGTCGAGAAATGCGACGTCGCCCCGTGGAGTCTTGAAAGTATTGCCCACGTGAGGATCACCATGGATTGCACACTGGGGCCCTGAGAGATCCCAGAGAGCCTGAAACGCCCGCTTCATCCGTTGCAAGTCCTTCATATGTTCTGGAAATTCGGGCAAGGCGTTCTCTCCAGTGAGATAGCCATACCACACCCGGTCAGTCAGCAAAACTTTCATCACGTCGCGTAGGACATCGGCCGTCTCCAGCCACGCGGTTTCCGGACTCTTGAGTGCCCAGGTAGTCCCGTGCAGGCGTGCAAGCTGCTCAAGGCCAGATTTCACTTGAGTCACTGTATAGGGCTCGGTGACCTCGCCAAAGACACACTTGTTGGCCGCGAGGTCTTGGAGCACGACGATGCCTTGTCCTTGGGTCGTATTTGTGGCAGCAAAGTATGCCTCGGGGAGGATCATATCCAGTTCATGTGCGAGACGGGCAAAGAAATCCGCTTCCCGGACATAGGCTTTTCGTGTGCCCCAAGAATGGAGATCGGCTGTGAATCCTCCTTTGACACATATCGAAGCTGGCAGATGGTCGGTATGCTCAATGTCGTCGTCGTATTCTAAATCAAGTATTACTTTGGTTGCTGTTCCGACGATGGTGTCCCGGGGAGTACATGACTTGATGTGAGGATTCAGCTTGTCTTGAATCCATTCGAGAGTGATTTCATCCACTGTGGCGGGGAGTGGTGTCTGGCACTCGAGTTCGGCTGGACACTGTCTTCCTCCTGCACGGATAGACCCCATTTCATTGACTTTTGGCAAAAGAATCCTGGTGGCTCAAATTGACCAGATGATAACACTTGTCAGATAATATACCACTACCCTGAGCTAGTGAGAAATGGCTTATGAACGAATTTGTAGTTCGATACGAGTCGGCTGACGCAGTGGGGGTACTTTTCGTAGACAGATAATGTGTGTCACCATAAAGTCATACTGCCGGAACAAATGAATGCTTCCCTCGTCACATGAAAATCTTGGACACCATGGACGTCTCAGATCAGTCGGGGTCATAATTCAGCCCCAGTTGTTTTCCATGTTGGAAGCACTGCCATTGGGGAAGCACTGCCACGGGGAAGCATAGCCACTGGGGAAGCATAATCCACTTGTTTTCTCCTCAAAGACAAGGGTTGGCTTAACACATTGAAGACTCTGGGAGGCTCTAACCATTAGGTACATTCCAACACCCCGACCTTGATTCTAAATTTCAGACGAATCTTGTCCCCTTGCACTATGATCCAGGCAATGTATAAAGGCAGAGATGCGAAGTCGGATAATTTCCACAAAACCACAATGTCCTGCCAGTCGCAATCCTGTCCGATCGAGAGCAGCTCTCTGAGGTCGTGGAGCTCGAAAGACAACTTGCTCGCATGTCGGCAGCAAGCAACACCCTGCCAGCCACAATACACGCGAAATCTCTGGCAAGAATTGTGGAAGTCGTACAAAAACGCTACCGCTGTAGACAAGAGCGATCAATCCGTCTACTTCTACTAGCCCAGGATTTTGTCGTCGCCTTCCCATCAAGGTTGGGTATCAACCAGCAGTTGGGAGATTGATTATGGCTCCAAGGAGATGGATTTTGGGACAAAGTGCAGTGCATCACACCCTTACAGACCTCGATTGGATGTCAATGGCAACACACCTCTGCTCGGCCTCACCACAATGTCGTTTCGAACGACTTGCCGAGACACTCCAAGCAAACGGAATGCTAGATCTGGACAAGGAAAGGGGCTAAGAAAGCCAGTATACATACCTCCTATATAGAACCGCGATTGCGGTTGGGACTTGTCCATCGCAATCGAAAGATCAGTTTTGCCCTTTTTCGCCAAGAGGTGATCAGATCAGAAGAAACCCGTCTTCATCACTGCCGTTTGCCGTTCCATTCCTCTTGACATAAACAATCATGTCACAAACTGCCACCAAGGAGATCTTGGTTGCTCACGAAGAAGAGCACGTTGGTGGCGAGTCTCCGGCTGAGAATCAAGGTGCGCAACCAGACCATCGAATAGTCAAGGCATATGAAGGTGATGGCCCCGAACCTGCCATCACCCTGAAGACTTGGTTGGCACTTACTGCCCTTATGGTAAAGCAATGCTTGCTTTGAAACCCTCTGCCCACGAGGCATAGATCATGCGCTGACTGTTTTGCCTCACCTTGCAGTTCCACTATAGCACGCACAGTGCCTTGATCAGCATCTGCGGGCCCATCATCACATACATCAACGCAGATTTGGGTAAGTTCAAGTATCCTACAGATAAGAAGAAATCATGAGCAGTTCAATCAACTGACGTTTGTTCCCAAATGCCCCGACGCAAACTATACCTGGATCATATCAGCCAAGACCGTTGCAACTGGGATAGCTGCTCTCATCATAGGCACTACTACTGAGTATGTCCTGATCGACGAAGTGACGACAAAGTACTGATCAGATTCATAGTCTTCTTGGTCGACGGTGGGTGACCATCGGAGGGTCGATCCTGGGTGTCATCGGCTGCATCTTGGGGGCTACCGCTCAATCGGTACCACAAGGTGAGTATATATCGGCCTTGTCGTCTGTTCCTGGCTGACTTGACCCGAAAGTCATTGCAGCAATGGCAGTCAACGGCATTGGTGGTGGCGCCTCATTGAACACCTTCGCTTGCATGGCGGAAATCGTGTCGAGGAAACAGCGAGGACTCGTGTTTTCCATAATGTACTTCATGACGTCCTGCTTCGTCATTGCGGGCTCTCTCATCGGTAGGTTCTAGTTCTAGCGATAGATTGAGGCTTGAGAGAAATCCCTAGTCCCGCTACTAACCTGTGACAGGACATGCCATGTTGAGAACTGCGGCTGGCTGGCGAACTCTGTTCTATCTGCTCATTGCCATGAATGCACTGACCACCGTTCTGGGCTATCTCTTCTATCGACCCGGGCCGCCATTGGCCTTGCAGACAACAACCAGGCGACAGATCATCAAAGACTTTGATTATGTTGGCCTATTTGGTGTAACAGTGAGTGATTCATTCTTGATCTTGGTTCCAAATGTTGATATAACCATGAATGACTAGGCCGGACCGGTCTTGTTACTGATTGCCATTATCTGGCTTGGTGGTGCCTATCCGTTCAATTCACCTCAGGTCCTCAGCACGTTTATCATCGGGCTTGTCTTGATTTTCGCCTTGGCCGTATATGGTGAGCAGAGGACATGGTCCTATCCAAGTTGTGTTCAGAAACCTGACTTCAGGCGATAGAGGTCTACGTACCCAAGAATCCGCTCCTGCACCCATTTCTCTTCAAGGAAGTGCGCAAATTCGTTACATTGCTCGTGGTCACCTTTACCAGTGGAATGCTGTAAGCGACACCAATATGTCTCCGTGCACGGCGTGTTGCTGACCTTCATCTCAGATATTACTCTCTCCTGACCTTCTTGTCGCAATACCTATCATTGGGCTATACTGGCTCTAATCCGATCCGGGTTGGCGTGCTTCAAATTCCATTTGGAGTGGGAACCACCATTGGAGGCATTGGCATAGGTCTAGTGTTCCGGTGGCTACGACATCAACGAGTAGCTTTGCTCCTGTCGATCGTTGTTCAGACCTTGTTTATAGGACTCCTAGCTGTCCCAGGTTTGTTTCCACCGTCGTGCCAGACCTACCGAGCGACCGACTGCTGACGATCATAGGTCCGAGCAATCTCGCCATGGCACTTGCATTTATATGCATGTCTGGTATTGGAATCGGTAAGCCTCGAGTTTGACCATTGTCTGAATCGGACATCGCTGACAGTGCCGGACTCAGGTGTGGAGCAGGTGATCACCATTCTCATGGTCCAGCTGGCCCTTCCCGAAGAGTGGATGTCAGTTTTCCCCTTTTCCTCTTCTCTACTCTAAAGATCCCGTGAATTGTCTTCTAACAACAATTCAGTGGGTTTGCATCCGGATCCTTGACGGCTTTTCGTTTGCTCGGTGGCTCTGTGGGCACCGCCATGTACATTACAATCTTTCGACGAGAGGTACCCAAGCATGTACCGCAGGCCATTGCAAGAGCCGCAACTGAAGCCGGGGTGTCGAGCGGTTCAATTCCGGATCTCGTGACAAAACTCTTGACCGGCCAGGGCCCTGAATTGACTTCCATTCCCGGAGTCAATGCTGAGAATCTCGTCCCTATTACGAAAGCTCTTCGCGCAGGATACTTAGACTCGTTCCACATTGTGTGGTACGTTGCGGTTGGTCTGGGTGTCTTGACTCTCATTTGTGCCGCATTCCAGGCAGAGGTACGAGATGCACTCAATTGCTCGTCAGACATGAGCCAGAATTTGCTAACGTGGACACAGCTCTCGAGTCAAGTTGACAATACCGTCGCACAAAAGATTGGGGATGAGGAGATCAAGACCACTGATGGTTCCAAGGGCTTTGGACTGCATTGAACTTGCCGTACTAGGGGCACGCTTCGGATATTCAGGGATTGGGAGGACTGGGCCGTCAAATTAATCTCTAGATACAGCACCCTAGCAAAAATAGCCGTCCACCCCCAACCCAACCAGATGTTTCCACCGCCACCACTACTACACAATATAGCCATTTTACAGCCAATTTATATGATAATTTAATATAATTTGTAGGATATCTAGCTTAGGTCTTATAAGACTAGTTCCGCCAAAAAAGAAGCTATCAATATCGCGTTGTCAGCGCTACTTCCTGCGTCTCGTGAGTTGTCAGGTGTCTTAGTAACAGGTCTAACACCACGCCGACTCGCGTTGAACGATCGTTAAGGGCTGAGTAAATAACGGCCGAGCGGAGTTCCCCACACCCCCGGTGCTGGGGCCCCATGGCTTTCCTTTCCAGGTTAGAACGTGCAGGGACCGACCGCACGTGTCTTGTGGGATGCATTGGCTTTGGGGTAGCTGCCCGTCCCTGTTCCTGGGATTGATGGCCTCGGTTGTGCGACGACGCCGGAATCGCTCTTACGAGTTCTGCTCCACGACCGGGCTCTTCCATTGTGCTGGCGATAACGATAACGGCTCTCGTTGTGGCGTCGCTGGCATATATGCAGAGCTTCGGGCGATTAAGGAACACACTATAGGCTCTTCCCCTTGGACGCATAAGGAACACACTTGTAGGCTCCTTTTCCACGTTTCATATGTTTCAGAGCATCCAATTCAATCAGAAAGACCCGGCCAACAAGTTTTGGCAATATGGCATCCGTTCGACCATTCAAGATTGACGTCCCACAAGTCAAGCTCGACCGACTTCAGCAAAAACTCGCCCTTGCAGATTTCCCAGACGAACCCAGTCATGTCGAGCCTTGGTCAAGAGGTGTTCCTCTCCCGACGATGAAACAGCTCGTCCGGTATTGGCGAGAAAAGTATGACTGGCGGAAAGCGGAAGCTCAGCTCAACCGCTTCCCACAGTACACCACCCAAGTGGAGCTCGACGGGTTTGGAACATATAATGTCCACTTTGTTCATCGACAAAGCGAAGTCAAGAATGCCATCCCTCTGCTCTTCATACATGGCTGGCCCAGTAGTTTCATGGAAGCAATCAAAATCCTGCCCGAGCTCGTGAAAGGGGGACCTGAATTCCCGGCATTTCATGTTGTCGCGCCCAGCCTGATGGATTACGGGTTCTCGGATTCAACCAGAAAGGTAGGCCAGTTGTGGAACTGCAGTCGGTGAATGACATGGTTAACCAACAAGCCTGTTAAAGAGAGGATTTGGGGTTAACGAGCATGCCGAGATCTTCAACAAGCTTATGCACGTCCTGGGATATAATCAGTACGGTGAGTGGCATCACCGTAACCCGCGGACGGAGACTCACAGTCCTCTGCTTCCCCTTGTTTAGTGGTCCAGGCCGGAGACGTGGGCTACTTGATATCACGCTTCTTGGTTCAGAAATACCCCGAATCGTGCCGTGCGCATCATGCCAACATGACCCAGCCCAACAAGCCGACTCAAGAGGACAATCCAGACCTATTTGCCAAGATGGTGGCCATCGGGCCGACCAAAGAGGACGAAGCATTGCTTGCTCGCCACGGCAAGTTTTTCAAAGAAGAGGCAGGCTACTTTCACATCCAGAGCACGCGTCCACAGACCATTGCGTACAGTCTGGCTGATTCACCAGTCGGTCTCCTCGCCTGGATCTACGACAAACTGGTCGGACTCACCGACGACTATCCCTTTACAGAGGACGAGATCTTGACTTGGATCAGCATCCATTGGTTCTCTACTGCTGGTCCCGGTGCACCACCGCGTATCTACTACGAGTTTTGCAATAAGGAACCAACCTCCGAGATTGTCCAGTCAGGAAGATGGGCAGATGCACCATTAGGGGTGGCTCGATTTCCAAAGGAGCCAAGCAACCTCCCGAAATTGTGGCACGAGGGATTAGGTCCCATCGTGCAATGGACCGAGTTCACGAGAGGAGGTCATTTTGCGGCCTATGAGATGCCCAAAGAGCTGTTGGCCGAGGTCAGAAAGATGTATGGAAAGGATGGAGGTGCGGCAGGGATCGTCGAGGGACGAAGTGGTTATGATTGATTATAATCCTGATCCCTTGAGGTCTAAAGACAGTATAGACGGTTATATCATCTTCCTCAGTTGAGGTCCAAAATGGCACGCCCATGGATTTTGCCTTCTTTTGTGTCGACACCAATGAATCGATAGGCCGCGGGCAAAATAAGGACTCCATGTCGACAAGTTCTTAGCCAAGATAGTCTTCACACAACCGCTAAGTGGCTGCCTCGTCAACAGCCTAGTCAATGATGTCCGAGTGACAAACTTACTTTGCTGATGGAGTCACTACAGAGTGCAACTCGTGGTTCAAACGCGGGACAGAGGATGGTCGCATACTCGGTAAGCCTTTGGCCCTGCCTGATAGTAGTTCCGCGGCCTGACCGCCTCAAATGCGCAGATGGCCAGCTCTTTCTTGAGAATGTCTAGAGTGTTATCTTGCGATACGGCGAGGGACTCGATGGCGCCATCGCATGCAACATCGGAAGCTGAGGATTCCAGCTTCCAACTGTTGGAGCATGATCTGAAGCAAATCGGACATTCGAGAGAGTTTGGACAAGTCGCTCGCGTGAGAGAACCGTAGGAGCGCGCTGTACATGAAAGATGCGACAAGCAATGTCGTAGGCTCCTCCTCCGCCGTCCCGGACGATGTATATTTGCTGCCAGGGGATCAAGGAGTCGTAAAAATCTCCATTACACCGACGACTGCACAGTCATTCCCTAGCCAAGTAGATATATCGATGTTTTGCTAAAGCATAAATAACATGTATACGTTGTTGCTCGCCAGCCAAACGATACACTTTCAGTCTGTCAGGCCGCGACTCGACTCATCGTTGTATTCCAAACCCGAGTTCTGTTCATCAGACCATGACCAACGTTGCTAGAGTGTGAGTGATCCGACGGGGTTGGTGGTCTTCCCAAAACAAGGGCCAAAGTTTTGGTCGTTCTAGTCGAGTCGTAGGCATCGGTACCCCCACAGGTCAATGTCAAAGCAAACTATGCGTTGAATCATTTCAAGGAGGTAAGACAGTAGACGCACGCATTTGGTGAACTACACCTTTCACCCTAAAACATCCACATTCTCTGGTCCTCGAGCCGAGAAGCCTTGACGAACATGGGCATCGCAGGTCAGAACATGGCAGAACCGACGTGGGCCGGTGGCCTGGAATCGAAGAGGCTCAGGACTTATCTCTTTGCTTTCCTCATCCCTACGGTGATATATTTCCTGGTTAAGGCTCTACAGCGGCCGAAAAGGCGATTCCCTAATGTCCCATGGCTCCGGTTGTCGTCGAAACCAGGCAAAAAGGGAGAGAAGGAAGATGCCATGAAATTTGTCGAGAATGGACACAAGGTAATCATGGAAGGGTACAGGAGGGTAAGACAGAGCCACACAGCAAATGAGTACTGTATCCTCGATGCAAGGGCTGATACCGTGCAGTATACCAGGCAAGGGCTCAATTGGATGATGAGAACTCCCGAAGGAGGCCAATTTGTCGTCCATCCCAAATTCGTCGAAGAACTCCGGTCGGCAAAAGAGACGGATCTTCATAATCTACCAGCCAATAACGACTTGATGCAGACGCGCCACACTATGCACAAAGATCTGGAATGGGACCAGTATCACTTCAATGTGGTGTCGAAACAACTCACTCACAGTTTGGGTATGTGAACGAACAAAACGAGTGCGAAGACGACAGCTGCTGACGTCCAACCTTCTCCGGGACAGGACCTGGCCTACCAGAGATTGTCGACGAGTGCAAAGGAGCATTTGCAACCGAGATTGGTCATCCAGAAGGTGGGTGATTACTCTGAGGATTCACCAGTACTTGGGCTTTGGGGCTGAACTCGTTTGTAGACTGGAAATCGGTGCACATGTACCCCACGGCATTCAACATTGTGACAAGGACAGCCAATCGGTTGCTGTTTGGCAAGGAATTGGCCCGAGATCCATCGTTTCTCAAAATGGCCATCGAATACAGCGAGTGCTTCTTTGGCGGCGCAAACATGGTGCGACACTACCCTGAGTGGATGAAGCCGTTGGTGCTTCGCTTCCGCACGGGACTGGCCCAGCAGACCGCCATCGCCAACGAGAAGCTCATCCCCGTGCTCAAACAGAGACTCAAGGATATGGAACGGGCAAAGAAGGAGAACAGATGGGCCGAGTATGAAAAGACAAAACCGGCAGACACAAGTGAGTGCACAGGATAGCACTAATGACGATCAAAGCATACAAATGACGGAGCGATGTTCCGTCGGGCAACGTTCTGATTGAACTGACTTTTACTCTCTAGTTCAATGGGTACTGGATATCACGCCTCCCGAGAAAATGAACTTGAAAGTTGTGACTTTGAGGTTGGTCCACATTCTTACCGCGGCCGTCCATACCAGCAGCGTCACATTTCTGAACACCATGTACGACTTGGCTGCCCATCCCGAAGTTCTTGACGAGTTGCGGCAGGAGATCAACGACGTCTTTGCTTCCGAGAACGGCCTCTGGAGAAAGCAAGGCCTGACCAAATTGGTAAAGATGGACAGCTTCATCAAAGAGTCTGCTCGATTCCACCCGTTTCAGGCTGGTATGTTGGGATCTTCCCTTCCCGGCCAACATACTTCGTTCCTCTAATTTATCCAGGTACAATGGATCGTATTGCGATGCGTGACTATACATTGAGCGACGGGACGTTCGTGCCCAAAGGGACTTACATGCTGACTCCATCCTCGGCCGCGAATCTGGATCCCGATGTTTGGGGTCCCGATGCCGAAAAGTTCGATCCCTGGAGGTTTCAAAGAATGCGGCAAGCGCCAGGCCAGGAAACGCTTCATTCAATGGTCCAGACGACGCCCAACTTTACATTTTTTGGGTAAGGCGAGCTGAAACACCTGGCAAGTGATTTGCTGACCATCAAACTATAGACATGGCAAGCATGCATGCCCCGGACGATTCTTCGCCGTGAATGAGATCAAAGTGCTCTTGACGTATACACTGGTCCACTACGACGTCAAGTACCCTCCAAACGCACCCACGCCTGAAATGATGTGGTTCTCGGGCAAGACCATGCCTGACATGAAGACTTATCTACTGTGGAAGGAGAGAAAGGACGTCCAATTGCCTTGGAATGAAGTATCCTAGATTGCAGAATCGAGGGTTGATGGCATATGCTTTGACAAAAGGCATCACTTGTGCGCCACTGTTGAGGAGATTAGACTCGGATTTCTGACTAGGTCTCTATCCACTCCGAACATATAGATCCATAAATTTCATCTCTGTAGTGTCGTCGGCAATCTGTGCAAGAGTTAAGCAAACTCAGCCAGCTAGAGGCGCCAAATGCTTAGCAGTCAATGAAAGGTACCTCGATGGTCAAGATTCGAAAAGATGCTCTCAAAGCTCTTGCACTATGCTATCTAGTCTCGGGACCAAACACTGGGTCTCTCGATGGCAACTCGAGTTCAAATGGAATGGTAAACTCAACTCAAATTGAATGAGAACTTGCCAAATATCTCCCCCGCTGCAAACTTGCTGAATATATCAGGCAGCTGAGAGAAGTCACACTCGGTCGACTCTGGAACAATGTCATGTATTGACACAGTCGCCATCATATCCTTCAAATCGATCGGGTTCCCCGTTTGGGTTCCTTTCATCACTAGACCTTTCTTGATAAACGGCATAATACTCAGTGGGATGGCCTCATGAGGAACACCAACCGCGACAAGGGTCCTGCAACGCCGGTCAGCAATCAGACCCGCGGGAAAGTTCATCTGTCAATATAACACGGTACCTTTGAAAGCCGCAGATCTCGGCTCCAATGAGATAGCCTGCGGATGTGGGAGTGCATATCAAACACCCTGCCAACAAGCCACCTTGAGTCAACTCCGAGACCTTGCTCTTGACGGTGTCGAGATCACTCGAGTCGAGGACATGCTGGGCCCCGGCCCGCAAAGCTCTATCCCGAGCATCCTGCGACACGTCCAACCCGACGACTTGAAAGCCAAGCGCCCTGGCAAATCGCACAGCCAGAGTCCCGACTCCTCCAAGGCCAATGACGCCGATCAGACCTCTCGCCGGAGCGTCAAGTCGTTTCAAAGCGGCAAATGCTGTGATTCCGGCGCAAAACAAGGGGGCCAACCTATTTTACCCTTTTGGTCAGCGAGACGATGACAGCCAAAACCGTGCAATGGATAGCGGAGCTGACTTTGGAGCATCCAACGTGTCAGGGATTTTGATCGCAACCAGGGCTGACACCACCGCATATTCGGCCCAGAAACCATCCACGTCGAATCCGAGATCCCTCTTTCCAGATTCGCAAAATTGGCCTGACCCGGCCAGGCACCTTTCACAATTCGCACAGAAGTTGGCCGCATTGGTGAAGCCGACTCGATCGCCGTTTCGCAAGTTGGTCGCGGTCGATTCATGCTCTGTCACCCAAGGATAGAATTTCAGTTGGACCGACCGGTCGAGCACGCAGTAGCTTAGCTTGACTTCACATACTGGAAACCACTACCCCTACTGCCTCGTGGCCAGGGACCACACCAGTTTTATCTCCGAGGTATCCTTTCCATGGCACCAAGTCTGAGGCACAGATGCTAGTTGAAAGAATCTTCACAAGGAGTTCTCCGGGTCCTGGCTTGGGCACTGCCTTCTCGACAAGCTTCAGAGGTTCGCCGGGCTAGTGGATCATCAGATCAGTCCAGGACACAACCCGCTCGAAACGTGTCTGTGCCTGCTTACTTTTTGGAACACGACGGCTTTCATTTGGGTTGGAAGTCCATCGTCGGTTTTCAAGGAACTCATGATCACCGTAGGAATGAATTCGAGGCAAACTTCCACAATTGACTGTTACAGATATTGAAATTCTAGGACTCTGCGTGGTGTTTAACAGACCTCTGCATTCCTCACCCCGTGAAATTTTGTGATCCTGATTGAGCAATTTTGGTTCTGCAAACATCGCCACAAACGACTCGCCATAAACGACAGCACCTCGTCCACTTACGCGCCTGCAATGTCGACCGTGGGGAACTAGCCCTGAGGGCGTCTAAATCTCGAAAGATCTAGAATTGGAGAATAACGTGTCGAGATTCGAGTGTCTCGTACCATCCGAGGGCGACAGCGGCAAAAGCAGTACCAACACTTCCCGCAAGGACGGACAACATGGAAAACGTGATAGAAGATCTTGCGAACAAGATTTACATCAACAACAAGGTCAGTGAGAGAAAGTAGAATGTATCCAAGACCATGATCAATGACCATAAGCTAAGACTGTGATCAGTATGTTGAAGCTAAAGGGCAAGACCGGTAAGGGCATGAAGTAATGACTGTTGTGTCAGCGATGATATTGAAGAGATTACAGCCTCAAACTCTACAATCCTGCCACTGGCAATCTCGTGTCGGAGCAGGTCGCCATCGCCAGCCAGACTGATGTCGACTCAGCCGTTCAAGCAGCCGAGGCGGCCATGTTGCCCGGGAGTCCTTGGAGGACCATGACCGCCAGCGATCGAGCAGCGTGCTTTTGGAAATTGTCCGAGCTCATTAGCGACCCGGTTCACTCTGATATCATAGGGAAGTTGGACGCGGCCTGTTTCGGACGGCCTCTGAGTCAGTTCGCGGCGATAGACGCGAAGGTAGCACGCGACGGACTGCGATGTGAGCGCCACAAATTCTCTTTCATGAGGGATCGTCAACGACTATCTTCCGATTTTCGTTGGAAACCTTGGATCCGTCTTCTCTAAACCATGTTCCTGCTAATGTGATGTAAACCAGACTATGCCGGATGGGTGGACAAGTTCCATGGCGAGTGCCACACTCAAGAAGGAGGATTCATCAAATGCGTCCGCCGAGAACCAATCGGTGTATGTGCGGCCATCATCGCATGGAATGGTCCGGTGAGTGAGGTTGGCATCTTTGGCAAGTTAACTCTGATTCAGCTGAACTGATCTTCTACAATCCCACCAGTTGCCCAGCATATTCATGAAGGCCGGCCCAGCACTCGCGGCAGGAAACGCACTCATTCTCAAACCGAGCGAGAAAACACCTCTCGGAGCACTGTACGTGGCAGACCTGTTCAGAGAAGCAGGGTTTCCTCCTGGCGTTTTCCAGGTCGTCACCGGAGCCGGTCAAGTTGGCGCCATGCTCGCTTCGCATATGAGAATCAGAAAGGTCAGTGATGCTAGCGATGTGGCTGAGTTGCCAGCTGATCCGAATGTAGATCAGTTTCACGGGCTCGGTGGCAACCGGCAAGAAGATTCAAGAAGCGGCAGCCAAGTCGAATCTGAAAAGAGTCACACTCGAGCTGGGCGGGAAAAGCCCATTGATTGTTTTCGACGATGCCAAGTTGGACCTGGCGGCGTTCTGGTAAGAGGGGTTGACTGTCTGGTCCTGTTGAGGCCATTCGATCATGATCCATTTATTGACGCTTGCTTCCGACAGGGGAGCAAACACAATCGCACTCAACTCAGGACAGTACTGTGTTGCCGCTTCTAGGGTTTACGTCCAGCAAGGCGTCTACGATGCCTTTCTCGAAAAGTACAAAGGTGCTCTCGAACAAATTGCTGCGGCAAAAGGAGACCCTTTCGAAAAGGGTACAGTGTATGGACCGGTGGCTGACAAACTTCAATTCGACCGTGTCAGCCATTATATTGAAGCGGGGAAGAAAGAAGCGACCTTGTTGACTGGTGGCGAAGTAGACGATGGCGCCGCGGTAAGTCAACCCTTTGGTTTTACTATTTTCCCTCAACGGGATATGGCGTGGACTGATCCTTGGAAAAGGGACTCTATATACCGCCAACGGTATTCGTCGATCCGAAACCCGATGCCAGGATCTACAAGGAGGAGATATTCGGTCCCGTATCGACGGTGAGGAAGTTCAAGACAGAGGAAGAGGTGGTGGCCATGGCCAACGACTCCGAGTATGGCTTGAATGCGGGTGTCTTTACCCAAGATTTGGACCGAGCATGGCGCATGACTTCTTCACTCGAGTCAGGCACCGTGTGTATCAATGCAATGTCGATGGTCACGACGCAAACTCCATTTGGGGGAGTCAAGCAGTCTGGGTACGGAAGCGAGGGTGGGATGGACAGCCTCCTCGCCTACACGCAGGTGAAAACGGTCATTATCAGTGCGACATGACGTGGCATGACGGGGCATTTCAACATCTGGTTGTGAAGATGAGTATGGGAACGGCCCATTTCTCGAGGCTGGTATCAGTTTCAACTACATTAGAGAACTATGTAAGTGAGCTCGAGATATTGGGAAGCCATACCAATCACACAATTAAGATTCATTAGAACGGAACAAACGCGACTACCACACGGGAAATGAATGCCACGTCTGGGAGGACTGCGCTGTGAGCATTCTAGTTTATAGACCGGTTCGCATTTCCCCTGCACAAGCTACCATGAAGCCTACACGTTTAAGACCTTTCGAGTGGTCTTGGGTTTATGGGGCTCTCCTCACTCTTTAAGCACATGGTCGTTTTGAGCGACGCTGGCTCTTGCTGGTTCTGTCATGGCATTTCCTCGAGTATCAGCACGTTTATAGGGATACAGCGGGGTCGCCTTATAGTATGGGGAAAAGATGACATGTTAGTGGTTCGTTACCTTACGACTCGGACTTTGTATATGCTGCATATAAAGTAGTGTCACGGGGCACCGATAGCTAGTAATGTCCAACTGCTCTACTTGCCAACAAATAACTATACAAGTGGCAGATACCTTTTCAATTAGTCAAAGTTCATTGACTCGTAATTGACAAGAGTCGCTTTTCCTCGAATCAACTCGAAAATGGGTCGCGCGGTCAAGCACGCCAATACCGAGGTGATAATCAACAAACCGATCCAAGAAGTCTGGGATTTTGTCACCGCTCCCTACAATTGGGCTTTCAAACTGAAATTGCAAGCATGGAGAATGCATGGTGCCGGTGGTGAGAAGGATACACAGTCTGTTTCCCGCACCATGAAGTTAGGAGAGCGATTCTTTGAGTACGCATATGAAGAGGGCAAGTTTGATCTCGTCGGCGAATGGGAAATTACCAAGTGCGAACCACCCTACGTTTACGGCTTCAAGACGCTCAGGTGGTACGGCCCTCAGCTCGATACTGGCGTTGACGCAACCTACACGCTTACAAAGATCGACGAAAATACCACCAAGTGGAATCGAGACCGTGATACCTATACTCAGGAGGGCAAGTCTGAAGTTGAATTTCTTGAGGAGGAAGATAGACTGGAGACGATGTACCAGACAGCTGTCAAGAACTACCTTGAGACTGGGAAAACCGGCTATCCTCAACAGGTACCCTTTGACCTGCACCCAGAAGGATACCTCAAGACACTCAAGGTGACTGAGTGCGTATATTAACGCACTCGTGCGTTGTATCAGTTGTAGATTTAGCTGGACCAGTCAGTCCCGCGTACCCCCACAATGTTACTGAGCAACAATCTCAAGATGAAATTGTTTCCAAAAAGAGCAAATTCGCGATCGATGGAATAAATAGTAATGGTGATCATTCTGAATGAAGACAATTCCGCGCTCCAATTCCGTCGATTTCCGTACACAACACGACGTATTACCCTACCTACTTGAGTACTTAATATTTACAACGACGTCCCCCTGGAGCTAAGTGTGGTCGATGACTCTGTAGCGCAGTCTGATTCGGTCTTCAGGCAGCAAACCTCAAGTAACAATGGGCTTTATACAGCTCTCTATAGCTTTTGGCAAAATAGGTACGAAAGTCATATTTGCAAATTGATTTTGAGATCACTGACTATGTAGAAAAGCCATTGACGCCGTCCGAGCGATGGTCATGGGACTCTTTTCGAGTCGCCGAACTACCCTCACCTACAAAACCTACGTTCTTCTCGCTGTGATGAGAGCTTACACCAAACACGTCCCGGTCCCTCAACTGCAGTGAGCTCTAGATTCGAGCGCAGCAGGATGGAGGATGGGAACCTGACTGATCCATCAGGGCCATGAACCCGTCGACCTCGAAAACATATGAGCGTTTCATGCACGAAAATTCGCTTCCCCAGGAAACTTCGGTGACCAGCGACGGAAGTAGGTTGTTATGGATTGGGCAGAAGACTGCGAAGATAGTGCTTCTTTTTTTCCACGGTTCGTGATCACTCTAAGATGTTTTGAGGGTTTGGGCTGCCTGACTTCTACTCTCTCATAAGGGGGAGGATACGTGCTTCCTGCAACATCTGCTCATTTCGAATTGTTTTTGGAGCTCGTGAATGAGGCAGAGACTCGAGGTTCATCGCTCGGCGTGGCAGTACTCGAATATGGTGAGTAGTACAGGCAGATTATGACAAATGGCTGACCTTGGGGGTAGGACTGACTCCAGATTCGCAATACCCTGCACAGCTCTGCCAGGCAAACAACGTCTTCAAGTTTCTGCTCCAGGAACTCCGCATCCCATCCGCGAATGCAAGTTGTCCTCGAATCTTGGTTTCGGAGTCGTACGATGAGTCGTTAACTCATCGCTTAGATTATACTCGGCGGCGATTCAGCTGGTGGCCATCTGGCATTGTCTCTTTTGTCGCTTTTCGCTCATCCTCACAGCAATGTGCCTGTACCGGCAGTTGTTGGGCCTCACCTTCCTCCCGCCACGATCCTGCTCTCACCATGGGTGACCTTTACCACGGACTCCCCGTCATTTCGAACCAACACAGCTAAGGATTGTCTGGATGTCCAGCCACTGCAAGAATGGTCTCAACTCTTCCTAGGCAGGGCTGGGTTGGATAACTACAATGTACCTCTGATGGCGCCATCCGACTGGTGGGCTCCCTTGAAAGACCACAAGTTCTGTGTGATTGCAGGTGGGAATGAACTATTTATTGACGACATTGTCGAGTTCGTGGAAAAGCTGAAGGTAAGTTTCGTTATTCGATCCCTTTTTCATTTCTTCAGAGCCGCTTGATTGATATTTGGCTCCATACAGTCTCAGGAAATCGAGGTCGACTTCCTTAACAGCCCAGGGGAGGTACATGACTCTCCAGTCTTTGATAAAATCATGGGGATCCCGCAGGGTAAGGCAGGCGAAAAGTTTCAGTCCTGGGTGCTCCATAATGTGCAAGACCGCTGAAGTGTAGAGTATCCCGACAGGTGTTATGGTCACATGACGCACCTCGTGTTACCTTCCCTGTTGGGATTGCCTGCCCACCGTCTACAATAGCACCTCGCGCACCTCTCTTCTTCTTATCTAGCTAGAGATAGCCCAACACAATCCAGGCGTCACTAAGTGTCACGAACAGCCTCGCTCAGGCACCCTACTTCACCCTCACAATACATGAGGGTAACGTAGGGCAGGTGAACCAGGCGCGGTACACAAGACTTGTCAGCAGGTAAGGCTATAGGACAAGGTTATCGGGTCAGAGCACAAGGCTCTCGGCAGACTTAGTCTAGTGCTCACCCCACGTGACAGTAGACGCGGGGAAGCTATAAGAACCTCAACCCTCACAATTCGGCAGGAGACATGTTCTTCTCGCTTCCTAAGCGTTGAGTCGTTATCCATAGGCACTACAGATCGGCAATTGCATGCAGTCAACCAATCGATCAGTACCCGCTGTGTGGCGTAGGTCCTGATAGTATATCTCGAATAGGTATCTAGGAAGGGTATATTAATATACTCCCTATAGTTCGATATATCGCTATATCGTTTCTTACCTTTTTTAGTGATTACGTACTCTTACGTAACTAAGCCTTATTCTTCTACTACGCGCCTCGCTGAGCTACGGAGGTCGGTAGACCTTCCTATGGACATCCCGCCTTGGGTCGTGTGAAGGCCGCTTCTAACACCTAAGCGAGGCTATTCGTGATATACTAACTCTCCATGCGATTCGTGCGGCGTTGTAGCCTTCCCATATCAATAAGATCATGACACAGAACTATTCATATCTAAGGTACATTAGTCAGCTGGCAATACTACCACGGCCTTCTCGTGAACGGACAGTGTATCCGAAACCACCGTGGCTTCTAGGGTGATAATCATGCAACACCCTTTCGTCGATCATCAGACGGTCAGACCTCCGTCCACAACAATGGTCGCACCACTGACATAGCTTGCGTCGTCAGACAGCAAAAATTTGGCTACAGTGGCAACTTCCGAGGCTTTTCCACGCCGTCTCAACGGTGTGCGACTTTGAAGGGCCTGATCCAGTGCGACAGCGGCAGGACCCAGTTTCTCCGGCATATACATCGGGGTGTCAACCATGCCCGGTGCAATGATGTTAAGTCGGACACCAAGGGGCCCCAGTTCCATGGCCGCACAGCGCCCAAATCCGTGGACAGCATGTTTGGACGCGCAGTACCCATGGATAGGTGCGGCGCCGCGAAAGCCTTCGGTGGAACCAATGAGGACGATGGCTCCTTTGGCCTGGACGATGCTGCCGGACACGGCATGGACGGTGTTGACAAGACCCTCGTAGTTTACCTTCATGACCAAGTCGTGTGCTTCGGGCTGTTTGTTAGTCAGACCGTCTAACCGCACGATGCCTGCTGCGGCGACGAGCTTGGAGACACCAAGATTCGTTGCTTTGGCTTCTTCTGCAGCCGCGGACACTTCGTTTCGTTCCGCCACGTTGACGACTCGGATCTTGACTCGGGCAGACTGTCGTGCAGAAAGAGCTTCCATTTGGGACTCCTCTAGGCCCTTGCCGTCAATGTCCCACAGCAGCAGATCATAGCCCGATTTACTCAATTCCACCGCGCAGGCACGCCCGATCCCGGATGCAGCACCGGTGACGAGGACTACCTCGGTCATCTTGATAATGAACCAGATAGATTATTTGACAGATAATGTGGGAAGACCAAGTTGCCTCTAACGACTTTGTGTCACAGGGGTTGTCCTCGATAAGGCGCTCAAGGGGACGGAGACAGCTTATGTACTGCAGTATTACCACACCAGTACTTTTGCTAAGCAGGGTCGGTCGGTCGTGACGACACTTTTTTCCTCTAAAGATCGAATGCTAGAAGTGCCTTTCTCCATTTTGTCATCTGGCTACTGTTATGATAGGATTGATAACCACTCAGCCACTTAATGTACCTGAGGGGAAGCTCAGGCCGCACCACGAACGACCATCGCGTGGACCGCGGTGAAGGGTCCGAGAGTTGGGTTATCTCACGAATTCTCACGAATCGATCTTATCTATCCTGGTCCACTTATCCTACTTTCAAGTCCGTCCTTGACCATGAGGAATCCCGCTTAGATGATCTCACCTACGCCGACTGATCGGAATGCCAGTCAGACATATTCCGAAACGCAATGGGCCTTCCATTGACCCACTTTGCCCCCGGTTTTTCGGATGGCCCAAAGCGGGCGTTTGCGGAGTAAGCTTTGAGTCCTTCCACCCAGATATTTAGTTGAACACACTCAGGCATTCCGTTACACATAGCCCTGGATCTGGCTGCCAATCAGTATGGCGACTGAACAGTTGACCTTTGACGGCCAAGCGACCATCGTCACCGGCGCGGCTGGAGGCATGGGATATTATCATGCCACGGTGCTCGCCCAGCGAGGTGCCACCCCTGCCATCGTCGGCATCAATCCCGACGCAGCGAAAGCTGCAGTGGCCAAGAATTGCATTCTTCAGCGGCAAGGCTATCAGTTTCGTTGCGGACGACTCATCGGCGTCAGCTTGCACAGATATCGTGGCAAAGTCTTGGAAAGTACGGCCGCATCGACATTCTAGTCCGCAACGCCGGATACACTGCACTCAAAGCCTTTCAGGACATCTCAGAGACTGATATTGCACGCATTATTGGTGTCCATTTCAATTCGGCATGGACTCTCTGTCAAGCGGTGTAGCCGTGGATGATGGAGCAAAAAATGGGCCAGATCGTCGCCATGAGCTCGGCCTCGATCTTTGGTACCTTGCACATCCAGTACTACACGGCCGCCAAAGGTGCGTTGGTCACCTAGGGGCTTAATATTGCGTCAGGAAGGCAAGAGAGTACGGGATCCACGCACATGACGACCGAGATACACGACGGTCCGGTCAAGAGCTATATTGAGCAACGACTGCCGGCTGACGCCCCCTCGGCCATGGTTGCTTATTTGTGCCACCTCTCCTGCCCTCTGACCGGACAGTTCCTTCAAGCTGGCGGCCAAGGGTTTGGGCGTTATTTCTTCGGTGCGGTCCCGGGGTTTTAGTCGGATCAAGAGCTCTCGCCCGAGTTGATTCGCGATCATTCAGACACTCTCTTTGACTACTCGGACTACCTGCGTCCTCAATCTGGTCGGAGATGCTATGGAGCTTATAGCGCTACGTCAAGGGACTGACTCTATGGGCGACTTGGCACTGGCGGTGGCTCCTGAACAGAATGGAGCATACTGCTGTACGCTTTCTCTGAAGGAGTGGAGCAAAGTAGTCAAAGATCCCTGTTACTCTATTCCTATTGCATGCTGTTTTGTGAGCTGAGCAATGTCCTCTCCATCAGGCTGTAGGATAGTCGGTGTAACCCCTTGGGCCGGGTGTGTAGAAGAGTGTGCGGTCCCACCGGTTCAACGGCAGACCATGTTTCAATCGATGTGGTAAGTCAGGATTGGCGATGAAAAACCGACCAAAAGCCAGGCCATCGGCCTCGTGGTCTGCAAATCGACTCACAGCCACCTCAAGCCCACCACCCGCGACAATGATGGGCGTCGAGCCCAGGGCTTTCTTGAACGGACGGAGTGTCAACGCATCTTCCACTTCTCGGCCCATTCGCGCTGCGGCCGCTTCGAGAAACTTGAGCTTCTGCTCCGTAGTTTGGAACAGGTCGTGATGTCGAGGTTCCACGAGGTGCACGTAGGCAACATGTCTCTTCTCCAGCTCTCGACACACGTAGCCCCAGGTGGCATGTGGATCCGAGTCGGCGGCGCCGTGGACGTTCCCGAATGGCGAAAGCCGTATTCCGACTCGGTCGGCGCCTATGCTTGCGATCAGTGCGTCGAAGATCATCAGCGGAAACCGTGCTCGATTCTCGATACTGCCTCCAAACTCGTCTGTCCGGTCATTAACTGGCACCATATATCAGTCCAGACCACATGTGGTTCTTCTGCATGAACATACTATTGTCACAAAGGAATTGATCCACCAAGTAGCCATTAGCAGCATGAATCTCGACGCCGTCAAACCCCGCCTCAACTGCGTTGGCGGCCGCTTTTGCGTAATCCTGACAAACTTGGTGCATGTCTTCAATTGTCATGGGCTTGGGCTCTGCAAAGGGCACTTGGTTGGGATTGAATGGGCAGCACCCTTCGAGTCGTTTGTTGGAACTGGACAAGGGCGGGTATGGAGACACGTCGGGAGGGCATCTGAGGCAATCTGTCGTTAGCTTGGCTCGTGTTTTTGTTGTTCATCAACCAACCGTCCAGTGTGCCATAGCTGCAGGAAAATATATCCACCCTTTCTATGCACGGCATCGGTAACCGTCTTCCATCCTCTGATGTGCTCGGAGGTGAAGATGCCGGGAACTCTGGCGAATGCACCAGCGCGCTCGGAGATGAATGTAGCCTCAGTGATCAACAACCCGCCTGGAGTCGCACGCTGGGAATAATATTCGGCGTTCAATTCACCCGGAACCTGCGCTGGAGATCGACACCTGGTACAAGGAGCCTACAGGCGATGTTCAATGTGAATCCCTTGCTGGGTTTGAGGAGACTTACGAGGATAATGCGATGCGCCAGCTGGTATCGCCCAATGTGCAGCGGGGTGAATAGTTCAGTCGGCGCCTTGAAAGACTCGACATAACCAGACATGTTGATGTTGTTGGATGCCCTGGGGTGGTTTCAAGAACTGGAAATGCTAATTCGAGTGGGTTAATTCGGGGTGCTCTGACTACCAAGTAGGCATGGTCTTCCTCTAGTCTTTGCTTCCGTGCATGAGTACATACGTGTTATAGAACATTCATCGTTTTCTTGCTTGAGACACTAGCAGCCAGCGCTTATGTTACAGACTACAAATGTTCATGCACAGCGTGGCATACTGGTTGATCGGCTGAACACGATGAAACTGGCACGACTCGATCCATACGACAACAGCAGCAATAATCGATCAAAGTGTCTTTGTAAGCGAGAGGGATGACGATGTCCACCCAACGTCCACCTAACGTCCGTACCAACTACTTGTCAGATAGTCTGTTCATGCTCTCGTCGCTCACGTTTGATGTTGTGATGGTTGTGATCCTCGGCGTCCTTCTCGGGTTGACCGGTAGCCCTGAAGATAACAATGGCGGCCACAACTCAGGCAGAGGTGAGAATGCGAGGGCGACCTTGTTCCTGGCTAATCAACACCACAGGTCAAGAGCACAACAGGTCTCGAACACCAACTTTTCAGATTGCTATTGAATGATCGACTGTTCATCTCTCCTCTATCGAATCCCCAGAATGTACTTGATCTTTCAGCCCGCACCGGAGAATGGGCCGTTGACATTGCCCGCAAATACCCTTCCTCAAGGGTAACCGCAATTGAGACGATCGTTACACCGTCTCCACGGTATGGCGGTAAAGATTGCTCTGCTACACAGCGCTGATTACTTGTTTAGGTGTCCCTTAAACTTGACCTTCTATCAAGACGACATTCAACTCGAGTGGATCCATCCCAAGAATTCATTCGACCTGGTCCGGTTCTCCCTACAATCGGAGCGTTTGCATGACTATTCGACTCTACTTGGCAAAACGTTCAGGTGAGTTGAAAGATGGGGTACTCATCGAAGGTCGATCATTGAATTGTGTGTAGGTCGCTCGCACCTGGTGGATTTGTCGAGATATATGACGTGGAACCGGCCGTACACTTTGCCGATGGACAGACTTGCGCCCAGAGTTCAACATTTTTATGGCAAAACCTATATGAACAGGCACATGTCAACGGGGGTTCACCCTTGGCTACCATGGAGCAGCTAAAAGATCAATTAAGTCGAGTGGGATTCGTCAATATCGCGACTGAAGTCTTTGAAGTCCCCTGCTCGCCATGGTCATCTGAATCCAAAGCTCGACGGGTGGGCCAGGTACGTTTCCAAGCAAATTAGCCGCTGTCATCGACGCCGACACCGAATCCACTTGTTGTCTTTTGTTGTCGCCCGCCTGTTGCTGAGGAGTATATGATTCCAGCTTTCCAAGAGTATTCTCTACGCAAACCTACGCACGAAATCTTTCCCAAAGTTTCGACGCTATCTCGGGCTCGCTCCGGATGAGATAGAGGGGTTTCTTCAGAAATGTAGGGCAGAACTTTGCGATGGAAAGATCAAGTTATATCAAAAGTAGTGCGTGCGCCCTATAGTGATGTTTGACACAATTCACTAATTTCACCACCCAGTTTCGCACTGAGTGCACAAAGGCCACTATAGGGGATGGGAAGGATTTGATTTCGGTCTCTTCGTTGGGAAGGCAAGATTGTTCTGTCCAAGGCACCAGATCATCCAGTGGCGATATACCATATCGTAGCGATGGTTACATAGTCAATATGGTCTGTTGTGTGTATGCAAGTTCTAAGCATTCGCCATGCAAGCGATCTTCATCGTGTGACTATAGATCACTATTGCCCACTCCACGCAATCTCAACATGTCCAACCCCCGTCAACTACAACGATGGAGCCTGTTGTGTAGCTACTATCTTCGCTGAGAAGAAAGACGATCGTGTTCGCCTGTTCTGTTGGCTGGCTCTTACGATTCAAGGCTGTTTGAGAGAATGGGAATGTGATGCCCATCTTCTGTTCTAACCCAGTGGTCAAAGGTGTTTCGACCAGGCCCCTAGAATTGAACAGTGTAAGTGTGGTGATACGCACGGGGTCTAGGGCACTTACGGAGTGATTGCATTCACTCTGATGTTTTTGAGTCCGTACTCCCTGGCGGCAACCCTTGTGAGTCCCACAACAGCGTGTTTCCTATTTTCGCTCGAGATCAGCAAAGGCGGCTCTGCAATTACGAACAAAGTGATACGCCACTTACGCAGCTGTGTATGCGGAAGAATTGCTTGTGCCTTTGAAACCAGAAATACTGGCACAATTCACAATGGACGAGCCAGACTCCATGACACGCAATTGAGCACGAAGGCAATTGAAACTTGTCAAAGTTGGATCATACTGCCGGCATCAGTCTTGGAAAGAATCTCACCATCCGGTGGCATTGACACCCATCACAAACTCCCAGTCTTTGTCCGAGGTTTCTGTCAATGTCTGTAGTGGACCACCAAGTCCAGCAATGTTGGCAGCACAGTCGACTTTCCCGTATTTTTGGACGGTCGAATTGATCCAGTCGTCGACTTGCTCAGAGTACCGTACATCCACAATAAATGTCACGACCTCGCGTGCTCCAGCATCTCGGCATATCTGAGCAGCTTCATCGAGCTTTTCTTGCTGAACATCGCATAATGATAGAACGGCACCTCGACTCGCTAGTATTTTGGCACTTGCAAGACCGATCCCTGATGCTGCGCCTAGAAAGCGAGGTATTAGGTGATTGTAATTGGTGATAATGCTTTGGATACTCACCTGTAATCGCCACCACTTTGCCTTCAAAGGAGGCCATATCGTCACAAATCCTCAACACTATCACAATTAATTTCTCATTCTTGGACGTGTTCTTTCAATGATTTACAGGTTCAACTACCGCAACAGTTAGGCTGGTCCAGTCTGGTCAACCTGGTCGTGTACGACGACTCGCCATACTGGCTCGGCCTAGGCACAATTTCCCCGACTGCTCTGCACGCCATGCCCTAATGCATTTATCAAGACCGCGTTGACGACTGAACAATCTCGAAAGGACATCAGCAAGGTGATGAGCTTGTCATGGCACCTGATGACCGTCGCGTGGCTATAGTCACTGGTGCAAACAAAGGTGTCGGCTTAGCATTGGTTCGTCGGATCGCACTGGAATATGCCTTCTCAGAGCTATATCATAGATCCAATCAGCACTTGACAATCTACCTGACCGCCCGTTCCAGTGAGCGCGGCCTACCAGCCCTCGGCAGCGTTTTAAGTGATACAGACCTAAAGACCAAACGCATCTTCGACGATGATGGAGGTCTGGTCCAGATTCGTTTTCACGAACTCGACATCAACGTCAAATCAAGCATTCAAAACTTCGCAGAAGCGGTCTCGCGAGAACATCGCGGGATCGATATTTTGGTCAATAACGCAGGAACGCTGTCGGCAGAAACAGGTAATCTCATCATCTCCTCCTCTTGGACGTGTGGACTTGGCCTCGCGATCTAACCATATCGTGCTCTCATCAGACGAGCGCGCAGTCCGTGAGACACTGCAATGCAACTACTACGGCACCCTGAATTGCATCGAGGCCTTCTCACCACTGATGCGACCAGGAGGCAGGATTGTCAATGTATCCAGCTTGGTGAGCAAGATTGCTCGATACCCGGCCAACCTGAGACAGAGATTCTACACGGCCCAGTCACCTCAAGAGGTGAACCAACTCATGGACGAGTTCCTGGCGAGTGTAATATCAGGCCAACAGATTGCCGATGGATGGGGTCCGATTCCTTATCCCGTGAGCAAGGCCGGGGTCACTGCTCTGACCAAAGTGGTCGCCCAACAACACAAGAGACTTGCCTCGGGCGTGCTGGTCAATGCATGCTGTCCTGGATTTGTCGCGACGGATATCAATGGTGGGGTTGGGATGCGAGATTCCTGGCGTGGGGCTGAAACTCCTCTGCTTTTGGCCTTGGGTGACATTGATAACACCACTGGAAAGCTCTGGGCAAATGAGGACATTGTTGAATGGTACAGATGAGCAGATGAGCAGCGCCAGATACATCGCGTGGCATCGCAGTATACAACAAACAAGCACAGCCAACGTGCGACTAGTTAGACTTATCACTGTAGTTGAAGATCCTAGCATCGACAGATTATGCCCGTTTGACCTGACCGTCGGCATGTGCGGAGGAATCACTCGAATCAACTCCATAACGCTGTCCAATTGAATTGCTAGAAAATTTCAAGCCCTGTAGATCAGACACTTTCAAGATCCTGCTAGAACGGTAGTTGATGATTTAGCCCCAATCTGCAATGCCACGATCAGACAAGATACCCATCAACTATTCCACTCTCAAGTCTCAACGAAACGTATCGACACAATTTAATCTCTTCTGCAAGGACGGCCTATTGGTAGATAGGCAGAGAGAAATAGTAGGTTCAAGCATCAATAGGCCTATCCTAACCACTCGGTTATACGGGGCTCGAAGCATGAGAGGAAGTCGGTGGCTCTCATGCGTCTTCAGAAGGTTGGGTTTCTATCTGAGCTGGCTGGCTGGCTAGCCTCTTGGCAGCTTTGCAGTGTATGTGTTAGTAGTTCCTGACAGTCCGAGGCGTCAGTCCCCATTAAGCATACCTGAGACCTCGGGGTGCGGCAGAGGGCCTACTCGCGCGCCTCCGGGAGTGAGCATAGGGCGGCACCACCTCGTTCCCAAACCTGTGGGGAGCTGCGAGCAGATTTCCCAACTCTTGGCATCAAAAAAAGTTTTGAATGATTGACGACTTGGACATGGACTTCTCGAAACCGCATTGCCTATGGTTATGAAACCAGCGAATATGGCTGGCACGGGCAGAAACAAATCAGTGGCGGTTCCTATAATCGAATAATTCCTCGTCCATTCCCCGACAGCGCTCCGGAAATCTTCAGACAGCACATGTCTACACCAAATATGTCGGTTGGACAATACTCAGCCAAGAGGCGGAAACTCAGCCATGATTCACGGACAGATAATGTCGACCTTCGCAAAGCCTCTACCAGTTCCGATGTCGGTGACGATGTTCCAGACAATCTCGCAAGGAATGGTCTAGCTTCGAAGACACCGCCGCAGAAATCAACTTCGAAGCTCAGTCAGATGTCTACATCGAAGACTCCAGTGCTACCTACCGGGGGCATCAATAAGTCAGCTATTCTCGGACTTCAAGTAGCTGATCTGAACGCCGAGGTGACGCCAAACTATGACAAGCTGCGATCCAAATGGACTACTCTCTCGAACAAATTGGTATCGCTCATCAAAGACATCAAGGACATCCCGCCTGTCCATGTGACGGAGGCCATAAAGTTGCTTCGGCACCAAGGAATGAACATTCCATTCCCACAGCCACAGCCGTCAAAAGGTACAAACTACAAGTTCAACTTTGTTGCTCCGAAGCAGGTTCTGGTTGGTGGCGCGTTACCATGGAGTCTGAGCCTGAAGGACGAGAACGCCGTGGAGATCACAGCGATTATGCCTGATGGTATCTTACAGGAGAAGGATTATCTCAACTACCGGGCATGTCACAAGGGCGCATTTTACCTCGCCTGTGTCGCGTCAGCTATCAAGCAGAGTGAAGAGGTTGACTTCGATATCTCCTTTGCACACAAGCATGATGTCGATCTTTTACCCGTCATTGACCTCGTTGTCAAGGACAGGAAACCATCCAAGTTCAAGTTCCAGATTGCTGTGGGTTTCAACGACCATTCAATACCCATAGCAAAGACGCTGCCTTCGAAGAACTGTCTCAGGCAAGAAATACCGGGCAGTCAAGAACAAAATGGCCAGTCATCTCCATTCTACAACAGTGCAATACGGTACGCCGCATCTACCCTACACTTCGACCAACTCATCCAATCGACAAGGAGCTCGTCCTTTGACGAAGCTTGCCGGATTGGCCAACTCTGGCTTCGACAACGAGGTTTTTCCAGTTCCGCTCGGACAAGCGGATTCGGTTTCCTGGAATGGACTATAATATGCGCACTACTGACGCGCACCGGCGGTCACCGCGGCCACCCATTGTTCTCGAAACAGTACAGCAGCATACAGTTTTTCAAGGCTATGCTTCAGATACTCGGCGGACGAGATCTACTGGAACCGATGCTTCTCAACGGTGCTAATTTCGACCTTCCGCGCTCGGACGTGCCAGTCATCTACGATGGGGAGACGGGTGTCAACATCCTCTATAAGATGTCTCCTTGGTCGTATGAATTACTTCGTCATCACGCTCAAGTCTCCTTGTCGGCGCTCAATTCTCGCAACCAGAACGGGTTTGATGCAACCTTTGTGCTGAACGTCGCCGTGCCCTTGCTGCAGTACGACGAGATATATTCTGTAACAGTAGCTGCAGATCTAGTCAGAACTACCACAGGTGAACGAAATTTTGTGCAAAGAATGTATAAGATCCTGAAAAAGGGACTGGGTGACAGGACTACTTTGATCGACGTCAAGCTGCCTCAAGAGTCAGGGTGGCCTGTCAACAAGCCCCCTGCTCACCGAAAAGAGAAATATGAGTTGCAAGTTGCGTTGCTTGCTAATCCAGAAAATGTCAACCGCCTCGTTGACCGCGGCCCATCAGCAGACGAACAGGAAGAAGCTGCCAAATTCCGCGAGTTCTGGGGCGAAAAGGCAGAGTTGCGCCGGTTCAAGGACGGCAGTATATCTGAAAGTCTGGTATGGGCAGGAGACCGGCCAGTGACGTTACAGATCATCGCATATCTCGCAACTTTGCATTTCAAACTGTTTCCGAGCTCGCTCGAAACAAGGAGTCAGAATCTGGAGTCCAGTGTCCTGGGGGACGGCAACTACACTTCAGGCCTCACCCCCAAGGACGCTTTCCGGGTGATCAATTCAACGTTCCAGACCCTGACATCCGGTCTGCATAATCTTGAGGGTCTACCGCTGCCGATTCGCTCAATCTCCCCTGCAGACCCGGCTTTGCGCTCGAGCTCTACGCTTCATCCATTACTACCATCGGTTTCGTCCCCCATCGATATCTCCATCCAATTTGACTCTTCCACAAGGTGGCCAGACTCCCTGCCTGCCATCCAACATACGAAAATTGCGTTTCTGCTTAAGCTTTCTGAGTTGCTGAGTTCAAACGATCAAGGCCTCACCACTCGTGTAGGAATCGAGAATACAGACTCGGCCAGCACAGGCTATTTCAACACCTCGTTCCTCGACATTATCTATCCTTCTCCAGCTCCTGGCATCAGTCCAGTCTGCTTCCGAGCTCGCATCTACCATGACCGGGAAGCTCACCTCATTCAGACTGCCCTGGCGGACAAATCCCTCCATGGTGCACTTAGAGACTCTCTTGCCACCGCACTAGCCACTTACAAACGCGACTTTCAGGCTAAACCAATACATACGACCACTATTCGCAACCTGATCACCAGATTCCCGCCTTTGTCCAGTACGGTCCGCCTGCTGAAGAAATGGGTCTCATCCCACCTGCTGCTTCACGAACATGTTCCCGAGGAAATTCTTGAACTCATCGCCGCTCATATCTTCCTCCAGCCCGCACCGTGGAGTGTCCCCGGGTCTGCAACTGTGGCGTTTCTGCGATGCCTACACTTCCTTGCGAGGTGGGATTGGGCTTATTCACCATTAATCATTGATACGAGCATCTCACAAGACTCCTTGACCGCGGCGGATGTTACGGAGATCCGAAACCGTTTCGAGGCGTGGAGGAAATTGGATCCGCAGCTGAACAACGTGGTGTGGTTCGTGGGCACGAACATTGACACGAGCGGGACCGTGTGGACCGTCAATGCACACCCTCCGCGTGTCGTTGCGGGTCGACTGACCGCACTGGCGCGCGCGGCGATTGAACTGGTCGAGAGCAAATCGACAAGCATGACGGAACACCAGTGGACAAGCCTATTCGAAAGCCCTTTGGGAGATTACGACTTTCTGATCTACTTGAAACCTGCCGTGGTGCGCGGTGCAGGACTCAAAGGCAAAGGTACCAAAGCCAAGTCTCGAAGGGACAGCGGTGCGCAAGAGTTCAAGAACCTCCAGATCGCCGAGAGCATGGACGTCGACTCGATCGGGTACGACCCCGTCGAGCTGTACCTGCGCGATCTCAACCACGCGTTCGGGTCCGCGGCCCTGTTCTTCTACGACCGCTACGGTGGACAGGTGATTGCGGGACTGTGGCGGCCGACCGTGTCGGGGAGGAAGGAGTGGCGGGTGCGATTGGGCTGGTCGAGTGTGCCCGTCAAATCCGAGGGCGAGGCCGAAGAAGGAAAGGACATGTGCGTGTTCAACCAGGACGGAGTGCTGGCGGAGATGGCGAGGCTGGGCGAGGGCCTCGTGAGGGAGATCAAGGTCAAGGAGTAGAGCGAGCAACGGGCGGGGACCAGCCTGTAGTTTTTCAGATATGTGTATATTGGGTATCATTTTGATAACAAGAATGACAAGCAAAAGCAAGGGCCTCCATGGGCGAATCTATACCTGCATGCAGATTCCCGCCACTTTTGGGGGTCGAGCCACATTTCATAAAACGCCCTTCTCTTCCCGAAGGACGGCCATGCGAAAGGCGGGAGAATGCTCCCTACTCTGAAGACCTGCTTCAGCATTCCCCCATTCTTCAGAGACAGGGCCGTCCCTTGAGAACTTTTGCACAATACTTCTCGGATCACGCAAGCTTTTTGTTTTATTTGAGAGTTCAGATTCCTTGTCTAAATCTTTCATTAAATGTACCGTCTCTCGGGATCTGCAAGGTCGAGGAGCTGCATGGTCTTCTCGTACCTGGATTCATGATGATGGTCAGAATGCTTCCCAGAAAAAAAAAACATGGTCCGGTCGGAGGTCCGAGGAGACTCACATGGTAAAGACAATGCCGCCACTGAGAGTGAGACGACCGAGTCGTGGTAGAGCACCAGACCAAAAGGTTAATATGCCTTCGTTCTTGTAGATTGACGCGGCGCAGTTAAATGTGTTCTTGTATACTGACCGGGCCTCTAGACTCTGCATGCGGGTTTTCACCGTGTCGAGAGGCATGGTCGTGTAGACGGTCACGATGCCCGCGATGCCTCCTAAAGCGAAAGTCGTCAAAGATCCCAGCTTCTCGCCTGGCGCCACATAGCCCTCGGCGAATTGCTTGAGGCTCGTGTAGGTGCTGAAGCGAACCGCACTGTTGGCGGCTTGTCGTGCCGTCGTGGGCACGAATCCCTGAAAAAAGCCTCTAATCCCTTTCTCGCGGGCGATGACCGCAGACCCGTGGATGAAGCCGCGCATTCTCGGCTGCGCCCTCTTCCTGTCGTCGACCAGCTGTGTTTTTATTGACTCCGATGGGGTTACCGCCAGTAATGATTCTGTGACCCCGGCGCCAAACCCCGCGGCGACGGTTCGAGGCCCGGATATTTGACCATCGTCGTCCGAGAGCAGATGTTTATATGTGTCAAAGGCGAGAAATCGAACGCCAGCCTTGACCGAGTTCCCCACGATCGCGGTCGTGCAACCCGTGTACCATTCTTTCGAGGGGAAGGGCGGCCACGGAAGCTTCTTGGAGTCGGGTAATCGGCGGTTAAGCTGCGATCGTGTCTTGAGGAGATCGAAGGGATATGTTATGGCAATCTCGACTGCCCCGGCTGTCGAGCCAGCTATTATCGAGCGCAGGGCACTCGGCTATTGAACGTATGCATGCGTCAGAAGTGCGAATTTCGCGCGGAGAGGCCCGTAGAAGTCCTTGCATACCTTGGCTTTTAACTTGTCCCCATCCTTGGCTGAGGTTGAAGCCATTCTTTTAAAAATAGACCGCGGTCAGGGGGCTTCAAGCTGGAGGAGACCAAAGTTCGAGTTCAATATACAATACGAACTGCGCGAAAATAAATATGCTGTAGAAACGAACCACTAAGGACCTTTCGCCTTGTGCGACATCGGGCCCATTTGGCCGATGACTTAACAGCCGGAGTTTAGCCGTCGATCAACGCCCCAACGCGTGAAAACGCCAAACGCCAATTACCGCGCAGGCGCGCCCACCGTTGATGCAGGCGGCGATTGCGAGGTTTCCCAAAGCCTCATTCCAACATCTCCATTTCATGCGCATCACCACTCCTCAAAGAGCGGTTTGGTCTAGAGCGAAGCGCTCAAATGGCGCCTCAGAAGCGCCCTGCTCCCACTGACGGCGACGACGGTAGCGAAGACAGTCGAGAGTCGTCCCCACCCCCCCGCGCCTCCTCCGTATGGCATTTCCTCAGGAACATCAGGCTTAACAGTGCTAACAAGAGGCTAGAATAAGAGAAGACGGACAAGCGAAGAATCGTCCACCCACATTGATACTTCGAGTGATCGAGCTGATGGCGAAGATGCCAGTACTCCCCCTTCCGAGATTAGTTCTGATAGCGACGAAGAAGAAGACGAAGACGACGAAGAGGCGTTGCTTGCAGCCACCCAAGCCATCGAGGCCCGGAGCAGAGAAGGTGCTCACAATGAGCCTGCAGAGTACGGCATCTTGGAGGGAGTCCAGCTCAAGAACTTCATGTGTCACGAGGATATGAGTTACGAGCTTGGCCCCTTGATCAATTTTATCTGCGGCAAAAATGGCAGTGGGAAGAGTGCGATTCTCACTGCCATCGTCCTGTGTCTAGGGGGGAAGGCTTCGGCAACGAATCGAGGAGCCCGTCTGCAAAACTTCATTAAAGAGGGAACAGATCACGCCACCATCATCTGCAGGCTAAAGAACCAAGGTGAAAATGCATATATGCCCGAGGTATATGGGAAGACGATTCAAGTTGAACGCCATATCTCACGTACTGGCAGTAGTGGATTCAAGCTGAAGTCAGAAAAGGGCCGCATCGTGTCTACTCGGAAGTCTGATCTCGAAGAAATTTGCGATCATATGATGTTGCAGATCGAAAACCCAATGGCAGTTCTCTCGCAAGATCAGGCGCGTCAGTTCATTGCAAGCTCGAGCCCCACGGAGAAGTACAAATTCTTCATGAAGGGCGTCCAACTTGAGCAGCTTGACCAGGACTATCGACTCATCGAGGAGCAGCTCGACAACATCAAAGTAAAGATCGCCGCCAGGGCCCCGGATCTCAAAGTTCTAAAGGGAAAGGCGGACAGCGCGGCGAACAAGCTTGCGCTATCCGACAGATACGAGGCTATGCGTGACAGGCTTCGAGATTATCGCCGACAGCTGACATGGGCCCAAGTCGCTATTCAGGAGAACATTCGAGATGAATATGTCAAAGAGCTCCAAGAGGCAGACGCAAAGATAGCGGCTGCAGAGGCGAAAGCTGAAGAGCTTGACGCGGCCTATCAGGAATCCGACCGAATTGCAGCCACCACCGCGAACAGGTATACTGAGGCAAATGAAGCTCTCCAACATCTCAACGACGAGAAGAAGGAGCTGCAGGCACAACAGCATGATCTGAAAAAGAACTATTCAGAAGCCGCTGCTGAACAGCGACAAATCCGTGACGCCTTGGTCAGTGCTGACAGAACCATAACACAGAAAAAGGCAGCTATCGAACAAGAAGTGCAAAGACTCGCCGAGCTCGATGGGGGAGGAGCTGCTCGCCGCATCAACGAACTCAACGATGCCGAAGAAACGGTCAGAAGAGCGGAGCAGGAGTTGCAGGATCACCTGAACCAAAGAGATGCATGTGTCGAGGAAATTGAGAGAATGCAAAGGCTTGAGGCTGAAACTGGAGAAGCGAAGAAGAATGAGGAACGGAGGGTGACCGACCTGGAAAACAACCTCAAGCGTCTGGTAGAGAACCGCAACTCTCAAGATCTTGCTTTTCATCCCAGAATGCAGGACCTTCTGCGAGCGCTACAACAGGAGAGGGGGTTCCAGGACGCACCTGTCGGCCCTCTGGGAAAGCATGTTAGATTGTTGAAACCGGAATGGTCTTCGATTTTGGAAAGATCCTTCGGTAACGCGCTTTCGGGATTTATAGTCACCAGCAAGCGGGACGAAAATCTATTGAGCGGCATCATGCGACGGACTCAATGCATGCTGCCTATCTTCATCGCCAACAGCCTCCCACTGAATATTGAGCCACATCTCCCGGATCCCCGATTCACCACCGTCTTGAGCGTTCTGGAAATCGACAACGAGGCGGTCAGGAAACAGGTCATTATTTCCAACCAAATTGAGCAAAGCATCCTCATTCCAGACATGACTGAAGCCTCCAAGGCACTCTATTCGGAAGCTACACCTTTGCGCAATGTCAAGCGGTGCTATTGTTTCAGTCCAGGCAGCAAGGTTAGGGGTGCTGTTTTGTCTTATCGAAACGGCCGAGCAGCGCAAGATCCGGTGCACGAGTTTATCGGCTCTCCACGGATGAAAACAGATATTGACGATGCAATCCGTCGGCAACAAGATGTTCTTGCTGAGTGCAAGGCCCAACGTCTACGGGCAGAGCAAGAATTTCGCAGCGCTCAAGATCGGCATGTTAAAGCAAGACAGGCGCTCAAGCGACATGCGGACAGAAAGAGAGCGCTCGAAATTGCAGTACAGCAAGCGGAAGACAACGTTGAACGTTTGAAAGAGGCCATCAGGGACGATAGCGTCGAGGGTGGAAAGCTTGAGGCCCTGCGCCAATCATTGAGCGAGGCAGAGGAGCAAAAGACCATTCACGAGAGCTCTTTTCAAGACTCGGTCATTGCCCTTGACGAACAAACCAAGAAACTTCGCGAGGCGACCCAAAAGTGCAACGAACTGGATGTCCGCATCAAAGATGCTGAAGCTAGGGTCGATAAGGAGCAGTTGAACGCTCAGAAAGCCAGCAAGAAACGCGCACATGATCTGGGCGAGAAAAATAGAGCCGTCGCTATGATTGACGACGCCAAAGCTGACCGTGGCACGCTGGAACGGAAGATGCAGGAAATGGATGAGAAAATTGCGAACTTCACAGACCAAGCACGGCAGGTCTGTGAACGGGTCAACCTTCCCGAAGGCGAAACATATGAGAGCCTGAACAAAAAACATGAAAAACTTTCGGCAGATTATCGCAAATATCAATCCCAGGTGGGTGATCGGAATGATATCGCCGCCGAGGCATCGAAAACTTCCAAGGCATACAAGGCCGCTGAGCTGGAAATGAGTTCGTTTGAATCTTTACAGGCGCAACTCACGAGAACGCTTGGAGAGCGAAAACGGCGGTGGGTATTGTTTCGAGGCCATATCACTGCTAGATCAAGGGCAGGCTTCATCCACAAACTCAGCGAGAGAGGCTTCCGCGGACGGCTCCACATTGATCATAGAAAGAAGGAGATGGACATCGCCGTCGAACCCGATATTACGAGACGTGACGGAACCGGGAGAAGCGCAAAGACGTTGTCAGGTGGAGAGAAGTCATTCGCCCAGATCTGCCTGTTGCTCTCGATTTGGGACGCAATGGGTGTTCCAATTCGCTGTCTCGACGAATTCGACGTGTTCATGGATGCGGTCAACAGAAACACCAGTGTTAACCTGTTAATCGATGGAGCCAGGCACAGCAGTGGCGGGCAATTTATTCTTATCAGCCCAGGCACCAAATCCGACATCAAGAAAGCTCCGGATGTCTGTGCCATTGAGTAAGTGGAGAAGCGTCGCACTTGTACACAGATGCTAACAGTCTATAGGATTGCGCCACCAGAAAGGGGCCAAACGCGCCTCGTACTCACTGCCACATGATTGTCGAATGTTGCCATGCTGGTAATGAGGACAAAGGACTGCCAAGATCTTGCTCTTTGGCCGGACTGAACCATTGTAGGACCGGACGTGATTGAGTCGACGTTGACGCAACATTGCATCTTGTTCTTGTTGAGGTTGGCACCGAGTTGCGGTCGACGTGTGACAGACAGAGAAGGTTGTGCTGACCTGTGCTGCTCGTGGGCAGTCTCAACTTTTACACATGTGCAAATTGGCTGACTGCTATAACGCTATGGGCCACGACTGCTTCTGGGAACTTCTTCCATAGGGTGCGTGCGGTGTAAACAACCGAAGGCGCCAGGGCCATAATGCGGGCCACATCATGGTTTATGGCCCACGCCCGAGACCTCCTGGACTCACCTGACTCTGTGTAACGGTCTACGCTTCACCGATTTTTATCAACACGGAGCCCGCCGATCCTCAGTCGACACTGGAAAGTCGTGAGTCTGAAAAACATGTGCTAGGCGGTGGTTGCCCACGAAAGCTGCACAGGTGAGGGACGTGGCGACTCCTGGCGACACTCTGATGGATGATTGTGCGACTGCCGTCTCGTTCGCGTGGCTGCAGTTTGGGTTCTTGCGGAAGCCATCGTCCAGTGAGCCTCAGCAAGACCTCCTGACGACTATTTATCGGACCGCAGAAGGCTTCGCAACCGTCTCTCCTTTCAAGGACCATCCATTCTTAGGCAGAGCCGTATTGTTTTCACCGGACTCTCGCATCGACGCGTTGGCAACACCAATGCCTCTGGTCGATAACTCGATTTGCTGCGATTATATGGACATGCATCACTTCCGCAACAGCCCGATGAAGGGTCATTTCCCACGGCCACTGCCAGTTTTGCGTTACCTTCAACTGATGCGGAAGGCAAATTGGTCCCGCACGGTGACTTCGCTCCCAGAACACAGCAAGTCTGAAGAGCTGGATTTTGACAGAGGTCCCACAGTCAACGCTGCAAAGACAAGGAATTGTGGATGTGTCTTGCCGTGTGCGAGAGGAAGGTGCGCAGCGACATTGATGATCTGGCGTGGAGCAAATAGCTTACGTTGACAAGTTGTCCTTGCAAGGGTTCAAGGGGACCGGGAGCATGTCCATCAAGTTGCACTTGTCTATGCAACTGAGAGCTCGACAATGGTGGAATTTGGGAGGGTTGTCTTTGTGGTCGACATGGTCTCAGGTGCGCTCAGGCTGAAAGATGGTGTGTGTCTATGGTTTGGTTCTGCCGCCTCTCGGTGGGCCGAGACTGTAGTATTGTAAGCCTGTCGATCTGAGGGAGTCCTCATTGTCAACAGGAATGAATGATGAATGAACCAGGGTGAAAGCGAATCGGGGGCTGAATGGCCAAGGTAGAATCAGTGTCGAAGTCATTGGAACAAAGCAGGCAACGCAGGTTGCCTAAAACAGCAAGATTTGGTTTATGCCTTGGTCTTGGCGCTGGACTGGGATCTGCAGTCGCGGACCAGGCACAAAGAACTTGACCTCCCACTCTACTCCAGACTCGAAGCACCAGAACTCATTTACACCTCGACTACACTACTTGCACGGGGCGAAGCCGCCACTAGAAAAACTTCTGACTCTCTCCAAGCACCTCGCTACCCTCTCGACGCAGGTTGGCTTCCTTTGACACAAGAAAGCCACAGATCCCAACCCGCCACAATCAAAGTGAACACCCCGCGACAATCCTACCTTTACCCACGATCTTTCCACTACCCTCTCTCACGCCATTCCTCTAGGCGCCAGTAGATCTCTCGTGACTTGACAGAGGTTGTTGTCGTTGTCGACCAATCGATCTGCTGCTCGCAAAACCCGACATCACATCCTTTTCCCATTCCGCCCTCTCAATCTCTCGCAAAATGACGGACGCTTTAGCAGCACAACTCAACAAAGCCTCTTTGAACGATGGCGCAGACGAGTCAAACTGGAAAGACTCGCTCAATCTTCCAGCAAAGGACACCAGACAACAGACTGAAGATGTGACTGCTACAAAAGGCTTGGATTTTGAAGACTTTTACATCAAGCGTGAATTGATGATGGGCATATTCGAGGCCGGATTCGAGAAACCCTCTCCGATTCAGGAAGAAACCATACCTGTTGCCCTCACCGGCCGAGATATCCTGGCCCGAGCAAAGAATGGAACTGGCAAAACCGCAGCCTTTGTTATTCCAACCCTCGAACGAATCAACCCCAAAAACCCAAAAACCCAAGCGCTAATTCTTGTCCCCACTCGAGAACTCGCTCTACAAACATCCCAGGTCTGTAAGACTCTGGGAAAGCACTTGGGCATCAATGTCATGGTTACCACAGGTGGCACCGGACTGAAAGACGATATCATCAGGTTAGGGGAAACAGTACATATTATCGTTGGCACCCCTGGGAGAATCCTCGACCTTGCAAGCAAAGGTGTTGCAGACTTGTCCGAATGCCCTATATTTGTCATGGACGAAGCCGACAAGTTGCTTTCTCCGGAGTTCACTGTTGTCATTGAGCAACTCCTATCCTTCCATCCCAAAGACCGACAGGTGATGCTGTTCAGCGCCACTTTCCCGATGATCGTCAAGGCGTTCAAAGACAAACACATGCGAAATCCCTACGAAATCAACCTTATGGACGAGCTGACCCTGCGTGGTATAACCCAATACTATGCTTTCGTCGAAGAGAAGCAGAAAGTTCATTGCCTCAACACGTTATTCTCGAAGCTTCAGATCAACCAGTCAATCATCTTTTGCAACTCGACAAACCGGGTTGAGCTCCTTGCAAAGAAAATCACCGAACTGGGGTATTCATGCTTCTACTCTCACGCCAAAATGCTGCAGCAGAATCGAAACAAGGTGTTCCACGACTTCCGTGCCGGCGTCTGTCGAAATCTGGTGTGTTCCGATCTCCTCACTCGTGGTATTGATATTCAAGCGGTCAATGTGGTCATCAACTTCGATTTCCCCAAAAACGCTGAAACATATCTCCATCGCATTGGTCGTTCTGGACGATTCGGTCATCGTGGTCTCGCTATCAACTTGATCAACTGGGACGATCGTTTCAATCTGTATAAAATCGAACAAGAGCTGGGTACTGAGATCCAGCCGATTCCTCCATCTATCGACAAGAGTCTGTATGTATATGAGAATCCCGAATCGATTCCACGCGCAATGCCTCCACCAGCACAGACTCAGAAGGCCAACACGTCCAATGCGAATGCCAATGCAAACAACACAAACAACAATGCTACCAACAGCAACGGTCAGTACCAGCAGGCTCGGAGACCACAGAATCAATCGAACGGATATGGGCAACAATACAACAATCAAGGACGTGGTGGATATCGTGGACGAGGTCGAGGTCAGGGTGCTCGAGGCCGTGGAGGTCATCCCCAACAGTCAACAGCAGCACCCGTGGGTCAAATCGCTCACTAGTCTGAGATTTGAACTTTGATCTAGCGGTGGGCCTTTTTTTTCTTGATTTTCTGTTTCACGGCGTTTTTTCTTTCAGTTTCATGGCACGAAGGTCTATGACATGCGACATGCGCAAGCTGGGAGTTTTCAATAATGGCTGGCTCATGTGGTTTTCCTTGCGATCAGATCTGTACAACAGTGTTGGTACAGCTTCTACTTCTTTCTTGGGGTGGGTGTTTTCTGGATGGATTGCTACGGACGGACCGGGGGTGCTTCTGGGTCCTCTGCCGAGCAAGCTTCGGTCGGGGATTTATGGCTCATGACATTGCATGTCTTGAAAGAGCCACGTTCTTGTTGGGGTCACGGAGAAAACTGGCGCAAAAAGTTTCGGTGAAGGTCAGTGCAGTCTTCTACACGGATTGTAGACCTGCATGGCGTTGCTTGGCTATTTGCATTTCTCTCGTTCAGATCTCGGATATACCAGCCACACGACGACTCCTATCACTGTCACGATATCCTATGCTCATACTCTTCAACTCTATCCACTTCGACACCAGTCTTACGGAACGACCTAATCATCAAATACGCCTGGCGCATATTCAATCAATATCTCTCTCGGCGAGCAGCCAAACACCGTCTTCTTCGACTTGCGCAGAAACGACACCCAAATACGGGCACCACCACGACATACCCAAGAATATCGATACCTCATACCCACTGCCCTGCATGAGCCCTTCAGCGCACCACACCAACACACCGATTATAATCGTCTTGCGATTACCTCTCCGTGACAACTTGATGTCACCTAGTGCGGCTCAGTGCTAGGACCTGGCATTAATCTTCAACACCAAAGACGACAATGATCTGTCATCGAATCCAATTCAATCCAACCGTGAACTTTCTTTCATATGCCACCTCATCACCAGACAGGGGAAGGGTAAGCTTGATAGATGCAAGCAGATCTCAAAGACGCTCTCACACCAAAAACTATGAAAACAATAAAAAAATAATAGGAGGAAAGCCGACGGCTTGCACATCCCGGAAGTTCGTGAGAATTTTATGTCCGTGACAGGCGAATGCACTGAACAAACGGAAACAGACCTACGAACACTGCGAAAGGATTCCACAGTCGCTCGATAAACGAGCAAAGACGACCAAGAAAAGTCATCTACCAGCGGTGGAAGTACTGTGACGATTCTACTTTCTAGTGGGATGGAAATAGCTAGACAAGTTATGGGGACAGCAAAGCGCAGACTAGATGGGACGACACTCTAGTATATTTGTGTCTGTTTAGTTCTTTTCTGCGCGCACCTCACTCGAGGTCGAAGCTGATCAATGAGAAAAACTGCCCTGTTTCCTCTGAAAAAAAAAAAACCAGAAAAAGGAACAAAACCCTGTCACCTAATTTGATTCTAGAAGTGCTTGCCTTATACCGTGACGTACTACCCACATCCTCCTTAAGCTGGCGATATCCAACCGTCACCAACCCGGACTCGACTGTCCTGATCGGGAAATTCCCGTGCGTGTTGATGTCCTGAGCTCTCTCTCTCTCTCTCTTGCTTGCGGAAGCTCGCTAGCTAGCTAGATCTTGATGAAGAATGGAAGAAGTATCAGGTCCGGGGTTGGTGACATGGAGAGGGGAAAGGGGAGGGAACGAATCGAATCGGGCGAAGAAAACACAATCTGATCCCAACCAAGTTCACCATTAAGCAGTAGCTAAAGTAAAGTATTCCTTCCTTCCTTCCTTCCTTCCTGGCTGGCTGGCCCAATTCGACATTATTGTGAGACGTTTGCCAAAGCTCGACTCGACGCCACGCCACGCCAGCCGCCAGCGATCACCTTTGGTGGGGGATGTATGTAAAAAAAACATGGCAATGCCTCAAGACGTGCGTGCATGGCCCTTCAGGGGATGTGTGGGTGAGGGTGAGGGTGTGGGTGTCCTTTGTCCATCGACATGTCCAAGCGTGTATGTATGTTTATGAAACGGGGAACTCTGTCCTTTCTGGCAGAGGCCATTGAAGAGAGGGGTCCAATCGTGGCGTACTACTCCAAGGTCTCATACTGCGCAGAAAGTGGTGGACGGGAAAAGACAGGAGATGGCGATTCGATAAATTGCGTACCGCCGCATTGATCGGGTTCTCAATAAGTCAACAGCTTCTTCTGGCCGCCCATGAGACCGCCGCCGTTACCAGCAGCCTTGTGACTGGGTTTGGTGTATGAACAGAATCGGTCTTTGATGCTCACAACCTCATAGATGCCCTCGTCGCTGGCACGGATCATCTTGCTGAATTCGTCTGACGTGTCGTGGCGTGTCTCGAGAACTCGGGCTTTGCCCGTGCCTTTTCTGAGGTTCTCCGTGCGAGTGTATCTGGTTGGCGTCATCATCCATTAGTATATCTTCCAAGTGTCTATTGATTGAGGACACAATTGCGTGGGGGAGAGACAGGGATACTCACGTGAATTCAAAAGGTGGCGTCCCGGTAAACGTAAACAGTATGTCCACCTCCCCTCCCTCATGAATGTCGCTGATGACCGTCTTTCCCTTGCCAATTTCAACAGTCGGATACGGATGAATGACTTTTCGAATGTCTTTCCTTGCGCGGCATTTGTTATTCCCCATCGCCGAGTCGCTGACACCCGTAATGACAAACTCTCCTGGCGACTCAGCAAGCCGTCTGAACTCATTACCCGAAACACGTGCTTTTCGTTCACGATTCTGGAAAGTATAGAAAACGTCAAAGGGGGCTTGGCCGCTCAGGGAGAAAGAGACGTGCTCGCCCACACAGTAATGTTCTTGGGACTCCAGCGGGATGATGGCTGGTGGCGATGAGACATGAATGCGGACTGCGGATGGGTCCGAGTCGAGGATGGATTCGCAGCCAAGCGCGTCTTTAACTGAACGAATAGAAACGGTATGTGTACCTAGGTCGAGGGTGGCCCGCGAAAGTGGCCACGAGTAGCTACGCGTGGCTATCTCTTTTTGGCGGATGATCTCAGGGCGGGTTGATACGCCGTGGTGAATGATGGCAATTTCAACACTGAAAGGGGGCGTGCCTGTAAAGGTGATCGGTATGTTTTCAGTTTCGGCCTCGGCGCTGTTTGTGAAGGTGGGATCGTATTTGCAGTAGCCATAAGTCTTCCCTGCCTGGCTGAACTTTGCAGACGGTAGAGGATACACTTGCTGCCAGAGAACAATCGGCGTAAATCCCTTCTTGTCGGGAGAATAGCGAGCATCGCCCAGCTCGCTGAAAACGTAAGAGTATTCTCCAGCTTTGCTGGTGTCAAGATTGACTTGCGCACTACTACCCGCCAGGGTGACAGGCTTGTTGCTAATGGCAGCAGGCCCCTTGATTGGTTCGAACTTCTGCTGGTATTTGAGGTGGAAAGGCGGGCTGCCTGTGAGACCAAGGGCCAGAACTGATTCGTCTCCCTGACAAACTGCGGCCTTGCGGAAGCCTTTCGATCCTTCTGTCCCAATAGCCGGATCTTTGATTGATAGCGTTGGTCGGGGCAGCCAGCTCACTTGGAATTTGTTCGCTTTAGAATCAACCACGCCGGGGCAACTGTCATGAATAGAGACGATCTCGTAAGTACCCGGACGGTCGACTGAGATTTCGGCGTTTGCGTCTCTAAATATCTGCTCAAACGAGTCAGACCCGTCGTCCAGATTCTGCAGTCTGACCGCCCATGGGGCGAAGCCGTTGAGCCGCAATGGTAGTTTCACAGACCTGCCATCGAGTGCCAGGATCGATCGTTTGCCGTCAATATCGCCGAACGCCGCGCGTGGCTGCTCTTGTCTGACTTCGATCTTCCGTTCCTCCTGCAACGTCGTACGACATCGTGATTTGTCTTGGACTCCTGACAGTACAACAGAATAGCTCCCTCCTTCTGCCAACGGCGGAAGTTCGATCGTGCATAGCTCGTCCTCGGAGTGGATGTGGTGCTTCTTTCTTTTGCCGGCATGCACCAGCTCATAATCCAAGTCCCACGGTCCTTGACCTGCAAGTCTAACTGGTATTGACACAGGTGAGCCGAGACACGCCTTTACAGCACGATTGTCTCCGTGGAATATCGCAGACGCCGGTGGCTTGATGTCTTGTTTTAGGACGAGATTTTGGTCTTTTAGTGACACGCTGCCGTAGACTTGGTCTTCGATCTCATGGATTGTGTATATGTAAGAGCCAGCGGCTCTTTCACGCAATTCCATCTGACCGCGCATACCAGAAAATTCTTGGACTTTTGGGAAAGCCGTCCCACGGTGGCTTATTGTGTATCGAACTTTGAAGGGAGGAGTGCCCGTGAAGTCAAAGTTAACATACATGCCAATTGGATTACCGGCACACTTGTCAAAAATGTCCTCAGACTCCATACTGAGACCTGGTTTGGGAGGGTTATGGAGCAGACATGACGAAGGTTCAACAACCTCGCCACGGCAGAATTGGCTGTCAACAGAATCGAGGCTGTATTTGCCAGGCTGATTGATCAGAGGCATGGAGCGACGGTCCGCCATCTCGTGTACATGGTGTTCCGAGCCAACGGCTTCCCCTTCACCGTCTGAGACAAAGCTGTACTTGACATTAAACGGCCAGTCTGATGGATGCAACGTATCCACATGTTGGATTGAAATAGGAAGCGGAATAGCGTTTCCTTCACGGACGCGAAGTACGCGATCTGAGTTGAGGCCTCCCAGTGTGACTCGAGGTCTGTTATGCACAGTCAAGCTCTGCACCCGTGGAGCATGAAGGTCCTTTGATTTGCTCCCATTGTAGACGACCTTGTTCCCGAGACCATCTTCTACTTCCTCGATAGTGTAAGAATGGCTTCCATTCTGGTGGAGAGATTCATTGATCTCGAACGACTCGGTTGTGGATTTCGTCCATCCCATATGTGGCCGTCGTGGATCAAGGACGACAGCCGAGGCCTCATCACTGGAGACCAAGTCGAGATCCACATGGGGCAGTACATTCTGGACAATGGAACTGAATTGCTTGTGATTGACGGTCTTGCTGTATTTGACTTTGAATGGTGGGACACCTGTGACTCGCAGAGCGACGTTGCTCAACTCTCCAGTGCATCTGTCCTCGGATTGAGTCGAGATGGACGCCAACGGGCAATGCACCACTGCCGTGTCGAAACTCCGTTTCCGCACTTCCAATTTTGTCGTGTCAATAACGCGTTGCAGCTGGTACAGGCCAGCCTTCGAAACTGGGTAATGCAGAGTCCGAGGCGTGTTTGTATCAGACTTGTGGCGACCGCTGTCTGCCTGCTTTTTCAACTGTCTGGCTTGTTTGCTGCTGATGGTGATCGTCTCGACTTCCTCTGTCTCAAGGTCATACCGTTGCAGCTCAATAGAAATAGGTGTCGTCTGATTGATCTGAATCGGTAGTTCCACCGAGGGTCTCGACGCGTCAATGCAAAACGCCCTCTTCTCGGGATTCAGAATGGCAGAGCCCTCTGGAAGGATGTGTATAATTTGTTTGCCCAAGATGATCGAGGAGTTGTGTAGAATATCTGCTGGTTTCACCCGGTGCTCCGAGATCGACAGCTCGCGGTCATAGGCTACCTTGACCAGTGCCCCCAGCCACGTCAGGAAAGGTATTGGTATCTTGTACATTAAGAAAGCATTTGCAAGAGCATGCAGCAACCATAGTGTGAAAGCCGTGGGAAACGAGAACTCCAGCCAGGGTATCTTAAACGCTGGTAGCGCCACGAAAAATGCGGCATCAATTCCTATCCATTTGAGAAACAACCACGTCGAATCCAGATCATTTTCCACATTGTAGGAGTTGTACAGCCTCCAGGCTGTGAGAGCAATATAAAACCCCAAAACGTAGAATCTTTGAGATGGAACGTCGACGATTTCGGTCGGTATCAGGGGCGTAGGGGCACCCGCCCGCTCACCAGCGGTCTTCACAGGTCGTATTATCGGTGATGGTCTCTCAGGAAAGGGAGAAGGGGGTGAGCCCAGAGCTGAGCGTTCATTGTTGTTGAAGGTTCTGCGTCGAGGGTCTGTTCGTGGAGTGGTAGGGAAGGCCGACCGCAGTCGCGGAGTTCCATTCATTGCACCATGCGGCTGTGAAGTCCTCTCTCTTGTATCAAACCCAAAAAGCCTCCTCCGTGAAATATTGGAGTTGCCTACCAGCACTGGCTCGCTGAGTCGTAGTTTTGAGGGAAAAAGATCTTGGGTTCAAAGCGTGAATACTCGTGGAGGTTTTGGGACAACCGAAATCGCTTGATGTCTGCTGTTTATTTTTTCAGCAAGTCCAATCCCGTAGCCGTGTAGAAGAAAGATAGTTCTAACACCCAATTTTTACCTGTTGGAGAGCGATTAACGCAGGTTTCTATCGCGTTTGCACGCGTCTTGCAGTCCGTTGCCAGGCACAAGGCTGAAGGCCAAAAATGGCTTGGCGGTGTAAATGACGTCAGTTACACAGCCTTGCGCAGCACAAGGCTCGCTCCTCTCCTTTATCACCTTCAGGACAGAATCTTCGATTCTTTTCGAGTCCAGGCTGAGATCAACAACATCCCCGGGGACCCGGCCCGCCACGTGGTAGTCCATGAAATAATGGAACTTCGTTGCCGTACCCAAATGGATCAGGTGTGAAGCTGGGGAGAAAGTCATTGCCTTTCCAGATGGAGATTCGTCTTGTCCGACAAACCAGACACTTTTCCGACCGGCCTATACTGTTGGTCCTCCTCCTATACAACTGAAAGACAGAATAGTCCTTTCAGGAACTATTTCTGCAGTGGTCCTACCCACGCATCCTCCGCCAAATCAAGTGCAGCCTCGTTCTCATTCTACACACAAAATTATCTCAAAATCCCTTTCCGGGATGGCCAACACTGGAGCTGTCGCCGTTTCGGAGCCAACCACCGACGTACCGGCAGAAAGGGATACATTTCAGGAGAGTCCAGGTGCAGCTTCAACGCCCCTGGATACAACCTCAACAAATACCGAGGATGTCCCACCTGCTAATAACCAAATCGCTTCGTGGAAAGGATGGGCAGAAATAGAAAATGACCCGGTAATCCCTTCCCTTCGCTTACCAAGGGGTACCCAGCTGATCTTTGATCCAGATTGTGTTCAGCACCTTGTTACGAGAATGGGGTGTCCCCAATGTCCAGGTCAACGAAGTAGTGCCACTTGACAGCGTCTTCGAGTATCCGCCGTAAGCAGAAACAACTTGTGCTTGTAATCCATGCTAATCAGTGCACAGGCAGAGTATTTACGGACTAATCTTTTTGTCGAGATGGGCCGCACCCGAAACCGAAAATGATCTTACACAGCCTCCCACCGGAATTTGGTTCGCAAACCAGACGCTTTCCAATTCTTGTGCCACGGTTGCTCTTATGAATATCGTCAACAACCACGCAACGGTTAACCTGGGCCAGCCACTCAACGACTTCCGAGCGACCACCATGCATTTGACCCCCGTTGAACGAGGCCTTGCCCTAGATCGCTTCGACCACGTCAGAGACGTCCACAACTCGTTTGCCACAGAGTTTGACAAGATGAATGTCGACCTTCGTCTCAAGCAGGACATGGCTCTGGCCGAAAAGAAGAAAAGAGCCGCAAATGCCAAACGGCCACGCAAGAAACTCAAAGCAGAAGACGAAGCCGACGAGGACGAAAGCGGTCTTCATTTCATTGCATATGTGCCAGCTGGAGGGGTGGTATGGAGAATGGATGGCTTGGAGCGTCTTCCACGAAAGCTAGGCTTTGTGCACGAAGGAGATAGCTGGATTGCCATGGTTCTTCCGGAGCTACAGGCTCAGTTGGAATCCGCAACGACCAACTCTTTGGAGTATTCCTTGCTCTCTCTGACCGCATTGGACGACTCGTTGAGCTTGGATGCGGATCAGGTGAAGATGGAGAGAACACGAGAAAATTGGGGGCCATTCCTGGCGCAAATGGTCAAGGTGCATGCTGAAAAGGGTACTTTGAAACAGGGATTGGGGTAGAGTTGCAGGACACCACATTTGTTAGACAATATGTAAAAGATCGGAATTGATAATCTGGGAGATGTCTCATCACCTGTCGACGCGAAACCAGTACTTGCCTGAGATTTCGATCATTAATTCCGAACCTCGTCCTCTGTCACTCTGAACCTCTGGACTGCCACCCAACTGCGGGCGCAGTTGGCGGTAGTTGGTCGCTGCGCTTGGCGGTCACGAGGGCTTCCTCGCTCTTGGCCGTGTAACATCCTCCTTCGTCTCGAACCTCAGCACCTCAATCGCATCAAACACCACCAAGTAACTAATTCACCAGACTCCCATATCCTCATCCGCGAAGAACACCGCGCCGACACTGCGTCCTCGCACTCGCCGAGGAATCAGGTCGCGATGACCTCGCCACTCACACAACTTCCTAATGAGGTCATTCATGTCATTCTGTCATACTTGCCCTTCCAGAGCAACACCGCTCTGCAACAAACCTGCCACCGCTTCGCAGATGCCGCCAAAGAACCACTTGTATGGAAGAAATACTGCCAGGACTTTTTCAGGTGGTGGGATCGACGGCACTCGTTCCCCCAAAAACTCCGAGATGCATCCTTCGTTGCGTGGAAGGAGCTGTTTGCAGAGCGGTACAGGTCATCCAAGGCCACTCGACAAGCCCTCGACAAGATGATCGAGGAGGACTCCGGGCGACTCGACTCGTTGAAGGTCATCCTGGACGCTCGTTACGACGCCAAGGACCACTTGTTCGACATGTACTGGAATGCACCCTCTTCCCCGAACCACCTTGCCCAGAAGTGAGTCTCTCTGTAGGGCCCGTCTCCTGGCCATGCTTCTGATCTCTTTTTAGATACTGGAGCCATGCAGCTTTAGGCTGTGTACAGAGACTGATTGCAGTTGAGGAGTGGAAGGATATCAAACCAGGAGAATATCATGCGGGCTCACTTGAACGGTCACTGTCTGCTTTCGATATGTTTATCCTCGAAGAAAAGGCCGCGGGGGACATGTCCGATGTGAGTTTGTTGAACAGGCCATGTCGCTGCTGCCGTCCTAGCTAAAGCTCGCGTCAGATCCTTGCTCGTCTTGATTCCTACGTCCTTTCGGTCCGCGAGGCTCACCCCTACATCGATGGAATGTCGCCGCGGATGAGAGCGAGCATCATCGCTCAGCATCTGCTAGACAACCAATGGGTAGGCATCACAGATGGACGAAACTACCACTCCATCGACCATATGTTCCTCGGAGTAGCTCTGTTTAGCACCAACAGAAACTCGGTCCCTCTTATCTCGGCCACCATCTTTTGTTACGTTGCACGTCGATTCAACTTGCGAGCCGAACCTTGCAGCTATCCTTTCCATGTGCATGCAGTCGTGCAGCCTCCGCTTGGGTTCGACCTTGACGGCCACCCCCTTGCAGAATCTTCCGGTCAAGAACCGTCCGATCTGACACACTTATACATGGACCCTTTCCACAACTCAGAATCCATCTCCCGATCAAGGTTGGAGACACAGCTCAAATTCATAAATCCTGGTACAACACCAACTCAGACTGTCGCATATATGTCGCCGGCGTCTGCCCGTGACCTCTCAGTACGCACAGCACTCAACATTCTAGCCTCCCCTTCTCACGACCCTGGTCTTCCATTACATCCGATCAACACCAACTTGGCCGCCTACTCTGCTTTGTTCGCTCTCGTTAGCATCCCATCCGATCCCCCTAGGCACGCAACGCACTTGCGCCAACATCTCGCCGTCCTTACGCAGCACTTTCTCGAATATTTTGATCTAGATATCCACTTGTTTGAAACCTGCGTCCTTCCACTGACAAATAATCTGCCCGACGCCCGTGCTTACCGCAACTTAATTTTGCAGCTGAAGGAGTCGGATCATGAGTCACGCCCAGCCAAATATCGGTCTGATCCTCGCAATTCAGAAGTGAAATACAGCGTAGGCCAAGTCTTTAGGCACCGTCGTCGGAATTACGTGGCCGTGATTTATGGGTGGGATCCCTACTGTCGCATGCAGGAGCAGTGGATTACCATGAATCAAGTCGATCGCTTACCAAACGGAAGATCTCAGCCCTTCTACAATGTTATCGTGGAGGATGAGTCGACACGCTATGTGGCGGAGGAGAACGTGGTGCTGTTTGGTCCCGATGACTTTTCGGAGGAGCGTGCCAACAATTTTCCCATCGAGGTTGGAAAGTGGTTTAAGCGGTATGATCCGGAGACGGCGACATTTGTGAGCAACGTGAAGGACGAATACCCCGATGACTAGCAATTCCTTGGTAAAGGGGCTGGTGATGGCACTGGGCTGCTTTCCGAGTCGACTTACAGATCTGGCTCTGCGGCGAGTGCACAGAATATGGGTCTCCTGGGAAGTTTCCGGTCAGCACGAAAGGTGGCCGTTCTGGGCTATACGATGCTGCTTCTGCGCTTGTTTAAACACGAATGAAGGAGTGACGACTTCGCAAATACTGGCATTGTCAAAAGACTGACACCGGACCAGGACGACGAAATGAAGACGGGGAGCTGTTAGTCGACCACACAAGTTTATCAACGTTATTGAGCAGCTTAGCCGGAAACATACCCGAGTTGAACCTTGCAGGCATCATGCGGCAGAACCCACTGGGGTAAATGGATGATTGTCTTCCACTTCGTCTCGCTGTTGCCTGGAGGGATCACTATGACCTGCGGCTTGAGAACTAATTTTTTACTTGATTTCAGGTATCAGGTAGGTTCCTGGAGAATGCAGCTGAGGCCATGTGCTCGCTATATGGGATTTCCTCATCTGAGTCCTGCGCCAAATGCATCTTAGCTCCCTGAATTTGGATCGGGTCGACCGCCCTCCTCTTCAAAGCATGTACCAAACTATTACCTACCATGGCAGCAATTCCTACGCCGTCTGACTGTTGGTCGCTTCGAAAATCCACCTAAGCACTTGGACCTTGGCCCACGAAGACAACGAGGACTGCAGCATACCCTGCGATTGCAGCCAGAAGCTCCTGGTTGGACACGCTACTCGATGCAGCCAAGCTTATAGCGAATACGAACAACCAGAGCACGACGGACATGAGTTGGTACTTCAAGGCTGATACGTAGACCAAGTTGTACAACGGCGCCACCAGGAATACCACCCCGGCCCCTGCAACGATGAATCGGGCCAGACTGTCGGCCGCATTCGCGATTTCGCGGGGCCTGACTTCCGGGGGAACGAGCCGCGAGAACGAAACCGGGTCCTCCTGAGGGCGCCGTTGCCAGAACCTACGCCAACGCCAAAGCCAGGCAGAAAGCCCTCCTTCGTGGATACGATGAAACGACATGAGACCTGTTGCGACGGCGTTCCGGACGGAATCAACGCTGGTTGTGAGATTAAGGTCGACCATCTCTTGCGCATTCTTGAACTGGTAACGGTCATCCGCCAGCATGGCTTGAAACACCTTGGCGGTATATTCGGCATCTGTTGCGGACGGACTCGCCCACCCTTCGAGCTCCTTGAACATTCGGAGCGCCTCGGCTGAATCCCACACGAATAGGTTAGCTCAGAAATGAACGTGATTGACACTCTCTCCACGACAGCCTCGAGCACGGCTAGGGCTCGTTCCTTGAGGGGACAGCCTACATACCGTATTCTCTCAACAGCTTCGCCAGGGCGTTATGGTCGTCGTCTGAAAGGACCCTGTGGTCTCGAACACCCTGCTCGAGATCCACAAGTCTCTGTTGGTACGTGAAGAGGCTCAAGAGATGAAGCGGTCTGAAACGCCGGAATCGCATGCTGTTCTCCACTGCACCGAATCCTCCGCTGGCGAAGCTGGCAAATATTCGATTCTTGTCACTCTTGGGAATTCCTTGCCATTCAAGCCCATATGCTGCATCAAACTCTTGCTCTTCCACACTTAAGTCGGAGGCTTTATTTGCAACAGGACTTTCGACTTGGGGAGGTGGCTCGACTGGCACGGGTTCCACAGCCGGCGGCGAGTCAGGGACTGGGGTAGGAGGTCTTGGAGGCTCCTCTGGCGGTGGCGGCTGGGGTATCGCAGGAATCAGACTCGGACCCTCGTCGGTCCTAAGGGATGCGAGAGCATTGAGATCCACGTCTCCCAGGTGGTCTGCCCAGTCATTAAATCCTTGCTCTGGCATGAGGGAACGGGTAGGATCAAATTCCATTGTGCCTTGGGAGAGGCGGGCAAATGACATGAGCGGTCTTGTCGTCACGGCCTTCACTTCTATTCTGGCAGTAAACTGCTGGTCGTTTTGTCGCCTGAGCAGAACAGCACCGGTGAAGGATCCAGAAACACCATGCTGCAACTGGCTGTCTTCGGAAAGCTTCCAAGACACCGAATCTGGAAGACCCCAGTCCACTTTTACAAATCGAGCTGCGCCCTGGAGTCGCATTCCCCTCCGCATGTCCTGCGTGAGCGATCTCTCCAGTCTGAAGCCACCGGTGTCGGGGGACAGACTGGGGAGGGTCAGGGTGCCTTGAGGCGCGAGGGTCATGACCCCCGGGCCTCGCTCCTCGACTCCAACACTGTCAAATAATATCCTGATATCGACTGCTTTGAGTCGGCTTTTCCCACTCATGACAGACATGTTGAATTTGAACACGAGGAGAGAGCACGGCACTTTATCTGAAGGATTGAGCGTTCCGTGGATGGCGGCATACAGTCTCACGTTTAACCGTGGCCCATCCTTGTTCCGGGCCATGATCACAGTTGGGGCGAGTGCTACCTCAGGATCCGGAACGTTGTCCATTTTGCCGGTTGCACGGGAAAGAGGACAGGCGTGTTGTGGGAGGTTCTAGGAACAAGATTTGACCAACTGGGCTGTGCGACAACAGCCCGCGGGATATTTGGGTTAGTGGGAGGGGAGATAAGAGCAAAGATCAAGAGAGTTTTGTGCGGGGAGGGCGAGTTTTCGGAAGAATGAGGAATTACAAGATCCTCAAAAGGCCTGGGATGAAGTGACTGGAGGAGGAGGAGGAGGAGGAGGAGGAGGATTTAAATACATGCCCGGTAAACACGCAATCAGGCTGGCGGGAACTAGAGATACATACCATGCATAAAACTATGAGGGACGATCGTTTACGAAGTTCGTGTTGAGGCGCATCACACACGCATTTTTCGCTCCAGGTGAGGCTGAACGGCTGAGTCTGTTCCTAGGTATTGGCCAAGTTTGGGTTGTGGTTGTGGTTATGGCTGTGGTCCAGCCAGTGCCAGGGGTGGACTCACTACGAGGTGCTCCTTGATTGACGTGGTCGTCGTCGTAGCCAGTAGCCAGTAGCCAGAAGCCAGACACGCAGAAGGGGCCCGCCAGTAGCAGTAGCCGTTGGCCGTGGCCCCCAATCCGCAAACTCTGGCCAAGGTCGCGGGCCGGAGCGAATGGAGGCTCGAGCGGATAGAGGCGAGCCAAGTAGTAGTAGTAAGAAGTGTCTCGGCGATCTTGAATCTTAACTTCTTACTACGGATGTACGGAGTACTCGGTAGATACTGGATAGTGATATATCCTACAAATAGATAATACAGGTGCTGGTATCTCGTGCTTTGTATCAGTTGGCATGTAGAGCGCCGCAAGGTAAAGGAGTCAGCCTATTGAGGGGTGGTGGTGGGCGATGTTGAATGATTCTTTCAAGATATCCATTTCCCGCCCTCATTGTCTGTTCTCCTGTTTGAAAAGCTCGCGGAACTCTGCCTATAACGGTGTGGATCACACATCAACCTCGTTCCAGGACGCCGCTCGATATTGTGACCGGGCCAACCCATCCCTTTTCTTCCTACAATATCCATCCAACAACACCAAAGACGGCTCCGATAAAGGACCCGGCAATAAGATCCTTGTTCTGGGAAGAGGTCAGCATGTGTATCGTGGTCGATCAATCCTCAGGCCCTACCTGGACGATGATACCGCCGTTGGAGGAGCTGCTAGCCGTCGGACCAGAGGTGCCAGTGGTCAAGGCCGTCGGCTCTGCACTGGCCGAAGCAGGCGTAGTCCGTCCAGCATTCGCCGCGGCGAATTGGTCAAAGCAGGCTGAGGAGGTGGCCTGCGCGCAGCACGAGTCGATCCGCGACTGGCCGACGCTGGTGCAGAATTGACAGACGCCGTCGACGGCGATTTGTTCGAGATTGATCGACTCGCTGACTGCGAGGTCCGACAATACTGGCAGGCCATGGATGTAGTTCGTGCAGATGGTGAAATACGACGAGGCCAGGTCGTCAGACAGGGTGGGAACGGGGGCTACGGTTGAGCCGATGAATTGAGAGAAGACCGACGAGTCGGCTTGGACGTATGCGACCCGCGTCAATACGGCCAGGTAGAGGAGAGCTGCGCGATAAGAAGGCATGATGGATTGTAGAGGAGGCCGAGGTCACGGTTGTCGAGGGATACGTCTCGATGGTGGTTATGGGGAGATCTCTGAGGGAGGGATTCAGCACGTCTGGACTTGTCTCCGACGAGAATGAATGGCCCTGCCACAATATAAACTGGATAGCCATGGCTTGACACTGCAAGGGGTTGGCGTCAACATCTCCTCCATATCCGGCCTGTTGACATCCCTTCCCCCCTCGCGTGACAAGTAAACAGCCCCAACGCCTCCTACCACTTGGGCTGGATTTCAATCGCGCCGCTGCAGGTGTCCTTCAATCTTGTTGCTTTTGAGATGGCATAGGGTCGGCGCGAGGCGTGAAACAAGCCTCGTCTACGCCACAGGGGCAGTTGGGCAGGCAGGCAGCCGGTGACAGCCGTGGATGCGGCTCACGCGCAAGGGTTATCGACATGGTGCGTTGGATAGGGGGGACCATCTCGCGAAGCTAGGGTGTAGCAGCTGCTCGTATTCGCATGTCCACCCCGTAAGTTGCAGGTGATGGTGTTGATAGTGCAGCTTGGCAGATTTCAACAGGCGAACTTCTAGAAGCCGGTTTCTCCAAAAGGCTGACCGAGTTGCTGAGTTGACATGGTTTTAATTATCCCCGTCAAGTTTGACCGCCTTGCTTTTTTAGCGGGCATGAGACACCTGGTTGGGTTGTGAATCGGATTTTCATCGTCCTCTCTGCCTGCGGTCCTCCCTTGACACGCCATGACCACTTGGACTTACAGGATCTCCTACTTCCGAGTACCTACTCAGCTTGAGTGCTGCTATTCCATTAGCGTCCACGCCTAAACATCTGTCACGCTAGGCCGTTGGTATCGACATTGACGTTGTGCAGCGCCTGTAAGCCTTCTGTCCATCATTGGCGTGTCTAACCGGTATACCTACAGAAACACTGTTCGAACTACGAAGGAGAGTATTTGAATGTTGTCTCAGCCACAAATTGGTCCACCAAGGAACGCTTCCAGCAAGTCTACTCGTAGTCATGCGCAGTCCGGCCCGAAACCTCGCTTCTCCTCGTTTCCTCCAGGCTATTCGTCCTGGCCCCTACCAGACGCCGTTTTCCCCCTCATACACCGTTTCCGGCCGATCATCCACTCACAGCCTGAACGGTTCTCCTACTCGTCCTCAATTTCCCCTTAAACTTCCACATCACCAGCTTACAACCCCAGCACCCAAGAACGTTTTAGCTTTATCGCTTGTATCCCACTATTGCACAACCGGAAAAAGGATGACCACGGCCACTTCGCAAGGGGAGCAACCATGGCACGCCCAATTCCCCGCGCCGAGGCAAACAGATCCCAAAGCCATCTCGCGTGAAGACTTGTTGGGACGCTTCCGGCAGGGCCAGAGGGGAGGGCGGGATTTCCTGCTCGTGGACCTGAGGAGGAATGATCATGCTGTAGGGACCTCGCTTTTCTTTTTGCCCTCTGTTCTTCGCGATGGTGGCGGCTTCGTTTTCCGGCGGGTGGATGAAAGGGAAGAACAACACCAGGTGGAAAAGGGTGGTCCAGGTTGAGGAAAAAATCCATATGCTGGCCTGGTAATAAGACCAAACACAAAGCACGTTGCTTCTTTGGTCAGCCAACAGGACACACCATACTCAGCCTCAGCCCACCGCCCATGAGATGACGGCGTACGAGTCACACAAATCTACCACTGTGCAAAAGGGGGGAAAGCAAGCCACGATCTGAAGATGGACTAACACCTCCACTCCAGCTGCATCCTCTTCTGTTCGACATTATCCTGCCTTGCTCATTCATACCTCACTCCCGTTACATTCACCTTCTTCTATCCATTCCAGATCATAGCAAACGCTAACTCTATCTACCCACCACTGCAGGGCGGCACCATCAAACACTCCATAAACCTGCCCGCACAGACACTCTACCCCTCCCTCGCGACGCTGTACAATTTGTCCACCGCCGCCAACATCCCCTTGGTGATCTTCTACTGTGGCAGCTCGGGTGGCCGTGGAACCAGAGCCGCCGGGTGGCTGGCGGATTACATCGCCGACCAGGGTCAGCAGGCGACAACGGCACTCCAGAGTGTCATCCTGAAAGGTGGGATCAAGGGCTGGGTGGCTGGAGGGGAGGAGTTCACGCAGTGGATGGACGGGTTTGAAGCGGAAGCCTGGAAAAAGGGAGACGGGCAGTGAGGACGGACGCGGAAAGTGCCTCGTACATATAATATCATGTATATAGTTGGCTGTGCGTGCATGTAGTCCGTACTCCATGGACATGCGTTGCGCAGAATTTTCATTCTCGGCTGTCATGTCCTGTGTAGCGCTGTTGACGACGACGCCGCCACCTGCCTGTCCTCGATATTCACATCCACGCTGACACTTATCGTTGTCTCATGCAGTAGTTGCATTAGTACCTACTTGAGTCATACTGAGTCCTTGTACGCCCCTTCCCCTTGGGAGACGATAGTCCCCCCAATCCCAAACCTCGTCAACCTCCAACCCCACAAGTCAACCCAACACGCGCTGCAAACTTATCAAACTCCGCCCCTTCCAGACCCCGACTCTTGACATGTCCCTCCTCGATCTCTACGAGCACCGGTTTTCCCAACAGATGCTCGCGGCAGCTGAACTCCCACATGGCGCGGAGCAGAAGGGCGAGCCGGTGCTGGAACTCGGCGCGGGGGTATTTCTCGACCAGGCGCTCGAGGCGGCGGGTCTGGGACGCGGCGGCGGTGGACGAGTCTCCCCCAACGACGGAGAATTCTTGTAGCGTGTCGAGGCGCAGTTGGGTCCAGGATGGGTGTTCGATGTTTCTGGGACACTCGCCGGGGGTGGAGCGGAAGAGGTTGTTGAATGCCTCGGTCTCCTCCTCTGCTGTTTCCTCGTGGTCGTGGTTATCATACGAAGCTGGATGAGCGTCCCCTTCGCCATTGAGCGACGTGTCGAGATCGCCGAGGTAGCCCCATGCAAAACAGTCCTCGAGTCTCGGGAGACACTCTATTGACCCGCCCCCTCGGCTGCGCAGTCGCAGCGATTCGAGACTCGCCTGCAACATGAATTCGCAGGCGACGTCCATCCAGAAGTCGTCCGGCCGTTGCCTCACAACGTCGACAAAGGATGCGGAAATGGCCATGAAGCGCGGCAGGAGCGGCGACAGGAGCGAGGGACTCGGAGGAAGGGCTGTCGGTGGAGAGGCTGATGGCGCGTGAGGAGGTCTGGTCGCGTCCCAGGTGCTGTATATCCGCTGCTCTAGATCCCAGGCCCGAGCCTGTTCATTTTCTCCGGCCGCTGTAGAACCCTCGTGGATCCCAACGCGGGAATCTCTCTCACGCCTGGCGAGCCATCTTCGACGATCCTTCAGATCGCTCATTGTGCGGTTGAAACCCCCTGATGAGTTTGCTGAGGAACGCTCCGTGACGATGATCTGAGTGCGGCGATATAACAGCAAGACGAGGAACTCTAGGACCTGCAGCCTGTAATTGAACTCGGCCGACTGCTCGTAACAAGGGTGGTGGTGGTTGAAGACGTTGAGAAAGCTGTCGAAGATGACAAGCATTCGCTGCTGCGGTCCGTATATTGCCTTGTCGTCATCGTCCTCGTAGTCGTGTTGACATCGTCCTCCACACAGGGCGTCCAAGTGAGCCTCGACGGCCCGGAACAGAGTATACTCCAGCACCATGAGGTCGACGTCGAGCTGCAACCCCGGGTCTGCACAGCGAGTGTCCATCTGTGCTGGATATCTGATGTCGTCAATCATTGTACCAAAGCTCCCGTTTCCCCCTCACAGTAAACTTCGTAGTCGTCCGTCGTGATATCCTCTTGTGCCTCGGAGGTTTAGTAGTTGGAATTGGGAACTGGGAAATAGGAAATCAAACAAGTCAAGTGTCATGCACCAAGGGTGTATCACTTTCTTTTTTTTTTTTTTAAATTGTCTCCCTCACGAGCTGCCACGCTTTTATGTATGTATGCCCAAAGTCACAGAGCTCCGTCACTGGAGATCGAACAGGAGAGAGCGCAGCAAGCAGCAAGCAGCAGCAACAACAGGGGGCGCCGATGATCCCTGCGTCATCACCGTGTTTCGGCGGCAACCTTGATGGCAACGGGACAGTGCGTGGGTACTCATGAATCGACGATCCATTGCTTCCTGGTCCGTCGACGATATCTCTGAAGTGTCAATGTTTCGAGAGAAAAGGGCCAGATACAGACCGGGAAGAGGCGGGAAAAATGTGTCTGTGTGTGAGAGGGAGAAGAGCCTCGCTAATGGCCTCGCTTCGGGGTCGGTCGGTGTTGGCATTTTGTCTTCACCGCAAGTTATGCGAGATGCATAGACACCAGACAGCAACTGACATGCAAAAATGAGTAGGTTAGGTCAACAAGTTTTGATACGAAGAGCGTCCATATAAAGATAATCCCAATGTGGTTTTAGTATCTCGCTCAAAAACACCGTCGCTATGCATCCACGCCCCTGGGTATAATCTATATCTATGCACTTCATGGTGGCGGCCTCTAGACACTCAATGCAATTAATTCGTGAAATTCGTCTCCCATCTGATCATCTTTTCTTTCCTTTCCCGCCCTTGACACCTTTGACCTGAGTCACTGGAGCGGCGTGGTTTTTCTCCTTGATGTGGTTGAACAAGCGCGTCTTGGACGGAAACTCGGCTTTGCATACGACACACTGAAACTCTGCTGCCGCCTTATCGGATTGCTCTGCCGCCTTCTGTGCGGCCCTCTTTGCTTTTTTCTGCTTTGCCTTGCCAATCTTGGGTTGTGCTGTCGTCTCAGGATCGGACGTGAGAGGAGTGCCCGAGAGACTGACATCGTCAAATGCTGCAGAAATTCTCTCCAAAGGTTCTTCGCCTAAGCGTCGCTCAATCTCTGACCGGGGAGCGTAATCGTCATCGTCTGAAGCCTCGGAGGACTCGTGGCTATCCACCGTTCCTGCTAGATCTGTTTGCCGTTGATGTACCTCGGCGTCGCTTGGCTCGGTTTCAGCGATATCAGTCTTCGGAGAGGTTGATTTGGCTTTCTCATCGTGGAATTCGTCTCCATCAGCTGCTGTAGCGTCGTGGTCTCGTGCTCTATGACCATTTTCCAGCTCCAATTCTACACCCTCCTGGCGCATCTCCTTCTTCAGCTGTTTTAATAACTTGATATGCTTTTTGCTCTTCTCGTGAGCCTTGAATTGGGCCTCGCTCTTGAAAGTCTTGTCGCAGACCACGCAGTCATACTCGTGTTCCTCCAACTCAGACTCACTCGAGAACCCGCCTTCATATTCGTCTTTCGACCTTGATTTGGCCCACTCAGCTATTGCCTCAGCACCAGTTTCCTGAAGCTTCGCTTGTTGTGCTGCCCTCGACCGTGCCGCTTGTGCAGCAGTCGCCTCTCGAAGGGCTTTTTGCCGTTCAGCTTCTGACTTTTGGTTGTTTTGAACACGAGGGTCTCGTTTCCGAATAAAAGCAACCAAAGAGCGCACTGCTTCATTGTACTCCTGCACGGCCTCATCCCGGATCTTCTTGTTTTCCTTTTCCATCAAGCGCCTAATTCGTCTGTCTGGCGCATCCGATAACCTGTATTGATCTTTCCAAGAATAGCTCTTCTTAGTGGCAAACCCGCTCCATGCCGCGTAAAATGGGCGAACCACGTCCTCATAATCATCTTCCTTGAGCCCGAACTCAGGGTAGTCCATTGGGTCTTCATCCTCCCACTGACAAGCAATGTCCTCCTCTTTCGCAAGCTGCTTAAAGAAGTCGTTCAGTCCGCCATAAAAGCCACTCGGAGCATTGGTATATTCCAATCGGCCATTAAACTTCATCATCAATTTTAACACCTCTTCCGTGGTTGTCATCCGCATGTTGTAGAAGAACTCATCTGACGTCGGGCCAGCTGCCTGGTCACCGCGCAGAAGGATATCTCTATGCGAGTCATACCATGCACGTTCCTGAGGGTCGGAGAGGACTTCATAGGCAGACTGGATCTCGGCGAACAGTCTCGTGGTCTCTTCGACATTGCCAAAATTTCGATCCGGGTGCAGTTCGAGGGCCTTTCGCCGGTATGCCTTTTTGAGGTCATCGTCAGTCGCAGTTCTTTCGACGCCGAGGAGATCATAGTAGTCTGCTTTGGCCGGAGCCTGGTCCTGGGCAGCGCTGTCCGAGGACTGCCGTTGACCCATGGCTGAGGCAGAGGATGTTTGTCCCGGTCCAAAAGAGCGGTTCAATCGACAATCCACTCAAAATTGACGAGCATCATCCCGCGACGCCGTAGCGCCTCTACAGCCGACAGAGGTTAGACTTTTACAGCACCAACCACGGAGAAATATGGCGGTGAAACTGTTGGAATGGATCTCGAGCCTTGTGAGCCCCAGGAGGGCAGAATTGCTGCGCCATTTACGAATCATTCTAGCCTCGCCTAAAAAGTCCCGCTCAGCCCGCCTTGCCTAAAGTTCGAGGCTGTACTAACCAAGAAGAACCAAGACTAACGATGAGTCACGTGGGTACACGTCCCAGCCAATTGACATCCTCCTCTGCGAAAATTCTGACGTGGATTTTGGTTCCTTGAATTTGCTGGTCGTAAGAGGCGCAGTTTCTGCTGTCATCTGTCACCGGGTAGCAGCCTATGGGATGAAACTCTCGTTTCTCTCTCTCTCTCTCCACGGTTCCCATTTCCGACAACTCCCATTTATGGCGCGTCGCCATTTTCGCCATCTGGGGTTCCCGGAAGCAAAAGGCATATTAATGTCACTCGCCCCCCACGAAGATGAGGCCCACGCCCAAAGATGGAAAATAAGCACGCGACGACCTTGAACATCCTGCTACTCCTTTCTCCACAGGTTTCACTCTATTCTATCTCATCTTCACCATCTCTCATAAATGCTTCACGATGAAGTTCGGTCAGGACTTTGAAGCTGCGCTTGCACGCGGCGAATATCCCCCAGAGTGGGTGAATTCTGCAATCTCCTATAAGAAGCTCAAGAAATGCATCAAGCGAGTGCAACAAGAACTTCTGAGCCTCGGGCTGGATAAGGAAACCCTGGATGCCCTGTGGAAGCACGTTGGCTCAGGTGACTCGGATGCCGACGGAAGAATAAGCGATGGTTTGCTGCAGTATACAGTCGAGGATGGCGAGACAGTCAACTTCACGCCCAAGCTGACAATTGTTGTTGACCCTCATGATGGCTCTCCTTTGGATGCATGGCTGAGTCCCGATACGCGGAGGATCTTACGACGCCTTGCCAGATCATCAAACCCTTACATTGATCATAATCAACGCCAGGACGAATCTCCCCACGGGAGAACCAGATTCTACAACCACCGGAACAGCGAGAGTGGGCAATCATTGGATAACGAGGACGGTCACCCTTTGAACACGGTTGAAGTTCCTCTGACCGCAGATTCAGAATTCTTTCAAACACTCCGCCGAGAATTGGCATGTCTAGATGACCTTCAACAAGCCGAGTACGCCCGCCTCAAGGAGGAAATCGCTCGACTAGGCACTCAACTCCGTGCTCTGCGAGCTAGCAAGTCAAGACGATCCAAAAAGGAGGTCGAAGCCTGGCGGAGGATCTTTGAACTCTATACTGATGCCGAGGTCTTCCTATCCTCTCATGAGGCTGACGCAGGGGCTCGAGATGCTACACATGCTCAAAACCAGTTCCAACTCTTCAATGAGTCCCTGGCTGCGCACCAAAAGAAGACTGTTGTAAAGCTCGGACAAGAAGCCAACGTGGCTTTGTCTCGATTCCTCCAGATCAACGTCAACCTTTTGCGGCTGATCAGATTCCAAGAAATCAATCGCACTGCTCTTAACAAGATTATGAAGAAGTTCGATAAGCGCACGGCTTTGTATGCGAAATCTTCTGTGGCGCGATCACTCACAAAAACCTCTCCGTTCATGGTTGAAGATTTGGCCAAGGCCACATGCTTTACCATTTCCGAGGAAGTGTTGAGCATCATCCCGCAGCTCAACGATTACTTGTGTCCGATATGCTTTAGCATCTCATGGAAGCCGGTCAAATTACGTTGCGGCCACCTGTTTTGCATCAGGTGTATGGTTGTCCTACAAAGGGAGGCGAAAGATCATTGCCCTCTATGTCGAGAGGAGGTTGTCATGGAAGCGACCGAAAGTAAGTTGTTCCCCATCCAGATGGAAAAATGCTAGGAATGGATGATCTAATTGTTTCTGTTAGAGAATATCGACCAAACACTGGTCAAATTTCTCAAATCCAATTTTAAAACCGATGTGAGGGAGAAGCAAAGGCAAAACGAGATTGCAGCGGGAATCGATCAATGGGGAGCTGCTTATGAGCATGCGACAATGCAGAAATGCATCGTCATGTGAGGCAGAACTTGGCCGCCCACGGTGCGCTATAGCCCTCTTTCAAACCCTCACCAGTCAGCGATGAAGTATACGAGCACTTGATGATAATCATAATGGTCTTACAACACACCTCTGCACGAATCTGGCGGAAATGTCTCCTATAAAGCCCTTGCAGCTGTCATTTCCCCTCTGGGCATAACATGTATTCCAGAGAAAGATTGTGTCAGAATCCCGCGCCTCATTCATCGTCAGCTTGGAGGGGCTGATGGGACAAGCGTTGCCGGTGGCTGCTGACTGGACAACACCCGAAGCTTGTCAATGCTAAATGACTTGACCTTATCTCACCTACCTTGCTACTTACCTCGCATCTTGCGGCGACCATTTTCCAGATGCCTTTTGCGGCCTTGGGCGCATCGTCAACAAGACCTGTGGATTGCGGGCAGCCTGGGTGCAAGTCTCCTCCATCGAGTTGTTGATTGATTGAGCCAAGGCGAGCTGAGCTCTGGCAAGAGACATTTTTGTTGTCAACTAATGAGTCGCGGTTTACCGACCAGCCATCCTATTCGACTCTCTGTGCATGTCCATTGTCTCCCACACATGGAGAACTGTCCCTCGTCTGTTTCCGCTTTTCACTTCAATTGGATCAATGCACAATGCTGTCTGTCCAGGCCTGTCTTTGACTCATGTTAGGAGTCCATCGCAAGGCTGACAACATCTATTGCGCCTTGCAAGTCTATCATTTGCACGAGATTGGTTCATTCGTCTTAGCTCATACACTTCGTGTTTAAACTCGAGATAAGTGGGCATTCATCGCATTCACGCCCATTTAGCGAAATGTATGCGCTGTCAGCTCTGCGCAACATGTCACACAATGATCTGTTTCAGCTGGCAATCCCTGTCAAATCGCAGAGCCCCCAGTTAGCCACCCAAAAAGGAGACCCAAAGTTGAATTATTGCTCTCAGCCTTGTGGGTGCCTATTGAAAGATCCTATAGCATGTCGCCAGTTATACCCGCAACCATCTCAAATTAGAAGCAGAATGCTCTACTAGCTGGCCAGCGTTTGTCAATAAGTTACGGGAGGGTATCGAACCAGCTATTCCGTGTGTGAAGCGGCTACACTCGGAATTGTGTCAAATTTCAGACAAGCCGCTATGTTGGACAGAACTCCAGCAAAATATTTTTTCACTTGTCGGCGTCCTCGAGGATATCTCGGTGATTGTGGACGAGATGGAGATTGACATCCTCGAACATCGTCATTCGCTGACTAGACAACGGCAGTCCGGCCCGCTAAAAGGGGCTTCTTGAGTGTCGAGAGGCAGGTGTAAGAACCCTTGGGACTAAGCCTTCTTGCGAGATAGAATCTTATCACTGGTATACACTGGGGAGCACATCTGGATGGGATGAGTGCTTCCACGAACCCGCGACACTTACAGGGGAGGATGGTAGATGAAAAGGAAGGGAAGCTAAAGGAAGTCGTAGACAGACAGAGAAACACAAGGCAGGCTGAGATGTTTCAGGGGTTGGCGAGTCCTAAATGATCCGTTCTCTACAATGGTTGAGCCCAAGCTGAGTCCCCTGGTTATTATACTGATAGCGTTCGTTGATCACCCAGTTATCAATCTGGTCTTGACGGACACCTTTTCTGGATTCTTTATTCTCTCTTTCTCTCTCTCCCTCTCACCTCTCCTCTCTCTTCTGCCTGTACAACCTTTGTATTATTGTTACAGCGTATTGAGCTGCCCGGAAAAAGAGCCAGTGACCTGATCTGACTCGACATTTCCGGAGATGAGAGGTATCCAATTACATACGCGGGTGGAACTTGACTCGGTGTCTCCTGGTGCCTTGGCCGTGTCGCTTCCCCTTTTCATGAATCCTTGCCTATCTGGTATACATACTTGACGGCATGGGCCTGGCCCTTGGAAAGCCTCGTCAGACCATCGGCAAGACCGTCCAGTCCACCCGGGATAACCTCGTGCGGGTGCGGCTTGAACCAACCCTCGTGGAGGCCGAGGGCCATGGATCGAAACATGATGTAGCCAAAGTGCTTGTCGGAGCCGTGCACGGAGCCCACGACGGTCCAGAAAGCCTCGACCCCTTCTGAGACGGCGGGGTCCATCTTTGGCCGCGTCATGCCCTCGATGCTCATCCCGGGCGTGCGCGGGATCTTTGTGCGGTCGTTGAACCCGACCGAGGCCAGCTTCGCGTTCGCGGAGGGGAGCACGGACCCGAGGATCTTGTCGCTGCCGCTGCCACCGATGGCATCGAAAGCATGCAGCAACGGCTTTCCGCCCAGGGCTTTCTTGACCTCGGCCACCACGGCCTCAAGCCCGAGGCGGTAGTCGATGACGGTGTCGCCCTTGGAGCGGTCGATGAGGGTCTCGACGTGGTCCTTGGACTGGCCGGCGACACAGATGATGGGGTGGAGGTTGCTTTTCCGGGCGAGCTGGACGGCGAAGCTGCCCACCGCGGCCCCCGCGCCGTAGACGACCAGGGCGGGCCTTTCAGCCTCGGGCAGCCTCTCGTCCGTGATCCAGGGATACGGGAGCTCCAGGTCCTGGTACAGGCCGAGTGCGGCCGTCATGGCCGCGAGCGGCACCGTGGCGCCCTGCTCGAAGGATATTTCACGCGGGAGATGGAACGTCGTGTGGGCGTAGGCGATGGCGTACTCGGCAAAGGACCCGTGAGGCGTGAACATTTCGTGGAAGGCGGCGACGCGGTCGCCCGGGCGGAACTCGAAGACGCCAGACCCCACCGACTCGACGTAGCCCGCGATGTCGTCGCCAAAGTTTTGGGGTGGCTGGAAGAACGTGCCCTTGAAGTCCTTGGGGTTGGAGCCGCTGACGACCAAGCGTATCAGGACCTGGCCGGCCTGCGGGACGGGGATGGGGGAGTCGACGATCTCGACCCGAGGTCCTGAGAGAGAAGGGGAAATAGTTGGCTCTCTGACGTTTTGTCGCATACGTAGAGTTGGGCCTTACCTGGATAGATAATTGCTTCCTTCATGTTGCCAGCAGCAGCGGCGGCGGCGGCGGCGAGGGTTCCCGATCAAGACTTCTCTCGCTGGTTGACTTGTAAAGGCTTTGTTGTGCCATTCCTAAGTAGATTGCTCCCCAGATGATATTCTCAATAGTTCCACCACCACCGGGGGATCTTCAGCGGTTCTTAAACACCCCGAGGACTACCCACCCAAGACAAGACCCGGGGGCTCCTTGGCCCAGCTCGTCGAAATCGTTTATGGTACTGTGTAAGAGCAAGCAGCAGAATCACACCACAAGGATGGCGGTTCATTGGGTGCTGGGCATAAGAGTTGGTGGTACAAGTACCTAAACATGCTTTACTCACAAGAGTCTGTACTGCTGGGTTTTCGGTGACAAATCCAGGGGTTATGCACAAATGGCACAATCGACGCTGTGCGCAAAGTTTGATCTCCCGGACCAGCGAAATTCCCGAGGTCAAGTCCCTCAATCAAGCCCCAAGATTTTTCTAAGAAATCAAATCGTCGAAGTCGGGGATGTCGGGTTCTGATTTCAAACAAAAGCACTGCTCTGCCGGTCGACTTGAGATGATGTATTAATACCTACCGAGTACCTAGCAAGAATTTGTATCAGGATCCACACATCTTTGCCTCCGGGGCGCTTGTGGGCCGTGCGTGGACAACAGAGGGACACATCCATGGAGGATCGGAACAGAGCGAGAATACACGGTCGACGATAGCCCCGTTCTTCCGCCTCAAGCAATTAGTACATCCAGCTTCTGGACGAGACAAGCCCAGCTGTCAGGCGGTTACCTTCCAAAAGTCGACGAAATACTTTCAATGACGCTGGTGGAGAGCCAATAAGTAGTTGTCCCGTCGCCGCTTCCGGTGGAAGCAATTTGTCAGGTTCCGTCAAGGAGTCGGCATCTGGGTCGCTCTGAGATACTGAGATACTACACCACCTGTGTCTACCACAGGCTTACGGTGAGGTCTTTAAAGGTAGGTCCAGCTCCCGTTTTAGTTGCCTTCGAAGTCCTGGAAGAGGTGTTTGGTAAGATATACCTGCACGTTTTGCACGCAGACAGTTGAACCGATCCACCAACATGCCATCCGCAAAGACTGTTCTGGTGACAGGCGCCAACGGCGTCATCGGCCAAGGCGTATGTCGGGCATTTTCTCAGGCAGGCTGGACGACGTACGGCCTCATTCGGAGTGCACGAAGCGCTCAGGACTTGGTCCGTGAAGAAATCATTCCCATCGTGGGATCTGCTACCAACTACTCGTCGTTTCTTGATTCGCTGCCCCCGATTGATGTCCTCGTGTCTTGTTCTGAAGACATCAAGAACTACAAAGCTCATTTTGACGATGTGCTGGCGATGTTTTTGGGGATCAGCTCCGCCTCTCTTCGCCAGGGTGGCTCGAAGCCGCTGGTCATATTCAGCAGCGGGTGCAAGGACTACGGCACAACTGCACGGCACGGCGACCCAAATCTTGCGCCGCACACCGAGGACAGTCCCCTCAACCCTCCGGCGCTATTGGCGAATCGCACACAGTGCGCGATGAGTATGTTCAGTCACACCGAAGCATTCGATGCCGTGATTACGAGGCCCACCACCATCTTCGGGCGTTGGGGGAGCTGGTATGCTGTATTTTTCATGTTGGCCGAAGCTGCCAAAGCTGCAGGTCACAACAGCTTTACGCTTTATTCAACGCCCAACGCGATTTTGCACGGGGCACACGTCGACGACGTGGGAAGGGCGTACCTCGCGATCGCAGAAGCCCCGCGACAGGTGGTGGCAGGACAGGTCTATAATGTCTCTGCCCACTCTTATGAGACGCTTGCCGATATAGCCACAGCAGTGGAAAAGAGCCACGGCGTAAAAGTCGTCTATGCTGATCCCGGACCAGACGACGACAAGGAATTTGGCGTCAACTCGGTTTTCAATTTTTCCCAGTGGGTCGACTCGACCAAGCTCAGAAGCCACACTGGTTGGCTGGACCGGAAGCCGCTGTTTCACGAGGCGTACGATGTGTACAGAAGGGCGTGTGAACAGGCCAAGGCCGACAAGAGTGATCAGTTTGTGAGGTACAAGGAATACCTCTCTTTGCTGAAGGATCCGAGGTATATTTTCGATCTGGAGGGTTAGATGGGCCGCAGGGACGGAGTCACAAAGGGTTGGATACTTATTCCTGATGGGTGACGACTTATTTGTTCATATCATCCACATAGATTGGTAACAGTCGACCCAGACCAATCCCTGGCCGGCATCTTCAACTCCAACTTTGAATGCACTTTCGAGGAACAACCATCCAGAGACGCGCCAGACACCGTTGTTACTGACAATGTCAAGTGAAGCAGGCCACGTGAGCAGCATTGTCAATCGAGAACCAAAGCAGCAAGTAGCCACATCAGCCATTCATTGCTCTATCAGCATCGGATGCCCAAGGTTTGCCCGTCCGTGAATGTCCTATCGTGGTTAGCGGCCGATCACTTTGGAGGCGCCGCCCCAAAACTTCCCAATGCGGTTATTATGACGACATGCGAGGGTCCTGGCTCTGCACATCGCTGGGATCAACATCAGTGCAACGATAGACACAATCTACACCTGGACCCTTATTCCTCTGTTCGCTGATGCCATATCATATATGCAGACCATGTCCCCCCCACAGCTACAGAGGAGATCATGCTCTCAACAGCGCGCTTCAGTATTTCGCAACCATTACCGCCATCGATGTTGCGGCATCAAACTGTCGCCCTTGATCAGCCCCGCGCTGAAAGCGTCCAGCATGCACCATGGGTGTGCAAGATTTCATCCGCTTCGACCTAGACGAATACCGGGCCAAAGTGCGCAACTATGATGATCAGGAACTACAAAAAAAAGAGGTGGTCTTGATTCGCACCGCATACTCGGGCACGGCGGGGATTGTCAGCGGCGCCGTCCTGGCTCCTTCTACGGGAGGGGCTTCGATGATAGGCTGCGTGGCTGCAGGCAGGACAATACACCTCGTTGAACAGAAACTCGAGGTCGTTCGAGCCGAATTGACCAGACGTGGCTTGCCACTGCACGAGAAGAGGACCCGAGACCATGCAATTCCCGTGACCACCGGCAGCATAGCTGGAGCCATGGGCTTGGGTATGGGCATGGAAGGACACATGCTGGGAACAGCAGCCGCTGCAGGAGCCAATCTTGTTGCGGTCACTACAGAAAAGCTGGATCGTGTCCAGACAGCTCCGAGCCGCCCAAGTCCTCAAGGTGCGAACAGCTTCCAACGCCTCAAGAGATCCCTGACGGAGAATGTCACCTCACGCTCTCGATCCCTCCGACACCCCTTTTCTTCCGAAGACACGGACCTGTTCCACCAATACGACGACTTGATCGCCCACAAGAAATCACTCGAGGAACGCTACCAGAAGCTCCGCGAAGCGACTTTGGCGGCTGCGGGCGCAAAATGGTACTGGTACGTAGTCTACCACTACCACTGTGAATCAGAAAACCTCATAATACCGACCAATCCAGGCTTATGGATCGACTCCCTTCGCCGTAAAGAAAGCCTTGGTCGATGGGACCGCCGCCGGGCTGACGAAGACCTGAAACGGTTCCGACAAGACCTCAATGAGACCAAAAAGCGCTTGGACGAGTGGGACGTCATGGTTGTGAGAGTAAGCATTCGGTGTTGTTTCCCCTGACTTAGAAGATGTCTACTGACTTTTTTCAGTGTCTCCCACCGGGACCAATTGCTGCACCTGACGCCAGAGCAGAGACGCTTGTGGTGATGAATCGCGGTATTACCATGTGTCTACTCCCTCTGGTGTTTTATTGGATACTGAGGCTCTCCTGGTTCGGGCTGGCATACCGACTGCTCGTCATTGTGCTCCTGGCATTTGGTGTCCATGCGCGGATATTGTGGGACTACGAGATGTACCCCTTTCTCCCAATACCAGTCACGAAGATATGACATACATTATTACTTGTACTTTAATTCCCTACCCCACCAGCTCGCAGAATCCCATTGATTGTCAGGGGAAGAGGCAACAAGCTCAAGCCGTGCCCTCCAGGGCATCGACAATGTCCTTGACCACAATCTTCTTCATCTCCATGACCGCCTTCATGGTCCTTTGCATCCTCTCCGCGTTGCCCGAAGTCATGACTTCCTCTACCAGCCTAGGCACGACCTGCCAGTGCACACCAAACCGGTCCTTGATCCAGCCACAGATCTGCTTGGACTCGTCTATTTCCGCCTCGTCGTCCCCGGCCTCGGTCAGTTTGCCCCAGAAGTAGTCCACATCCTCCTGACCCTCGCAGATGATCTGGAAACTGACCGACTCGTTCATCGGGATGTCCTTGGGCTTGGAGTTGAGCGCGAGCCATGTCATGCCGTTGAGGGTGAACTGTTGGCGTCAGAGGTGGGCCTTGTCTGACTCGGATAGTCTCATGGAAGATGGAGGGAGAGGGATAGTCTTACAGCAACACTCATGACGGAACCAATCAGATGCTTCTGGAAGTCATGCCCCGTGTCGGTGAAGTGGTTGATGGTGTCGATGGAGGAGTTGGGAAAGATGGACGTGTAGAACCGCGCAGCCTGTTCGGCCTGGGATTCGAAGAAGAGGCACGGGTACAGCGAGATGGGTGCGATAGACATGTTGTGCGAGTTGTCCTCTCTCGGTCACTAAGGGAGAGTAGTCGTAGTCGTAGAGAAGTGGATGCGTCTCTTCCAGCAGAGAATGAATGCGACAGGATCCTTGATTGTCAATTCGGTGCAATTCACTTTTTTGAGACGGTACACTCACAGTCTCCATTTGACGGCATAGTGCTTCGACGTTCCAATGCTCCTTTATATACCCCAGATATATTGAGATTCAGCATCGTAAGGCATGTCCTCGTGTTAAACCCCAGACTCGATCCTCGCCACCGCCGTTAAAGGGTCTTTGACCCTGCTAGGCGCCCATTCAGGCAGCAGCAGCGCCAAGCCAAGCCTTGACTGGGGGCCCAGACCTTCGAATACTGGCATCCCCAGACAAAAACAAGAACGCCAAATGCCAATTGTCAAAGGTTGTGCCGCACCCCGACACGAATCTCTTCTACAGCGCTACGACAGATCCGAGTACGAGTGTTGGCTGTTCTTGTTCCTCCGTTCTGCCTGGTCTGGGCGCACTTGTTCGTGCCGTGTTGGTGACAGCTGAGCCAGAAGGATACGATCACTCTTGGGTTACCAGCTACGAAGTATCAGGAACAGACTTGGACAATACTGACCAGAGAATGCATTAGGGCCAGGAGAACCCGAAGCGCAACGTATCGCTATCAACTGCATCCCTCACTTCTTCAGCACCGTCACGCTAGATCCGTCTGGCGTGCCCGTCTTCAATTCCACTCCAGCCCTCTTCTCCCACCCCTTGAGCAGCTCCGTGTGGTCGGCGGTCGGCTCCAGCATGGCCATCGACTGCTTGAAGTAGCGAATGATCATCTCGGGCATGTCGGTGTCGAAGTGCAGGTTGTCAAAGACCTCCTTGGCGATGCCCACGTCCTTGATGAGCAGCGCCAGCTGGAAGCCCGAGGCGTAGCGCCGGGGCAGGGCGTCGGTCTTGTAGCTGTCGGTGGTCGAGAAGTTGCGGCCGGTGCCCACGTTCAGCACGTCGATCATCTGCACGGGGTCCAGGCCGAACTTTTGGCCCGTGACCAGCGCGTCCGACAGCGCCACGATCGACGCCGCGCTGATGTAGTTGTTCAACGTCTTCATGACGTGGCCGGACCCGAGCTTGCCCATGTGGAAGACGTACTTGGCCATCGCCTGCAGCACCGGGAGCACTTTCTCCACCGCTTCTTGCGAGTCGGAACCCACCATCAGCGTTGCGTCTCCCGTGTCGGTGTCGTGCAGATGTGCCTGCGTGACGGGGGAGTCGACCAGGATGAAGTCCAATGCCTCGAGGTCTTTGCCTAGGCTCTGGGTGTCGAATGGTGAGGACGATGATGTGTCGACGATTATGGTTCCTAGGGACGTCAATCAAGGTCCAAATGCACAAGAGACGGGAGGAACAAATCATACCAGGCTTCAGGCCTCTTGCAATCCCATCCTCGCCCAGAATTACCTCTCTGACCACCTTCCCCTGTGGCAGCATCGTCACGACCACATCACAGTCTTTGAACCCTTCGACGCCCTTCTCAGCCACAGACGTGTTGGGGTTCTCCTGGGCGAATTTCTGCTCCCGCTCCGGGTCAGCGTCGCGGACAATCAGACGAAAGCCTGCGCGTGGCAAGTTGGACGCCATCGAGGCTCCAGCCTTGCCCAGGCCGATGTACCCGACTGTCTTGACCGACATGTTGACAGATCCCATCTCTTTCCGTCGACGTACGATGTATTTCGCGGAGGGAACAGCCTTGCCAAGGTCGAGGAGATATACTAAGAGAAGGTAAGGTAGACTAGGATAATCCGAGGGTCGTCGAGAGATTCAGGTGTATGCTATGCGTCACTTCGGCGTACCTTGCCCACCACAACTACCGCCTCTCGCAATTAATTCCGTTTCTCGGATAAGGTACGGCAAGGGAGTACGAGTGTGATGTTCGACAAGATTGCCTTTCCCATGCCCAGCTTGCATCACTCACCTCCAGTGTGTTCGGATGAGGGGTGGGAAAGGAGCCAAAGCCCACCTTCTCACTCCCTCGCCCGGGCGTCGCCTGGTTATCGAAAGGCCCCCGAACCCCACAAAGAGGTTGTCACGGGACTGGGGAAAGGGTGTATCCCCAGGATGGGTACTTTCCCTGTGGTTAAAAAGGACCGTCGTGTATCCACGGTTGCACGGGTAGCGAAGATGGACGAGTTGTTAAACTCCCCGGCGCTTGGTACTCGTGGTGGGTTTATCCCGGGGGTTCAAGGCCCCTCGAGGCTCTCGTGGCTCTCTCCCAGTGGGACATTCCACGCCCGGGATACGAATATGCTTTTAACTAACCAGCATCAGAGTTTGGACAGCCGTCCATGGCTGCTTGTCGTTGGCAGAGCGGACGTTCGACTACTTCGTTTTGGGTAGGTGACGGTGGCCACCAGCCAAAAGGGTCCCGGGTCAAAAGACCAATCCCGCCAATTCTTTCGAGGAGATACTCTCCAACGTCAACCAAGGGACAAGAAGTCACTCTTCTAGGCACGGTAATTTTTTGTGGCCAGGCCCAAGTTGTCAGCAACGGGGCCCTTCGACTTTGGATTCCGAGAGCTCAGCCTTTTGCTTTGCCCTGCCCTTGGTTTTTTGTCCCCATAGGATATTTTCCCGTCATGTGCGGGCCCCTTTCAACGGGCTCGATTCGTGCTCTGTGATTTGTGCCACCCGGTGCTGCTGTTTGCGTTATAAGGAATGGGGTTATTCCACCATGGCGATATATTCGCTGGCTTTGATATCACACCATGCCCCCCCCCGGTCGGTGTGTTGTTTGTGAAACCCAAGATTACTTGTACAGTCTTACTTGTTTGGAGACTGCATCCCTTTCCTTCCTTTACACATTACGAGTAAACTAATCCAAGGACGACGAGACAAACAATAACAAACTCTCGGAGCGGATTCACAGCCATGGGCTCCTTGGGAGTCGAGCCTCCTTTGAAAGGTACGTTGCGATAGTTGAAGACCAGAGGCGAAACTCTCCGACCCTCCACTGTATTGAGCGGCAATGGCTCTAACTCGACCACTCTTGGGCAAAATAGTCATCATCGTTGGGGCCGGGCTAGGAGGATGTGCCACAGCTCTGGCCATGCACCACGCGGGCTTTGAGGTGGTCATGTTCGAAAAGGTCAGGGAGTTCCAGCGCCTCGGAGACTCGCTGGGACTTGGCGAGAATGCATTTAAGCTGCTGGACCGGTGGTCGCCGTACCTGCGCGACCGTCTGATCGAGATCGGGAACAAGTCGGAATTCATGCAGATCCGTCGCTGGCATGATGGCAAAGTTCTCGCCCAGCAGCCGCTGATGGACATGGCGGGATACATTGGCCATCGGGGGGACTACCATCGAGGCTTCTTGGAGGCTGTGGCAGAAAAGGGGATACCTCTATACATGGGTAGCGAGGTGAGTGTCCCGGACGCCACATTTCGATCCAGGAGCACGGGTGTCTGATGTGTGGTGATTCAGGTGGTAGAATACGACGACACGACTCCGTCAGTGACGCTGAAGAATGGAGAGCGACATTTCGCGGATGTTATTATTGCCGTTGACGGTACGACCAGATGTTCACCTCTCCCACCGCAGAGTAAACCAAGTGTGCTAATATTGCCTTTCGCCTTCTTCTAGGCATCAAGTCACGGGCACGGGAGCTGGTGCTCGGGTTCGACGACAAGCCCAAGTCGTCCGGGTACGCGTGCTTCCGGGCGTTCTTCAAGGGCGACAAACTGAAAGGCGACCCCCTGACGGCCGAGTTTGTCGAGAACGAGTGCGTCAACATCTGGATCGGCAAGGACATGCACGTGGTGCAGAACACGCTGCGCGGCGGAGACGAGTTCAACTGGATCATCACGCACAAGGACACGGCCGACATCCAGGAGTCGTGGTCGCAGCCGGGTGACATGGACGAGGTGCGCCGGCTGGTGACGACGCTGGACCCGCGCATCGCCGCCGCCATCCGCAAGACCGACGAGTGTCTCGACTGGAAGATCTGCTACCGCGACCCCATCCCGACGTGGGTCAGCAAGAACCACCGCGTCGCCCTGGTCGGGGACTGCTGCCATCCGCATCTACCCACGAGCGCTCAAGGCGCAAGTCAAGCGACCGAGAGCGCGGCCGTGCTGGCACAGTGCCTCCTCCTGGCTGGGAGGGATAATATTCCGTTGGCGGTAAGCTGGGCTTTTTCTTGTTTCCTGCCGCCTTCCCCAATCCCTGACGTGGATTGAACATCCATTATTTGCGTGTCCCACCCCGTGATTTCCCGACCAATGCCTTCTGCGCGTCACGCCTTGTTATACACTACTGACCCTTGTGCCCTGGGCACGCAGACCCGCGTCTACGAAAAGATCCGCTTCCCCCGTGTGCGTCGCGCACAGACCAACGGCGAAGACCTCCGCGACCGATGGCACACGGCGCTGGACCGGATAGGCGACGGCGACGAGATTGACCGCGACTCCATTCTGATAAAGGTGTGTAGTGTACCCTCTGTTTACGCGGTTCATCCGTACTCATCTGGTATTGCTTCCATGCTTGATCCCCATTTCTCACATGTCTCTGACTAGAACAACGTGCTTTACGACTACGACGCCGAAGCGGATACGCGGAAGCGATGGGCCGAGATGGCCGCGCTGGTGGGCGAGGAGCTGCGCACGGGCAACATCTCGCCGCTGTGCTGATTGGCCTGTGAATTCTCGATGGACTTTGTCGGGGGTTGTTATGTTTGGTCCTTTTGTAACGCAAATTCATGCGGTGGTTTGGGGATGAAGCATACCATGAGGCCTTTGACTCGCACATGCTCTTGCAATGACCCCATGGCGTCTGATGTATTTGAGTGGTCAAGCAGGGGTAACAACAAGAAGTAGAGGACGAGGACGACTAGGACTTGTGGTCAGAGAGTAGAGAGCAAGAGAGGAGGTCGAGCAGTCGAGACAGAGTGTCCGACGGACCGACGCTGTCGACAGTCGACTTGTCTGTACCAATCTATATCCAGGCTGTATCTGATCTTGATATTGATCTTGACCTTGCTTTCTTGCTCTTCGCCATTCTGATTCCTGCCAGTGGACGTGTACCCTTTGATGGTTACGGTACTTTGGCGAGTAACTGGACGGATTCATCGACACAGTCTCCTCCCCTGAACACACATTCTCCTGTCAATCCAGCAAATTAGATCCACCGTCATCTTTCCATCTCTCCACCTCTCCAGCTACTTAGCTTGCTCTCTCTCAGAGATCTCTCAGAGATCCATCTACCCATCTACCCATCTACCCTTCTGCCTACAGCATCTACCCATTCATCCACCTTCTCTGGATCTGGATCCTGTCCCGTGTCGGCCCTACAACTTTGGCACGACCCCGTCGGCCAACAAATCCCTGCGATCGCCATCCAGAATCTCCCACCCTTTCCCTCTGAAGCGTCGACCCCAAATGCCATTGCGCCCTGGAGCCAGGACACCGTTCGGGTCGAGGGCGTCCTTGATGGTCTCGTTGAGGCGACGCAGCGCGCCGCCCCCCCAGCTGTACGTCTCGGCGACCTGGTCCGCGAAGAGGAGGTGGGTGCGGTACTCGCCGTAACCCTCGCGGGCGGCGGCGCGGATCATGTCGCGCATGAGGGCGGTGGCGCGGGTCTTTGCGTCGCGGTCCGCGCGGTCGTAGACGATGTTGGCGATGTAGTGCATCTCGCGGCCGGCGACGCACATGGTGGGGAAGACGTCGAAGCCCCAGCGGGCGTGGAGCGCCGTGATGGTGCGGTGCAGCAGGGCCGCGTCCTTGCCCCGGGTCGGCGAGATGGGCGAGAAGAACAGGTGAGCCGCGTTGGGCACCCAGTTGAGCCAGTCGAGTTCCTTGAGCACGGGGACGCCGCTGCACACCTGCACCCGCGAGTGGAGGTAGTGGTCCCCCGGGAGGGAGGAGGGGAGGAGAAACTTGCTGCCGGGGATCTGCCCGAACGCGGCTTTGATGGTGTCCAGCTGCGCGGCCACCGACGCCGCCTCGTCGCCGTACTGCGTCCCGTAAAACACCCACGAGCAGTCCCCGCAGGGCAGCTTCGCGGCGTGTTGGCGAATCACCTCGCGAGGCATGGGTCCTTTCTCCCCGGCACCGTACCAATACGACCGGGGCTTGCCCGTGACGGCCAACTCCTGAATAACGTGCCTCAGCTGGGGGATGTTGCCCAGCACGCGCCGCTGGGCGAGGGGCCGGATGATCTCGACGATGCGCTCCAGGTCGTCCTCGCGCGGGAACGTGATCATGTACGACTGGTGGTGGCGCACCGCGGGCATCAGCCAGAAGCCCATCTTGGTCACGATCCCGTAGTTGCTCTGGCTGAAGATGCCGTCGACATAAGGGCCGTAGGCCGCCTGGAACGACTGCCACGTCGGGTTGTCGGCGCCGTCGCGGCCGGGCATCGCCCCCATGCCCGTCCGCAGGAGCTCGCCCGTCGGCAGCACCAGTTCCATGCCGCAGTGGTTGGCGAAGTGGTCGCCGTAGGGGGTGTATCTGGCAGGTAGAGGTTAGTACTGTCTTGATCGAAGTCTTCCTCGTCAGGAGGGAGGGAGTGAGTGAGTGAGTGAGGGAAAGTACCCAACACCCCGATCGATCGCATTCCCCAGGACACTCCCACCCCCGAGATCCGGACAATCGATCCAGAGCGGCAACCCCCGGCGCTGCACCTCCTCGTACAGGGCGAAATACGACACGCCCGGCTCGACCACACACGAGGCATTGTCCCCATCCACGTTGAGGATGCGGTTCATGCGCCGGCCGAGATCGACGACGACGGACCCCGGAACCCGGGGCGCCGCGCCGCCGTACCCGACGTTGCGGCCCATGGAGATCGGGTAGATGGGGATTTTGTGGGTGTTGGCCCAGCGCACCACGCTCTGCACCTGCGCCGTGTCGCCCGGGTACACGACGGCGCTGCAGACGAGTTCGTCCTGCTCGGCGATGTGGTATGCGTCGTGGGTGTTGCTGCCCTACTCAGTTTCCATACCCATACACACGATAATAGAAGAAAAAAAGGGAGAAGAGAGAATGGACAAAACGTACGGATGCTCCATGTACCACCCGTCGACCAACGGGCCGTCGTTGACCTGGACATTCTCGTCGCCCAGCTGGCCCTTCAACTCGGCCACAGCTGCGTCAAAGGTCTCCCTGCTCACGTCCGGCGGGAGCACCACTGCCCTCCTCCGAGCCACGCTGTCTGGGAGCGTCTTTTGCGAATACAGCCTCGCCTTCGCGTCAATGGCTTCCTGGGCCAGTCTTCTGGGGACACCGCTGTATCGCGTTGTGAGGTCTGGGATGGAGCCGCCACCCGCAGAGGACGAGGCTGAGTCGGCCATTTCCTGTGATTTGTTCCTCTGAGAAGCGACGATCCTTCAGGTAACAAGGGGGGGCAGACGGGGTCAAAAAGGACGCTGGACTCGTTGGTGGTCACAGCTAAAGGGCAAAAGGTCCATGTTTAGAACTACTTAAACGGGCAACTGCATTTGCCCCACGATAATAATATTATATATCAAAGGGTTGGAAGCATCTCTACGAAACTGCCAGGCCAAAGCTGCAGCTCCGCAAGCCCCTCATTTCCCCAATCTAGTTGGTGGATGCTGGTGGTCGCCGGTGGTGGTGGTCCCTATCCGAGGGTGTGGATAGAAGGATGGATGGGTATTTTCCCCATGGGCTGGACGGTCCTCAGAAAACTCTCCCACACAAAACAATGCTGATGCCGGCTGTCGAGCACTCCTTGGCCGCGCCAGGATTCCGAGGGTAATTGCGCGAATGCGAACTGCCGTGGTGTCGTACCCAGCCTCGTGCCGGAACCCGATACGCCGCTTCAGGCTGGCTTTCCTGACCGTGGAGATCTTTCTCTGTTCCAGGGGTCTTATTCCCACGTCTACTCTGCCACTAGTCGAGCCACCTAGGGTCACATGAAGAGGTACATTCGCAGCACAATAAACACGTCCAAGCCCGGTGCCCAGACATTGTCCATAGGGTAATCCCCTCGGCTCTCGCAGCATTCGAGAGGTTGTGTTTTGGCGCTTTGGCGGAGCACATGGCACAGGGTAGAGAAACACAGTCACGGCGCCCAGGTCAACTGAACCAAGCTCTTGTGTTGGACGTTGATCACCCTCTAGGTCGTTGACCGCGCTTGTCGCAACGTTTCTGACGTTTCTCACGACACCTTCGACCGGACTTCGAGGAACTGCATCAATCACAGAAGTTCGGCGAGACTGAGGTTGGCTGGTAGTTTCCAAGATGTCCCCGAGACCAAGGCACTCTCCGACGCTCACTGTGAAGACCATCCCAATGTTTTCCGAAGCGTTACCTCGTCTAGCCGGAGCATCGAGTTCGTAATAGACCGTCGTACTTTAGGGTCAAATAATAAGTAGCAGACCACACGCGTCGTACATCCTCGTCCTCGAGCATACAGCAGCTGCATCGTCAAGTCGTCTTTCACCTCTGTAGAATCTTCCTCAAGTGTGCACCTTGGCTGTCGCAGTCTGCCTCAAGAGGCATAAAATCCAAGGGAGGACTCACACCCCTTGCTGCCCTTCCGTTCATGCTCGACTCGCTCATCCCATCGTCACTGGCTCCTCCCTCTCTGTGGGCAAACCCGCCCGAGGAGTTTGTAGGTGCCCCGTTTATGCTACTGGAGGTGCTGCTGGCGCTTTTCTTGTGTTCGAATCTCAACACAATCATCTTGACAAGCGTCCAATAACTATCGGCTGAAGTTTCAAACCCCATTTCGCTGACGTTGGCGCGAGTCAGCTTGGCACGGACATCATCCCACAGGGTCTTCCAGTTGGCCAGGGCAATCTTCATCGGTTCGTATACAACATGCGGTTCCGCAGCCAGCGAAGTGGCCGATATTCGATTGAGCGGGTTTCCGAAGAGATGCTGCCAACAGTGGGTGTACAACACTTGAGACTCGATTAGCCACGTCCAACGAAACTCCTCTGCAGCAAGGATTCGTGCAAGTCCATACCGTGGGTTAGGTAAAGCATATCCCAACAACACAAGTTCTCGTTCTGATATGCCGCCTTGAGCTCGCTAGGATGGACGAACAGTTTCTGGAAAGCTTCGATCAACTTCATCCGCGGACGAGGAAATGAACCCTGTTGCAACATCTCCGCATAGCCTGACAACTCAAAATATTCGGGATGACACGGCAGCTGGAGGTCGACTTCGCAGTAATTGATGCGCGGGGGAACATTGTTAAAAATGCCCATGGCCGAATCGAGGGCGAGAATCACATTCATCGTCCTAGAAGCGAGCGGTCAGAAACGAGAGCCGTCACTAGACAAAAATACAACACAGAAACATACCGAATGCGTGCCTCAATCCGCACCCAGCGCTGAAAAGCAATGTCATCCGGTATTGCAACAACGTTCGAATGCTGCGCTGATGGCAAGCCGAAATATCGAGCGAGCTGGAGTCAAGTTAGCCCTGAACAAGTGCATGGGTAAAGTTGACTGACACTCAGCATTGAAGGGAACCTCTGCCTCCTGGCTCTTCTACGACCGGCGAGATTGCCTGAGAAGTACTGGACAATGACCACAAGATAGGCCCCTTGAAATAATTGAAAGTGATATTCCACGGCATCCTCGTCTGGTGCTTCCAAAACCCCTAGCGTGCCAAAGAACTCGTCCCTTACCTCTGGCAGCGAGAAGATGTATGACTCGATAAGGTCCAGAAGACCCTTCATCCAAGCGACTTTCGTCGGGTCTGAATACATGGCCCCGAGAGCGACACAGCCCAGCACAAGGGGTATAGGGGCAATCGTTGGCTGAAACGACGGGCGATGAATGATCGGACAGTGCCGGTAGTAGTTGTTGAAGAATAGATTGAGGCAGTGGTCTATTTCGACGTGGGTGAGGAGTCCGATGTTTGTCTCCAAGTGCGCGAGCTGAGGACTGTCCGGATACTCGATTGCAAACTTGGTGGCTGCGCTCATCAACAACTGTCTAATCTCATAGGCGCGAGGCTCCAGCGTCAGGGCAGCAGCCGACACAATACCCGACCCACTAGTAATGTGTTGTATATCGGCGTTCAGGGGATACGAGCCAAACGTCAGGCTCTCGAAGCCTCCGAAGAAAGAGTCAAAATTTACGCCGTCCAAATCGGCCAGACTTGCACCGGCAAAGACGTCGTGGGATTCATAGTCCTCGCTCCAATGCGAAGCTTCGGACGAGTCCTCTGCATCGTTGACCGTCACATCGTCCTCGTCACCTTCACCGCCTGGAGGTGTGTCTCGAATCGGGAACCGGGGAGCCAGATCATCCCCATCAGGGGCATTCAACAAATGATGGATGGGTATTGCATCCCGACTCTTCGGCCTGGCAGCCTCTTCTCTTCGTGAGCTGGATAACGCTGCACACAAGTTAGCAGTGTCCAACTTGGTGGCAGCCGTGACCACGTACATCGGATGCATTCCTTCCCAAGTTCCTGGCAGCGAGTGCAGGGGGTTTCTTGATCACATTTCGTCCTCAGTTTCACGCAAGAAAGGCATGAAGACCTCTTCCGTCCCTTGGATTGCCCCTCAGGTACCGGCGCGGAGCCGCGCTCCTTGCATCGAAATTGATGAGCTCGAAGAACATCACTAAGACAAACATTAAGAACCACCTCTTGGCTTTTGATTGGCGACATGGGTATTACCTTCGCTTAAAGCACTTGGAACAGAAGTTACAGGTAAAAGGCCTCTGTGCGACATCTGCACAAACAAAGTCAGCACACGCAAAGCAGACGAAGGTGGGTTTTGTAGAGCCACAGACGTTGCTGCTGATGGCGGAGCATGTGCGCCTTTCGCACAAAAGACTTGGAACACGACGGGCATTGAAACCGGTCCTGCCATTGACGGGATTGATCCATCACTGAGACTGTCATCGGTAAGTGGGATTAGAACTGTCACCACGGATTGGGGCGTGCAACGGGGCCAATAGGCTGGCGGATTGCTGGGCGAAGATCGGTCGATATTCTCAATGCCAGACTTCGGCAACATAAATATTACACCTTCCGCAGCGCGTTCTGAAGTCGTCACAGCATGGTGATCACTTGTGGTCGCAGGGTGTGGTTCTCTAGAGGTATCGTATCGTAGGAGATCTACCGATGACCTCAGTGGACAAGAATAGAGCGAGATGGGACGAGATTGACAAGATGGATGTACTTGTCGGTTGTCGGATCCTGTGGACTCGGATGACCTGGTCAGGCGGACTTTTGCGTTGTAGGGATCCGGTGAGAATGGCACAGTGATACAGGAGGTGGTGGTGGCATGCAGGCGGGCTTTTGATATAGTCGTCCAGGAGAAGTGACAACCAGCAGCCGAGGAGCTGGAGGGGGCAAGCAGCTGAGGAAGAGGACGATAGTGATGATGACGATAATGGGTAGGGAACTCAACCTTGTGTCTGGGACGGGGTTTGATGGGTGGATCTGGCAGGTTAGTGAAGTAATAATCCATGGGGCGGGGAAGCGAAGAGAGAAGGATGAGGGAGAAGTCATGCGAGCGCAGTCTGGGTCGTCCATACAAAATGCACCGTCCTTGGTTTTGGCTTTTGCCTAAAGTTGCTCCCAGTACAAGTAGCTCGGTACAGACAGCCAGAGAAGGATCACAGGTGCCCGTCGGTTCCCCAGGAACCCCCATTGTCCTGTGCCCAGTGTCTCTGAACATGTTTCTGCCACATGGTTCTAGGCTTCTTCCAGGTAAACCCGGGGCTAAGGGTCGCCTAATTGCTACACTTGCGCATGCCCAGCGCGTGGTTGCCGGGTTCGTCACCTTTACCCCATCCGCCTTGGCCAGCCGGCACGCATTCTCTCTTCTGATTGTATCCACCTAAATATCCGGGGAAAATAAGGACCGTCGAACACATGTGCTGTACATACGAGCACCTCGTACTGCTCATCCATGAACCACGATACTCTCATACTTGAAAATTCTTCAAGAACAACGCGGAGACTCCTCGCATACAAAGCCTCCGTGGGTGCCACCGTCGCCGCCACTCGACAATACCGTCCCTCCGCCCTTCACCTCGTTCCCTGCGGTCCGTGGGATGAGAACTGCGTTCGAGATGCATTGTCTCCCTCTGCACGGGTCGGATGTTGTGGTGTCCCTCACCGCCATTGCGCCAAAGCTCAACCGCAATTTAGAGGATTCACAACTTGACGGAACCAATAACTTCCTTGTCCAGCCTCTGCGTGTTGACCATCTCCGGGACAATCTCAGTGATCCTAGTGGCTCCAGAGAGGGCCATGTTGCCTTGGAGTTCTTCGCGCAGGATCTGGACCATCCTTCTGAACCCAGCTTCTCCATAACCACCGGTGAGGCTGAACAAGAAAGGTCGCCCCAGCCCGACTGCACGCACCCCCAAAGCAAGGGCCTTTAGGATATCGGTACCGCGCCGAATCTCCCCATCCAAGAAGACCTCCATTGGGCCATTGAGCAGATGTGGCGCATATCGTCGGATCTCTAGCAGAGTGATCATCGGCGCTTGTGCCCTGGATGCAACAATTAGGTTTCGTTCAAAGTGCGGAGACGAGACATGACTGACGTATCTTGGGATCGGCCTCCGTGGTTGGACAAAACAATTCCTTCCACCCCGTTGTCGTACGCGAGTATGGCATCTTCGACACTCTGGATTCCCTTGAGAACAAGGGGCAGTTGGGTCACTCGACGGATCCATGCAATATCACCCCAGGTCAACGTCGGGTTTAGCAGGCCACTGGAAGCCGCTTTAGCCACGCCGGGCTTCTGTTCCTCGAGTGTGACATATTCGTCCTCGTCGCTGATCTGAAATCATGTTAGAAGTGCTAGGCACGTTCTTTCACGCGACGGCGGAGTGGTCTACCTACTTGAGCCTTTAATCGATCGTCACGTTCCCGCTTTCCAAGAACCGGCGAGTCCACCGTCAGCCAGATGGCACTTACGCCCAGTTTCTCGACACGACGGATCATCGCTTCGGTCTTCTGGTGATCTCGATTGAAATAGAGCTGGAAAAATACAGGCTGACTCTGACTGATCCGTGCGCGGATGATGGCCTCGATTGACATGCTGGGGCTCGTGGGTATTACCTGGATCAGACCTTCTTTCCCAGCTCCGGCAGCTAATGCGCATTCCGCGTCCGGATGTGCGTACCTCGCCAGCCCTGAAGGGGAAACATAGACGGGCAAGCTGGTATTGTGGCCAAGAATGGTGGTTCTGGTGTCGACATGATCCACGTTGCGAAGGACACGAGGACGCAGTGTCAGCTTGCGGAATGAACGAGCGGCTTCGTATCTACTACGTTCATCGTCTGCTCCCGATGAATAGTAGGCCCATCCGGCAGGACTGAGAAATTGCTTTGCCACTGCCTCGAAGTCATTGACGCTGATCATTGACCTTAGGGGTGGGGACCGCTTTTGCTTCTGCGGTGGTCTTGGTTGTGATGTCGACTCTGTCTTTGGCATCGTGTCCGGATCGATGAGCCCCCGAAATGCAGACGAGGGAAGGGTCTCTTCCAGCAACTCCGGACTGTGCACACTCTCGTACTCGGCCGTGGCATCCTGACCCGCAGTCTTTAAGAGAATCTGTGGCCCGCCTGGATGTTCGTCGAGAAAGTCTGCAGCAAGGTGTGTTGATCTAGTGGCCCAAGACTGGCTCCGATGCACGCACCTGTGATGTCGTAGACTTTGCCGTACAGAACAATCCAGCACGACTGGCGGTCATTGTGCCTGGCGACTTGGGAACTCTTTAGCTTCTTCATCCTCGCCTTGGAGGTTTCTGGGGATCGTTTATCGCGCGAGTTGACGTGGCATGCGCTTGTCAACTTGTCAAAGGACTTGTCAGTACCAAAGTTGGTCTTCGCCCCTTTGGGAGGCGAGACAAGTCGAGTGTCATTACGAGGTACACGGGAGTCAGGCATTGAACCGATGCTGTACCTTTGTACCGAGGGAAGCAGGGGAACCCACTCGAGGAGCATTGGTGTCGATCCCCCCGCGTCGCCATGTGAATTACCCCAAGACCGAAGCTTGCTTCACTTGGAGAGGACCTATAAACGAGAATCATCTGTTCCTTGAAGAGATGACCTCCATTTGGCTTGCTGCCTTATCTTAACGAGCCATGATAGGCCGAGACGAGGTGCTTAGGTGTAAGCCATTGTAAGGTTAGAGTTGATGATGACACTCCTCGTGTCAGACAAAGAATGTTATTTTTGTATGTCACCGAGGATGCCCCATGCCAGGCATGGCAGGTGGGTGCCAGGCTTGCCAGGTAATGTACGGAGAATAACCTTGTATAGCAAAAGTGTGGAGCAGCACCGCCTGTAGTGCCTGTACTTGGTAGGTACCTCGTACATAGTGGCAATAACGAACCCCCACGCCGACGACCCCTGTTCTGCCCTGTCACCCCGTCTGACAACACCGACAGCACATACGCGCAATACCTAACCATGTTTTGAAAAAACTCGCCTCGCGAACAGAGAGAAACAAAAAAGCGATAAGCCCCCGTATTCAGGACTAGTTTGTCTTCTGAAGGGCGTCAGTCTCGGCATCCCTGAGCCCAAGCCGCATTGGGCCAGTTTCACAACAATTCCGTCGGTTACTATCGAGAAGAGGCGGGTGTGTATGTTATGTATACATAGCTATCTACGGGGAGGAAAATTTCCTCCCTCACTCGAGCTCCGACCTGACTGATCACGAGAGCAGAGAGCAGAGAGTGTTAAGGTCGACGACGACGACGACGACGACAACAACAACAACAACAACAACAACAACAACAACAACAACAACAACCCGCGTCGCATATAAGAGTCCGTGCCTAGTGCCAATACCTTCGACAATGGCACAGGCTCTCAATGTCATGCTCTATGGGCTGGGCGCGTACGTCTTTGGTCGCTAGAGACACACTTCTTGAGAGACTTGACTGACCGGGGGCAGGATCGGCTCATTCTACGCCTTTGTCTTGAGCCGCAGCCAGCGTGTCCGGCTGACCGTGGTGGCTCGTTCCAACTACGAGGCTGTCAAGCAACATGTACGTGCGACCTCTGCATAGCTATTTCGACCAGAATTCGAAACGAACAAAGAAGTTAAAAGACTCACGGGATGACCGCTGACTGTTGACGACGATGTCCTACAGGGTCTACACATCAAAAGCGCGAATCACGGCGACCACATCGTCCATCCGGCCAAAGGTGAGCAGAATCCTCGACTCACCCGTGCTCCGGACGAGGAGAATGAATGTATGGCACGCGCTGACGACGGAGTTGCAATTGTCGGATTCAGTGGTTCGCACACCAGCCGAAGCAGGAGAAACGTACGACTACGTCGTGTGCGCGCACAAGGCCATCAACCAGGCATCAGCCACCAAGCAACTGGCGCCCGCGGTCGACGGGAGCAAGACGTGCGTGGTCATCATCCAGAACGGGGTCGGGAACGAAGACCCTTTCCGGGAAGCGTTTCCCAAGAGCCCGATCTTGAGCTGCGTGGTACGTGATTCTTCCTATCAAAAACCCCCCTTCCCCCCTTCCTGTCCGCCCCTCCCGTGTCTATCCGCCCACGTACATTCTTCAACTGATGGGATGAGTTACCAAAGACGTGGGTCGGGGCCAGCCAAAACACGCCCGGGACCGTCCACCACTGGAAATCGGAAAACACGCAGATCGGCATCTTCCGCAACCCGGACCTGGAGCCGGCGGTCGAACGGGCGCGGCTGGACGAATTCACGTCGCTGCTGCGCGAGGGCCACACGCCCTTCTCGGTCGAGGACAACGTGCAGATCCAGCGGTGGGAGAAGGTGGTGTGGAACGTGGCGTGGAACTCGCTGACGACGCTGACCATGCTGGACACGCACGCGTGGCTGAGGTCGTCGCCCGACGCCATGCCCCTGACGCGCAACCTGATGCGCGAGGTCATCGACGTGGCCCGCCGCTGCGACGTGCCGCTCCGCGACGAGCTGGTCGACGAGCTCATCGCAAAGATCCAGGAGATGCAGCCCATCGGCAGCAGCATGCAGACCGACGCCAAGATGGGCCGTCCCATGGAGGTCGATGTCATCCTGGGCACGCCCGTGCGCAAGGGCCGGGAGCTGGGCGTGTCCATCCCGACCCTCGAGGTGCTGTATACCTTGCTGCTGGCGGTGGATTCGCGGATGAAGCCCAGTCCGTCATAAAGTCTGTGGAACGAGAGATGGGGATTTAGTTTTCGTCTTGTCCTCTCGTCATGTCATGTCCCCAGCAGCGACGGATGAATGTACGTACGTAGTAAGTAACCTTGAAGCGAGAAGCGAAAAGCGAAAAGCGCAAATGATCACATTGCTATGGGACAAGGACTCGCTAACTCGCCGCAACATCTACCTACCTGCTTGTCCTTTTTCATACGGTCCGCCCGTCAGCTTTCTCCACAAGCCAAATCTCACGAGTAAATCAGCCTTTGTCATGTCATACCCTCCCTCTGTCAATCATTCCAATTAGGCCCCCCTTTGATTCCTCTGACACGACACCACCCTTGAGGACATACTGTAGGTAGTGTCCTGCCTACCTACCTCCCCATCCACCCCCCATCCACAACCAGCACGTGCCCCGATACATACGCACTCGCCGGACTGGCCAACCAGACGACCGCGCCCTTGAAATCGTCCGGCGTCCCCCACCGACCCATGGGGATGCGCTCGAGGATCTGTCTGGCGCGGGTCTCATCGTTGATGAGCGCCTCGTTCATGTCCGTGTGGACGTACCCCGGCGCGATGGCGTTGACGTTGACCCCGCGGCCGGCCCACTCGTTGCTGAGGGCCTTTGTGAGCTGGGCGATGCCGCCCTTTGCGGCCGCGTAGGCCGGGACGGTCAGCCCGCCGGAGAAGCTGACCAGGCTGGCGATGTTGACGATGGAACCCCTTCTCCCACCACCCGTCGGGAGAGGTCGCGTGAGCATGTACGCCCCGAAGTCGCGGCACAGGGTGAAGACACTCCGCAGGTTCACCTGCAGCACCTCGTCCCAGTCCGCGAGGGGGAATTGGTGCGCGGGATGTCGCCGCTGGATCCCCGCGCACGTCACCAGGATGGAGACGTCGTGGCCGCCTTCCTTGAGGATTTTGAGTGCGAGGCTAGAAACCTCGGACTGTGAGGCCAGGTCGGCCGTGTAGATGGAGGCTTTGCGGCCGAGGGCTTCGATGGCGGTCTTTGTCGTCGTATTGGTGTCGTCTCTCTAGGTCATTTTGAAGGAGGTCAGGAAGAGAGTAGTAGACAAGACAGATAGGTGGTAGATGGTAGATAGATGATTCAGTGGACCACAACACCCCTCCGTGTCTTAGTGTCTCGGATCAGAGTCTCTTCCATACCTGGACCAAGACGATATCAGCCCCAGCCTCTGCCAGGGCCACAGCCATTGCGGCTCCGATGCCTCTTGTCGCGCCTGATGTATGCCCAGAGTCAGCATGTCGATCGATGAGCTAGGTCGGGTATGTAGGGGGTCTTTTCTCAGAGTCCGTATCTACCTGAACCTGACGTGACGTACCTGTGACGGCGGCGGTCCTATTCTCGAGCGAGAACATGGCCGGGAAAGTGAGGGCCATGGCGATTAACCTCCCCCCTTTCGTTCAGCCTTGTGGGTTTGAATATTCGCGGCGGGGGTTTCTCTCTCAGTCTCTCTCTCTCTCTCGTGCGTGTCTGTGTCGTGTCTGTGTTATGACACCTTCACAGTACCAACCGAGTATGGTATGTCATTAGTGGCTCTCTTCCCTCTATCTATCTAATCCCTCTAGGTATGGACGGCGACAAGTTCCAAAAACGTGGTGTGTTTCGCACTCCTTCCTCCCTCACTCATTCGTCTGCTGTTCGCCAGTACTACCGTACCACCCTTCCTTCTCCTCCAACCCCCCCTCCTCCTTCTCCAGAGATCGACAAACCCCCGCGGGGGTAAGCCGACGCCACTGAGAACACACTTACAAGGTCCCACGTACTTACCCGGTATGTATGTACTCCTGCGTCGTACGTATCTTACCCCATGGCCTGTGCTCGTGCCCGTACCACCCAAGGTGCGGAGTTGGATCGTCCTCCCTTCCTGTTCCGAGTAATCAATCAATACGGTACCGACCTAAATACCGTCCTGTCCATTCACCTGTATTCTTACCATTTACCACTTATGAGAGAGAGAGAGAGAGAGAGAGAGAGAGAGAGACAGAGATATAGCCCCCTAAACTGAACTTTGATCCTTTACTGTCTTCTCACGATAAATTCCTTACGTTGCCGTCCTGCCTCTTCCGCCCAGATCGTGTATGGTTGTCTATACGATCCCCGGTGCGCCTTTCGACCACTCTTCGCCCAGATCTTCTTGTCTTTGCCCCTCGTTGTACCTCACCTGTTGCCAACTTATCAGCGTCCCTAACTGACCGTGGGGGCGTCGAGTCCTGGATTACTGCCTGTTCCAGGACTGCACCGGGGCGGAGGAGTTCACCTTCGATCTCTGTAGATTTCTCCTTTTCACGTTGCGGCAGTTTTTCAATCATCAACCTTGTCTTTTCTGTTCCCAACTTGTTAGCGTCCAACAACTGGCGCCGCGGCTAGGCGGGCATAGTCCACAATGCCCAACAACATCGTAGCAGCTTCAGGAAAACTCACCTTCATTCTCTTCAGCCTTGGGTCCCTTGGGTCGTAGTCGATCTGCCTTGTCACGCTCTGTTTCGCTGGTTTCGTCCATAGGCCCGGAAAAGGGACTTGGGAAGAAAAGCTGACGTGGTTGCTTGTCGTTGTCGTTGTCGCCCTCTTGGAGTCGTGGTCGTTCTTCACCGCCCTTTACCAGGCCGATCTCACCCAGAGCCCTGCGAAGGTTGTCATCATCGTCGTAGTAGACGCCTAGGAATTGCGACAGACCCAGAGGCCGAATGCCAGTCCTCTTCCGAACGGGAACGCTACGGAAATCTGTTGTCATCTGAGGTCGTCGGAAGTCGTCCCATGTCACCACTTTATTCTCGCGAGGCGGCTCGGATAGAGGTTCGACACCCGTTTGCATGTGTGCATCTTTCATCTGTCGTTGATCATGCTCCATTACTTGGAAGGTACGTATATTCTCCGGCTCGAGCTTGCGGGCCTCCCTCGATTTCGCCATTTCGGGATCCTGCTCCTCCTGCATCGACTCTTCCGGCGCAACAGGCCCCTTATCATACGCTACCTGGTCAAACGGCGGCGGCTGCTGAAGCTTTGATTGCGTGTTGTCGTTCCGCCATTTTGGAGACCGAGATGACTGGTCCTGGGTGCTGTTGACTGGCTGGCCTGAAGACTTGGCAGCCACAAGAGCCAACGCAAGGCTGCTGGCCTGTAAGATCGCCGCATCTAAGTCGCTTGGGGTTTGATCTTCCGAATTCATGGGTGGAGGAGGAAAAAGACTTTCGAGGGTTCGGGCAGAGTTTTCCACCGGGGCTTCTGGTGCTGGCAATTCTTGCAGAGCTGGTCTGATAGTGTCGACGATGGCTGCTTCATTCAATGCACCCACTTGTAACTGGGCGGCAACACGTTCTGGCAACGCCGCTAGGGCCTGGACAATCTGGTCCAGACCAACGGCAGTTTCCTTGACATTCCGGCGAATACTGCTTGTATCATCCTTGATGGCCGTGGTGAGAGATCTGGAGTCTGTAAGCGGATGGCAACACTCAATAAAAGAGAAACCTGTAAAAAAGGCCCTCTCACAAAGTCAACAGGGCCAGAGCTATCTCCAGCGCGGCCTTGTGAGACTCCAACCGGCTTCTGAGCTTGTTCATGTCGCTTTGCCCGTAGATGGCCCATTTCATCTGATTGCCGAACCTGTCCGAGGACAAGTTGTCCAACATCTCGCGCATCTCCTTGACGACTTCGGCCGTGTTGACCAGGACGAGAAGAACCCGGTTCTCGAGGGGTTGAGGTACGCGCTTGGAGGTGACCATGGCGTCGTTCCGGAGCGTTTCCAAACAAAGGCCCAGGGACGACAGTTCCTTCAGGACAGCGTCGAGATCTCGATGGGCATCTCGCACTCTGGACACAAACGAGTAGATCTCCACAGAGGCCTTTCCGACGTTCGAGATCAGGCTGGAGCATGCCACGGTGAGAGTTAGCGGTTCAATCGGCATTTTTGTTCGGAGTGCCTCGAACAAGGCCAGTGGCAGACTCGTCGAGGGACGTCAGGCCTGGCCTTGTTCTCATTCCCGTCGATGGTGTCGACATGATTAAAAACATCTCAACGATGATGACCGCAGCGATGAGGCTGGCGGTTAAAGAGGACGACACGGTAGCAGGGCATGCAGGACGAATGAGGAATGGTGGAAGGCTAGGGCCGCAGGGTCAGCCTCTTTCCCTGCTGCCCCTCACCGCCCCCTATTTTGTGGCGCAGACATTTTCAATAGAGAGCAAGAAGGAGGGAGCGTCGTGTGCTCAAATTCTCTGCCTTTTTCGCGTTAAGTTCTACTATAATTCCGTCTTCCTGATCGCACTCCTCCAACTCGCATGAGCTGTCGGATCCCTCGCGATGCTCTCCCACTCCCTGACCTTGTCCATGCCTTCCCCGTCAAACCCGTACTTGAACCACGCCGCCTCGACCGCCAACCTGGCATACTTCTTGGCCCCTCTCGCGCTGCCGACGCGACTATACGCCAGTGCGGCGTGACCGTACGCGTCGTCCAGAAACCCTTCCAGTCCCTCGGCTTTGTAGAGGTCGACGAGCGTTTCGGCTTCCCGGACGCCGGCGGTCGGGTCGGGTCGGGAGAGCTGCCACTGCAGGTTGACGATGTCTTGGGTGGCCTTGTCCGAGTCTCGTACCGTGCGGGGGCTGTTGTGGGAATCCGGTGAGCAGCGTCGACAGGAACACGTGAAGTGGAAGACAGACTTGAAGAATTGCTGCCGGTCGGCGTGGAGGCGGAGAGGCGGCGCGTACGAGATTGTGATTTCCTCGTCCCTTTGGATGGGGCGCACGGCATGGACGTAGTGTGTCAACAGGTCGGTCGAGAGGAAGTATTGCGCGCTATCAAAGCGTCAGTCAGCTATATACTCGTAGGTCAAAATAATGGGAAAGGATAGAATATCCAACAAGCATACTTGGGCGCACAGGCATGGTTGTATCTCGCGGCCTCTGGAAACACGGCCGGATGCAACAACCCCCCAATCTTCATGTCGAATCCATTCGCCTTCAACACATCCTGAGCCACGACCTCCGGCTCATCGTAAATCTTGGCCAGGTCGAGATAGGCATCTCGACTTGCCGCGGGGAGTTGATCGATAGCCAGCTTCAGCAATCTCTCCCGGTCCTCCGAGAAAACGAGGTCGCCGATATGCGCGACAAGGGCGGGCGTATACGCCGTGATCAGATCGCCACGTTTGAGCGGCCGCGACGCCAACATGCCGATTCCCTTGCCGGGGATGGACGACGTGTACCAGGGCCGATCTTCCTCGTCTGTCTCGGGGTTGATGCCCTTGGAGGACAGTGCCGCGGCATCTTGGAACGGTGGCAGAGACGCAAACTCGTGCGCGATTGCGGGCGTGGTGAAGATGGAGATGCCGCGTCCGTTGCTGAAGGACGCGTTTGTGTAGACGCAGAACTCATCTCCCGCTTCGCTGAGGTGCTCCGAGCAGATGGGTTGATGCGTCCAGGGGAAATACGGGCTTTCGCTCTCCCTCTCCTCCTCTGTGGAAGAATCGACGATCGACCCGCTTGATGAGGTTGGTGACTCACTCGCGGTGACAAGCGCGACAAACCGAGTAAGAAGACATAACGAGATCCCATCGAGCCTCATCTTGCGTGGATATCGAGAGAAGGCAAGGAAGTGTCAAAACAAATGACTGAAGTCGTGGAAGTCCATCTCAGACTTCGAGATCCCTGAAACACGCGGGGCGCCCGATGTGAGTGTTTCAGCGACGACAATCCCCCCTTGTTTCGTGTTTGAATAGGGGACCACGACACATACATAGTGCTGACGTGCAGCATAACAACATCAAGAATTGCGTGTTTACAAGTATATGTCTTTAAGCTTTGGGACACGACTAGATAGGTACGGGGTTCTGGATATTATTTGAAACCCTGCCCGCTTCGGGTATTACACGACATGGCTAGGTATACTCGGTACATACGGGGGTATTGATCACTTGCCTGTGTGGGGTAGAGCCACTGCCCGCTGTCAAAGTCAAATCCGAGCACTTAAATCGAGATATTCCTTGGGGAGGCCTCGGCGAAACAAATCTCCTTGTAAATACCGTCGGATACACAACAATGTGCATCGTGCAAGTGCAATCCATGCTCCCTCCCACACTAGAGCAGAAGAGGGGATGGGAGGAAGAAGAGAAGGATTCGATCCCATCAGTTGAGAATCCTTCAGAGAGGCACCACACACCACACACGGGGTCGAGTAGCGTAGACACCGACGCTCTGCTTTCGGCCCCTGCCCCCCCTATGCCCATATACCCCAGATCAGATGTTCCCTGTACGACGGGACAAAAGAGGAAAAGAGAGAGAGGGAGTGGGATACTGTTCTCTCATGTATCGTGCGTGGGGAGCTTGGTGTTGCATTGTGTACTGGCTGGTAGGATACCTGGCTAGTAGTTCGATGCCTAGACGCCTTGGATTCTAGGGGCGCTAGGGGATATATAGACGGTTGCGACCAGTATATCAAGATATGCATTTATTTTAGTAGGATATATTTCCTTCCCTCCCACTTCCCACCGCGCCTTAACACGGGACAGGGCAGGTAAAGTGAAGCACGAGGAACAGTGGACAGTGGTAATCTGCATCACCATCTTCATTCCCATCTCCTCTCTCTCTCTCCCTCTCCCCCCAAGCTCACCGCGCCAAGGGGGCCTACCACTCCCGGATCGACCCATCGGGCCCATAAAACTCTTTACACTGCCAATGACCGGTAGACTGGGCGATTCTGCGCACGACGGCCTCGTCAATCTCGACGCCCAGTCCGGGCCCCGTGAGGGCGTCGACGTAGCCGTCGCGGATGGCAAAGACGGCCGGGTCGACGAGGTAGGTGTTGAGATCCTCCTCTCCGGCCTCGACGTTGTAGTGCATGCCGAGGGACATTTCCTGGATGACAAAGTTGGGGGAGCACAGGGCGACCTGCATGCTGGCGGCGAGGGCGAGGGGGCCCAGCGGACAGTGCGGGGCGACGGCGACGTCGTACGTCTCGGCCAGGGCGGCGATGCGGCGTGTCTCGGAGATGCCGCCCGCGTGGGCGATGTCCGGCTGGAGGATGTCGACGCTGGCGTCCTCGAGGAACCGCTTGACGTCCCAGCGCGAGTAGAGGCGCTCCCCGAATGCGATCGGCACCGTCGTGCTCGCGGCCAGCTGCTTGAGCGCCTCCGGGTGCTCGACCAGCAGGGGCTCCTCGATGAATAGGGGCCGGTACGGCTCCAGCGCCTTGGCCAGCTGCTTGGCCATGGGCTTGTGCAGGCGGCCGTGGAAGTCGAGGCCGGCGTCGAGTCCGAGTCCCTTGACAATCTTGAGCCGCTCGATAGTCGCGTCCAACACAGACGGCGAGTCGAGCCAGTTGACGGGCCCCGTGGCGTTCATCTTGATGCACTTCAGACCCTGCGCGATGCGCGCTTTTGCGGCCCCTTCAATGTCCGCGAACGTGTCGCCGCCGATCCACGCGTAGACCTGGACCTTGTTGCGGACCTTGCCGCCCAGGAGTTGGTAGACGGGGACATTGAGTCTCCGACCTGTGGGTTTTTCATTTGTTAGCAGACCGATCTTTCAATATTCCCTCCGCCCCCCTAACCCCCGGGGCCAGTTGCACATGGACTTCCTCACCTTTCAGATCCCACAGAGCAATATCAATCCCCGACAGCGCCGACATAAAGACCGGCCCTCCACGATAAAACCCCAGGCGCCATATCGTCTGCCAGATATGTTCAATGTCACTAAAGCACAGGCAGGATAACACACCATTTGCCACCTAGTCAGTAACCCACTCCCAAACATAGTATACTCACATAAAACAAAACAGCCCTGGGATGTGTGAAGTGACTTACTCGGCCTCGTACCCGACGATACGCTCGATGATCTCATCCAGCGCGCCCTCGACGGCCCGCGTGTGGCCCTCGAGCGTGGCCTCGCCCCAGCCGTGGAGTCCGCGGTCGTCGCAGATCTTGACAAACAGCCACCGCGGCTTGACGCGGAAGTACTCGATGCTCTTGATTTTGGCCCCTGGCGGCCGCGTGTCGGGCACGGATGGGCGTTGTTGCCCGTTGGAGGTGCCCTCGAGGGACCTTAGCTGGCTGGTGGCCATCTCTGCGAATAACTGATTGCTTTCGAGAGAGATGTAACTGTTGGGGAACAGCAAAGAAGGGAAATGTTTGTTTTGCAGAGCAAATGTGCCGGAAGCTTGGTCAAAGCAAAGGATGATCCTGTCTCAAAGAAATTGTGCAACTTGGTAAACAAAGCAATATACCTCAGTGTCGGTATGAAAAAACGATCGAAACACCCAATCCTCTAAAAGAAGGGTCAACATGGATGGGACCGGCTCTCCGCATGTATTGTAACATTGCAACATACCCCAGGTACATACCTCCATACATACATGACTGCCAAGTATGTCAATGAGACACCGTCCAATTGCCGTCGGTGACAATGGACCTGTCATCCTCGTGAACCGGTGTCGGCGGAAATGATGCCGGACAAGGGATACACTAGGGCCGATAGGGTGGTGTGGTTGGCTGTTACTCGGCGTTTGATCGTCCGGGAGCGAAAGGGAAGAAACAGCACGGACTTCCCCCACGTCCAAACATGCATTGTTGGCAGTTCGTGGGGGTTGAGCGTGTGCCTCCCTCCCCGCCCTTCTCCCCCTGTGTGAGTTCTAGTCATATGGTAAACGTGGCAAAACAAATCATCAAATAAGCCGCTTGTGCCACTCCCTCTCGCTCACAGACCGTCGTTCGGGAATAGCTTCATGTTGATGGCTTGCTCACGACACAATACATTGTACAAAAATGGCTGATGTAAACAGTATCTACTAAAACGCTGGCCTCCCCCCGTATCATTGACGGCTCGCACCACGCAGCAGGACAATAGCATTCCGCAGAAGATCAGCTGCCTCGTGCAACAACTCCCATCTTGAATCCCGAAAGGCCGTCTCCAGGATCGCCAACACTCCGACAACATTGTTCCGACCATCCTTGATCGACTCGAGCTGTTGCGGGGATTTCACCGCCCCGACTGTCTGCAAGAAAGCGTGAGCGTCCTTGATGACAGCTTCAACCTGAAACTCGCTGCCATCATGCGCCATATTGAGCATCGACTGATTGGAGCCGTGAGACCGCGCCGAAGCAGCCCCCGGCGATGAATCAGGTTGTAAAAGGCTTGGGAAAGGCCGAAGCACTCCATCCAGAGCAAAACCGTAGGACCAGACGACGAGAGCGGCAAAGTACAGGATCCAAGGTCTCATCATAAGATAATCGTCGCGCGCGTTGTACAACCTTCTGGAGCCGCCCTTCCCCGGCAGTATCACTGACTTGAGTAGCTGCAGGGCATGATAGACAGCAACCCTCGCGCTCGGCCCCTTTGCCCAGTCGAAAAGCTTGCACTTGACCCTCTCGTAATCACCATTGGTCACAACCCTGCCGAAGAGTCGCTTGATACCCGCAAAGATCTGGCAATCCATGACATCGCTATGCATTGCCATGTGGCTCAGGTGGTGGAGTATCTCTGCAGTCTGCGCCATGTCCTCTTGACCAGGGGCACTGTCGTTCTTTTGCCAGGGTAGTGCCGCCCTGCGCATGTGTTCGAGGCTCTCGTCAAAGTCTTTCTTCCAAAAGTCAAACGCTTTCGTCAGCGGTGTCCTCCAGCCGTCGGGAACACCCATCGTCTGAGACACGCCGAGGCTGGACACTTGAAGATCACGCTGGTTCATGTGCCACGACACAGACAAAAGACCAGCCATCAGGATAATTCTGCCAAAGTTATTCGTCCGAACTTTGCGGCCTGTCAGCGTCTTTTTCAGCCCGTCCAGGAACGTGGTAGGTTTGATCCCATTAGCATGCAGACTAGCTTCAACGCGTCCAACTTCGGCTGCGGAAGTGGCCGACCACAGGGCATCGTCGCACGGGAGAGGGAGTCGGATTTCATGCACCACCATCATTGCCGCGTGGCCAAACATGGCTGCGTGAAGTGCGTCCAGATAGAAAGCGGCATAAGCTGCGCGACGAGTGGCTTCTGCTGTGATCCAGCGACCCCACCACTCTTCAGGAGATGACGGCATCCGAGACGAATCCTGGTTCGCCGTCTCAATCAGAGCTGTCCCTCTTCGCATCAAGTTGATGGTGGTGGCATAATGAATGTGGGATCGCTCGTGCAGCATTCGACTCGCGTTCATTTTCTCATATACCTCGAGCAACAAAAGCGTCTGGAAAATCCACAGCTTTGCCGGAGGATGAAAGTCACCATGCATAAAAACTTGCCAACGTAGATGCCAGGCGATAAAGGTGGCAAATCGCGCAGCAGCGTCTGTAACCGCTCGTCCATGGGCTTTGTTGAGGAATGCGGCACCAATGGCCATGACCGCGAGGAGGAGATATTCGTGGGTGTCGTCGGCAGAAAAGGTTGGCTGGTGTAGGATGGGCATTTGAGCGTGGAAATGATACCAGTACGAGCCGATGTAGTGTTGCATAGAACGAATGCTGAGAACATGCTCCTCTGCGTCGGGATTGCCTTGGAATATCTCTTCTCGCAGCCGTCGCACCAACGGATTGTCGCCTTCGTGGAAGCGTTCCATTAACGAAATCAGCGACGCGCGTTTTGCGTGCGACAGAATAGTGCTATCCACAGAGGGCTCGGGTACCTTGGTCGTCGTTTCGACTGGGCGTTGCTGACTGAGACCAGGGTAAGAATTGTCCAAAGCCGGATCAGCAAAGTAGTTGGAGTACATCGCACTGCCAAATATCTCGGCGCCATTGGCGAACCCAATGCCCCCTTGCGCGCTCATCGAGAACGGAGCGGTGTGAAAGCCGCCGGCGTCTTCAAAGAGCCAGGCGGCAAATTCATCTCGGACGGAAACCGGTGAGTCGTTAAATGGCTGATCCCCCAAGTTGGGCATGGTATACGTGGCCGAAGACCTGTCTGACATCTGTGAATCAGCAGCCGTGGGAATTCTAGAGCTGTTTGAATGCGTCCGCGTCTTGCTTAAGATGGCTGGGTCAAGATTATCGTAGACGTTGTCGGACATGCCTTGCGGTCCTCGGGCGGTCAAGGACGAATCTGACGACAGATCTGCTTGAACGTAGTTCGCGGATTGCGCAGGCTGATGAAGAATGGCGTTGAGATCATGCCGCAGTGGGACCCCCGATGAGAAAGCGTGCGATGTTGCACGGTCGCTCGTCCCCTTCGCTTCGGAACCATTCTGTTGAATTATGGCTTGGAGATCTGTTGGCTTTAGGGCTGGTTCACTGGAGAAGGATGGCCGGCTCAGGATGGGTGATTGAGGGTTATCTCCGTCTAGCCTCGGTGTCGCAAACATGTTATTCAAGGTAGGAGAAGTCGGGCTCACTGCGGGCTCTTCACTGTACGAGGATCGAGGCGACAGAGGCTCTCGAAGAGGGTCGTGGCCTTTTGGCATGGGCCCCCTCACCTCGTGCCTTTCGCGATGGCGGATGCAGAGGTCCTGGCGCACAAAGGTCCGTAGACATCCTGGATAGTCACATTTATAGATTTCTTTCGGGTTATCTGGGCTCAAGTTAGCCGTCTAAGAATCTCGACGATGGTCAGAATGACGCGAGATGCGTACGGTTGAGTTGATGGCGATAGAGGTGCTCCGCGCGTGAGTAATCTCGACCACAGCCAACGTATTTACACTCGAAACGACGTTTACCCTCGGCTTTGCCTGAGCTCGAGCGCCGTCTATGATCAGACGAGGCAGGCGGATCGGCCACAGCTTGGTCGTTGTTGCTGGGAGCGATAGTAGGGTAATCGAGGCGCGGGCGCTTATTTTCGGACATGTTTGTGTATTGCGTGCCCGGGTCGAGGATTGCCTGGATCGTCGCTGGTAGAGAGGTCCGAGCGCGAGAGGAGCAGAGGATGTGGGCGAAGTGTCATCTGCTGGATCGCGGCCAACCATCAATCTTAGACTGCCGCCGTACCGGTGTCATTGGCGCACAGGATGCGGCATGTTCTTGATCCCAAGGCCGCACCGAGCTCAACGAGGACCCAGGGCGCAAATGGACGCAGAAGATACAGTCGAACGAAGGACGGAACCAATCCGCAAGGAGGTTTTTGATCGTTGGAGATGATTTTTCCTCGTTGGGGTCTCCGACAAACTTGTGGTGACAAAGCGGTCAAAGAGCGATTATGGTCGTTGGGTACTACTGGCTTGACTGGGTGGCACCCCGCCCTTCCCCCGGCAGCAAGTTGCTGGTGCTGAGGGCTGCTGGAGGTGCCAGTTTGGGTGATCTAGCTGTGTCTCAAGGATGCCCCCAAGTAGGGTGGCATGGTGGTCGGGAGGCTTTCCCCGCAAGTAGCTGTTTGATTTAGGTACTTTTAGGTGCCAATCAATGCTTACTCGCTGTCCCGCGGCAATGGCCCTCGGCCCCAAACTTCCGAGGGTGGGGGCTACTAACGGCCTCAGGGGCTTGATTTAGAATCGACCTCGTGCTCTACAACCGAGGAAGGCCAGGTGCTCAAAACAGTAAGAGACAAATACGCCTTTGCATCTACTCGTCACAATCATCGATGTCGTCAGTATCGAGTGAAGAGCTATCCGCTTTTCCAGCCGGTATCTTGTGCCGCGGGCAGACTACCAGTCCATCCCTTCTCAGCCTCGTCCCTCACTTCTTCAGGTACAAGGTCTGTGAGTTGCAGTATGACTTCAACCCACCGACTCCAAACTCAGTCCCAATGCCACTCTCCTTGTGTCCGCCAAATGGTGCTCTTGCATCAAGCTCAAAATGAGTGTTGACCCAGACGTTGCCGGCCTCAAGCTCCTGGGCAATTTTCGAAGCTCGTTCGAGGTTGCCTGACCAAACAGAAGCCCCAAGACCATATATGGTGTTGTTGGCCTTTTCGATAGCTTCGTCGTCCGTGCTGAAGCTCAAGAGAGGCACGATGGGTCCTGTTTCAATCGATCATCAGTCTCAGGATCGGGTCGTCTTACAATGTGGCCATGACTTACCGAACGGTTCTTCGACAACCAACCTGGAGTCCTCCTTGGGTCGGTCAATGATGGTCGGAGTGATGAAGTAGCCTGGTCCATCAGGGTTTTTGCCTCCGACAGCAACGTTATACTGTTCCTTTTCAATGTCGTTGAAGAAACCCTTGACACGCTCGTACTGCATGGAATTCTGAATGGGGCCCAAGAAGACATCCTTCTCAAAGCCCTCGCCGAGTTTTAGAGTCTTGGTGTGTTCGACCATCTTGTCACGGAACTGCTCAAAGATCTTCTCGTGCACAAAGATGCGTTTGAGCGCCAGGCAGATCTTGACGCGAGTTAGCCGGAGACCCAGACTTCGCAATAAGTGGATTGGGAGTTGCCTTACCTGGCCGGAATTCAGGAAAGCCAGCGTTGCGATCTGAGAGATTCCATTATTACCAGAATCGAGGGCAATGTTGGGGACTCACCCTAGGAGCGACCTCGTCGACATTAACATCGTCGCAGATGATGGCAGGATCATTGCCGCCACTATCAGACTCATTAGTTCGGATCAGAAGGGGCTTTGAGAAGCGTTACGCACAGCTCCAGTGTAACTCGCTTGAGTGTCTTGCTTGCTGACTCCATGACCTTTTTGCCAGTGGCGCTCGAGCCTGTGAAACTGATCTTTGCAGGGCCAGGGTGAGATGTCAACCACGGACCAAGGTTGTCATCTCCACTGAGAGCTTGAACGACGCCTGGTGGGAAAAACCTCTGGGCCAATTCCGCCACCTTTAGCCCGCCATAAGGAGTGAACGGGGACGGCTTGATGATGATGGGGTTGCCTGTAACGACGCAAGGGGCGACTTTAGAGCAGCACAGCAAGACAGGGTAGTTCCATGGAACAATGCCCACAGTCACCCCGAGAGGAGTGTACCGGACGACAATCTTCCGATCGGCCTCATCCACGATTTCTTCGGTGGGCAGCTCGAGGCCTGCCATGGTGCGAATGATCTGCAGGGTGAAGTCCATCTCAAAGTAGGCGAAATGAAGCTATGGAGTGGATATATATCAGCCATGGAGCTGTGCAGCGTGGGAGCTGGCGAAGTTCAATCCATCTCGACTTACTGGCTTCCCTTGCTCCTGCGTCAACATCTTTGCAAAGCCGTCCTTCTCTTTCTCCATGGCGTCGGCGAAGGCAAGCATGGCCTTCTGTCTCTCCGCATACGGCGTTTTGGACCATGTCTTGAACGCTTCCTTGCCCGCTGCTACGGCCTTGTCTACATCCTCGGGAGTCGAGACAGGTACCTCAGGGTTCGGTTTGCTGGTGGCAGGGTTGATCCCATGGCGAGTCTTCTCGGTGGAGGTGAGCTTGCCGTCGATCACGTTTGAGAAAGTGGTGAAGTCGAGGCTGCCCGAAGTGGACGTGGCGTCGGTACCGGTTTCAGTTGCGTGAGGAGCCATGACTTCTTAGTGCTGTACCTAATATGCTCGGGCGTGGAGGTTATTTGCACTGCGAGTGCTTCGAGTTTGGTGGGAAACTGAGGAAAAACGGGGCGTCGAGTGACACACGGTGAAATGAGGTAGAAGGAGGAATAGGCAGGAGAGAAAGTTGAGGAGAAAGATCCAGGACCTTCTTCTTCCCATGTTACAACACGGTCCTACCACACTTTATAACCTTTTTCTCCCTATTCCCTTCTTTTCCTTGTTCAGCTGGGGCTCCCTCAACACGAAATTCTAGACCTGTCTCACACACGCAAAGTGCTCGTGTTGACAGGCGGAGTAACCCTCCCATTGACGTCCTGCGCCAGTGACACCACCCACTCAAGACAGCCACGTCGCTGTCAGTGCATCATACTATCCACGGAGGAAGTGGTTGATCGAGTCAATACCCAATAGTTCACACCACTTGTCTCCCTTCCGGGGCCCTTCAAGGTCCTGGGCACCACTGGCCAGGTACGACAGTTCGAGTTTGAAAGAAGAGGGAGGGGTAAAACACGAAATAATCAATGGGACGGCAGGCTTTCACACGACGAATGAGTGGATGGATACGATCGTGACATGGAGCCTAGACCGTAGATACGAGGGATGTCCATGAGATTTCAATCTTTGGAACCTTGTATGCTGGCAAGTGAGTACCACAATCCAAGCGCAGGAGGGGCAGAGAGTACAAGAGAATGTCCTGTACGAGTCCAAGTCATCATCGGGCCCAATAACGGAATGATCAGCACGGGGGCCTAGAAGTGGTGGACCACCGCGATACAGGGATATGGAAGCACTGTCACTGCTGGGATCAAGAAAATATTACTACGAGGAGCTGCGAGGCGCTGGGGGCTGGAGACGATCTGATTGGGTTCACGGCCTTGGATGGCTTTTCCCAACTTCCCCATGTTCCAGGGTCTGGGGTTGACATGGTGAGCCAGCGTCGACGGAAGTTCCGAAGTTTCTGGCCCGTTAAGTTCGACCTCGACACAAATGCATCACCCGTGATCGATCTGGACACCGTTGATACACAGAGAACTTCCAAACTGGCCAGCGACGGGGAAAGACGTGTCTAGCTTGACAAATTTTAAAGGACGCTATTGTACATGTGATTGCTATCCTTCTTTGCTCGCGGGCATTCCTAGATGTGTCAATAACTCATATCCCACTCCGCCGAGACCCAGACCAAGGCCCTACAGATTCATGATCCAACAACACGCACTGCTGCATATTCGCCCTTTTCTCGAATCCCAGATTCCGCCCTTGACCTGCAGGGCAAAGCAACATGATGCATATCTTACACCAACTTGCGCACATATTCTACAGGGCCATCATAGACATGCCTGGCTCGGATGACATAGTGAAGAACTGCAAATATCATCACACCCCCGTAGATCAGGCTGGCCCAGTTCATCTGGTCGACAGTTGGATTCGGGCTTCCGGGGAAAAAGGCGAAGGCAAAAGCGAACGTCAGGAAGACGAGACTGAATCCGTTCAAAAACAGACCAACTGGTCTGGAGAAGGTGAACTTGGCCGGAAGGAGAGGCTGATAGGTCAAACGTCTCCAGAAGAGACAGCCGATGGAGACAATGTATGACGACAGGATGGCGACCAAGGACAGCGAGGTAATGTTGTTCAGCGCAATGGTGGAGCCGATGTTGATCAGAGAGAGCAGGCAGGAAACCACGAAAGAGACCACGATGCTGTTCATTGGAACGTCCCACCCGGGTCGCACCTATATAACACAGTCAGCTTCTGCATGTTCGCGGGCCACGTAGGGAGGGAGGGAAAGGCATACGTATGCAAACCAAGAAGCACCCGGAATGCCCTGGTCACGGGCGAACGACCACAGCTGTCTCGAGGCAGTCGCAGTGATCGACAAGTTGCAGAACATGGCCATGAAAATGATCAGGGCGGAGAGAACTGATGCGCCAGCGTAAGACTGGGTGGCATTGTAAAAGACAGCAATGTAGGGTTGTCCCGTTGGTGAGTCGATAACATCATCAAGGTTCCCAAGGGTGAAGCAAAAGGTGATCAGGATGATCCAACCCATAGAGCCGTTGAGGACAGTGGTCCAGATCATGCTTTGAGGAAGCACTCTCGATGCGTCGCGCAGTTCCTCGGACATATGAACCGCGCCATCTGCACCGAGCAAGGGGATCATGACCGCGAGAATACCGACTAACGCCGATAACCCATTACTGTTCCATCCGCCATAGTTGTTGAACGTAGTGAACACGTCGCTGGCGTTTGCGATCGGGCCCAAGACCCAAAGGGTGATCAGGACGCCAAAGAAGCCGAAGATGTGGATGATGAGCACGATCCCCTCAACCAATGGCAATTTCTTGACCAGGAAGGTGTTGAACAAGACGGAGAACGAAGCCACGGCGAACGTCAACAACGTGCCATGCCATCTCTCAGGCGTGTAGTCTGGATAGTTCAAGATGACAAGGCCTTGAATTTGAGTTCCAGCGAGAAATGCTATACCTCGAGTTAGCAAGAAGATAGTCGGGAGCTGCCGGAAAGTGCCCCTTACCTGTATTGGCCGCACCAGTCTGCCAACCGAGCACACAGAGCCATCCTAAGACCTTGTCAGAACGAGGAGACGAGATAAAGCCTCGGGATTCGCCTACCAACGATAAAGCTCATAAACTTTTGGTACTTCCGCGGCGCAAATTCGCTAACCCAGTGATATTGACCACCAGACGTCGGAGCCCTAGAGTCAAGTATGAGCAGAGGCCCGAGAGTTCCTTTGGAAATATTGTGTCATACATGGAACCCATCTCGGCCATGGAGGTGTTGACAATCAGAAAGCCGATCCAAGCTACGAGGTACATCCAAATCAAACCCGCCGTGCCGCCATTGATCAAACCGATAATGCTCGTGCTGTCCGAGAGTCAGCGAATCCCACGATCGCGAGGGTTACGTGTCGAGTATGTGACTGACCCTAACATCGTTTCCCAGCTGGCCATGAGAATCATAGAGAAGCCGAAAATGGAGACGAATCGAAAATTTCGCTGAGCTTGTCAGCAATGGCAGTATAGAGTTGGACCTTCGAGGGTCTCTTACTCGTAGCTCTTGATGTTTGCCCATGCGAAACATATCCCGTTGGTCGGCGTTGGTCCCTTTCTTTTCAGACGGGAGGTTCGCATTTTCTGACTCCAGGTCAACCTGGGATGTCACCACCCCATTGTCCTTGTGATCTGCCATGATGATGGTAACAACGAAATCTCAGTCAACGACAAGGACAAGGCTTTTCAGCGAACAGTAATGGCAGCAGCAGCAGCGGCAGCAGAGCACTGTAATGATAACACGTCGTCGATGAAGAGTCTGATGGCTCGCAGGTCAAATTGTATTTGAGATTGGAAAGATAGAAAGAAAGAAGGTGGCAGAGAAGTCAGTTGAAGTGGCGGGGTGAGTACTGATGCCATGTGTCAAGCCAGGAACGATCCCCATGTGGTTGTGATTGCAGATCTTGACCAACCTAGGATAGAACTGAGGCAGGAGAAGTCACTCGTGTCCGTTCGCATGTCAGTAGTGGACTCATGCATGTCTCAACGCAAGCTAGACAGCCTCGAAAACGAAAGTGGCTGATCGGGTAATGCAGAGTTGGCACCGGTCGAAGGGTCCAAGACCACTTGCCAACAAGGGGACATTGTTCTGATAGGGGTTTTCCCCAGTTAAAACATGCTTCAGCATCGATCGTGTCCTCTCGGGGTATTCTCCACGCAGTTTAAGGTCCAAGCAAGGCACAGAGCATATCTAGGAGGCAGACACCAGCTGTTGAGTCGCGAGCTTAAGCAAGCCACAGGGCGCCCAAAGTCAATAACACTGTCATCGTTTCGCGTCGGACGAGAGTAAGAAGACCCTTGTGGAAGTGGATGCAGGAAGGGTAGGGTGCAGGCCCAATAGCAGGAGGACGTCTTGCAGGTTCGAGAGTTGATAGAGTGTGCGGCGAGAGAGAGACAACCACGCGTGGTCCCACATGAGGCAAAACCTGGCAATTGTCAAACACAAGGCACACCATCTGTTCTCTCTGACATCTGGAGGGGACCATCAAAGCCTCGACTTAAGACGCAAGGGGAAGGGAGTAATCGGTGGGAGGGGTGCGCACTCGTAGAGTTCGTGAGTTGTCGACCAAGAGGGCTGGAAGATGGTGCAGCCTGTCATTGGGTAGAGATTGAGGCAGGCGAGTGCAGTCGGTAATCATGTCTCCATCTACAAGCTCGTATGCCGATCAACAGTCGGAGCTCCATGTCATGGCTCGCTTGTTTCTTTCGGCCGAGGGAGGTGCGAACAGGCACTCTTGAGGAGGCACGGAGGATGTACTCACTGAGTCAGAGGACCTGGAGTTGGAGGGAGATGATACTGAGGTGACTGGGTGTGTACTTGGTGGGACGTCCTTTGACGTGAAGGCAAGGAAGACGCTTGGATAGGCGGGGCGGGAAGCTTTTCCCATCGAGCCTTCCTTCCCGTTAATTGCCGACAGGCACAAAGATCCACTTATTGCCATGTCTGGTAGTTAGATTTTCTCCGGGTAGACGCCCCTCGAACGCTACCGATAAGACTAAACAGCATCCATCTCGCTCCCGCCCACTACTTGTGAGAACGGAGAAATGTTGGCGGGATGATCAACAGCTTGCTCCTTGGTGCTGCCGCAGTCCAGTCTCGCAACCTCAGGCTTGTTTGATGCTTCCGAAGTTTACTTGTAACCTTCTTTGACACTTCAACCTCTCGGCAGACCCTGAACTAGGCCAGATCCCTCGTTTCCTCCGTTGTCTCCAAGACCCATTCAGGGGGTTGGGTTTTCAAGGTTCGGCTGGGCTTTGATGGGATGGTGTTGAGGGGTTCAGGCAAGCAAAGCCTAAGCCCGACTCCAGCCAAGGCGCTTTTTCAGTGGCACTTTGTACCCTCCTCCAGGGTAATTTTCGTTAGTTCGCCACCAATCCACTAATTCTACACTAGTCCATCTATGGACTAGTGTAGACGCGTCCATCCTTTCTATCTCAGACTGCGCATTTCACTCTCGAATAC